AGGGGACACTCCGACGAACACATCACATGGTGACCGTGGATGGCACCCCCTGTTCTTCCGTTCGGGACCATTGATCGTGTAATCAATATATATGAACGTTGTATTCAATTCAATTGCTGATGTATGATGTAAATAGTATGATCGACATCTTTTGGGTGGACAGTAAAGGGGTGCCTTTTGAACCTTTTGCGACATGATTTAGATCTTTGAGGTCCACTCTCCACGACATGGAGTGTTCCAGGATCATCCTGTCTTGTCCTGGCGTTCGACGACCCTACCCTACGTAAACCGGTCTACTCCAGGACACCCAGACAGGCAGTGCATCCGGATGTCGTGGAGTGTTCAAGGTGCGAACCCTGTTCACGAATGTTCACGAATGATCTCACAAGAATACCACCTACAAACCTTGAAGCCTGCCTGAATCCAGGCATGGTCTCGACCGGCTTAGCCTCAATTTGCCTCCGATCTCGCTTGCGACCCGGAGCGCACCGAGGTTCTCGATCCTTATGATCCCAGTGGCAAGCAGCACCATCAGCATGTTGTCGTACTTGATTGAGGCATTGAAGGACCACAAGGCGGTGCCTTGAACGAACGGTGTCAGGGACGGAGCGATGTCCAGCGCTGGAGAAAGACACAGGATGACACAGGTCACATGGGACGCCACGTTGCTTCCAAAGATGCCTCTTTCAGAGGGCAAGGGTCACAGTTGATGGATGTTAATGGCATACATGGCGGACCATTCCATTACAACAGAGTGCATGGCACTGACGACATGGATTCCCGGCACAGTCGTGGCGTCGATTCTCAATCCCGGAGTCGTGGCTCCGCCATATCCTCAGGTGACCGGTGGTATTCGACCCCCTGGCACCCACCCCTGGCCCACCTTCTCAGGAAGCAGTTGGAGTGGGAATAGACGTCCAGCCACGACCGCAACCTCCCAAGGTCACTGTGGATATTGCTGCGGCTCGAGACTTCGTGGCGGATGCTTGGGCTGCGGTGAAAACACACACTGCCACGGTGGATACCCCGAAAGGAAGACCAACCAAACAAAAGGTCCACTTCACGAAACCATGTTAGTTCTAGGGAGAGTACTGCCTGACCTGGTTGCATCACGATTTGGTCATGTGATGTCAGTTGACAGGAAACTACGGAGTGTACAGTCTAAAATGTTTTTACTGATCGGAGTTTTTTTTTTTTGTATGCCCTTTTGTTGTCCTATGGCTGAACCCCCTTCAAGGGGAAGAGTTTCTATTTCCCCCCGGGTTCGTCCATTGGCCCCACTGTGGTGTCATTTTTGCTGAATGTCCCACCAGCTCAAACCCTATAAAGCATTCGCCCCCCAAAAACCAGCTCGAATCACACTTTTCGACGGACCAGTGGTACTTGGCCGGCTTCCGGCGGCGCACCAGGGTGCCCGCAAGCTGCCACCTTCCAACACTGGAAGCAGCACCAAGGGGGTGCCGTCTCCGTCCCTGTAGGGCTCCAACTGCTTCCTGAGAAGGTGGGCCAGGGGTGGGTGCCAGGGGGGTCGAATACCACGCCTGAGGATGGACAGGAGCCCTTTCAAGGGCCCTTTCAACCCACACCGTTCCACACCGCTTCGGTCCACACCACGTCGAGATCCGATGGGATGGACATGGATGGAGGCGAATCCCAACCCGTCTGGGACTGCCATGTCGGATCCCGCCGAGAAACGGCCGTTGGGGTGGTGGTGGTGCCAGGGGGGTCACATGGAGTGTCTGGGCTAATTCATTAAGCAGCTTCAAGATGGTTGAACCATCGATGTTTGGGAGGCTTTGAGGAATCCAGATTCGACCTCCCAGCCTACCCAATCCGCCATTCAGTGGCCAGTTCCTTGGAGATGTTTGGGGCGTGGACCGGTCCACAGCTCCGGGGCGATGCTTTCTGAGATGCCGCAGGACCTCCGCACCACGGACTCATCCTGACGAACCCATCCGGTGCATCGTGCAGTGAAAACCCTGCTGTCTTTGAGTCAGGTACAGCAGTCGAACCTTCGGAGGGGCCATTGCACTTCTTTCGTCGTGTTTGCCCACGACAAAGGGGGCTGAACAGCCGGAGGCTACGGGGACCCCAGACCCCCTCCCCCAGTCCTCACACCGTCTCACACCGTCTCCAAGGAGATCAACCATCGCAGCTTGTGCTTGAACTGACGAGAAAGCGTAGACAAGTCCTTGTTGAGAACTCTGGTTCTTGAAGGATTTTCGTAAACCCTCGTATAGATCAATGTGTGATGGAATATTCCTGAATCCTCGAGGCGTTCAAGGATGGTTTAGGGATGTTTAGGGTTCAATGTGTTGTTGATTATGGTTTGTTGCTTATAAATTTGTTGAAACTGTCCGATGAGCGACAACCACCATGGATGGTGGTGGTATATGGTAGTATCTTAGGTTCGATGTAGATTGATGCTCGACGGAGCGAGTTTCTCATGAGGACCCCAAACAGGGACCTTAGATGTACCCCCTGAACTTGGTTCCTGTTTTGTGATCCAGTTTGTGGGAGGGTGCTTGAAGGAGGGCCGGTCGCCTCGCATGGATGGGCGTGAATGCTTTGCGACCGGCCCCGAAGAACGTCCATCTCCTCGTTGCCCCGAACAGAAGGCGCCATCCTTCCGGTCCGAGGCTGAACGAAGGACGAACGAAACGGCGGCATCGACGGTGTGTAGGTCATCCGGATGAAGCCGGCTGACCCGTTACGGTTCCCTGAGACGTTTTGGGGGGTAAAAATGACGATCCGGCATATTCTCCTCCAATCAGAGGGTATTCCACTTCCATGTTAAGTGCGAGGGAGTGTGGCTTGGGCCATGTTGGGCCCGATGTTGGTCATCCAAGCACTCCAATCAAGTGGGCGCAGGTCAGGTGTGTCACTACTCAGGCGCCGTCCTTGGAACTCGTCATCCGTGAGAGCCAACGAAAGATCACCTCATGCCAAGGGCCCCCGTTATAAGGGGTGTCCAATTATGGCTCCTCAGAGGTGATTCGGGATGTCCATGAAGACCACCAAACAGGGGGCCCTGGTATGTCATTCTCATGCGTACATGGCCTCGGAATGAAACAACATCCTGCCCCATCCCGCCCCATCCCGTGCGCCGTCCCCGCGCCACACGCACCGAAAACGAGCTGAGGAATGGTCATGTTGCCCATCTTGGCCTGCCTCTATTCCTTGGCTGCCTTGATTACTCTCAGGTTAAAGCCTGGAACCGGTGCCACGTCACAGGCACCGGACTCGGCACGCACACCAGAGGTGTCCTTTGCGAAGAACGCCACGTCCACAGAGCTGACGAATATGGCGTAGGGACACACACTTGGATCGGTGTCACACTTGGCCAGTGGGTAGATGTCAAAAGACAGAAGACAAGACATTTATACATGTTTTAACTCTTTGACCTGCTTGGAGTCCCATTTGCAGTTCCCATGTTAGACGTGTTTACGTTCCCACTGGCCGATCTGGTGTTTCACATCCGGTGCCAATGTTCGTAGGGACAGAAGGCCGCCCGAAGTACAGTCCCAAGTAGCTAAGCCCTGAATCTTCCTCCATCAGACCACTGGGGTGGAAGACGAGCATGTTCCAGGACCTTCCCAGTGACCTCTTCAGGATTGGTAAGTGACCTTTTCAAGGCCTAAGTGACCTCATTCTGGGATCTCAAAAGGTCACTGGGAAGGTCCTGGTTGTTGACATTTCTTGAGGACATGGACGAGTTTGTGTAGGTTCTGTTGTAGGTCCTATCAGAGGTTCAACTGCGCGGCCAAGTCAACTGGGCCGACACTTGTTTCTTCCTTCGGGAAGAGAAGGGAGCTTGCGTTCAGTCAAGCCCAGACACTCCATCATCTACTCGATCTTTGCCTAAGAATCCTTGCGCTGTCCATGGCAGGGGTCGGACCCTCCATAGCAGGGGCCCGGGACCTCAAAACCCTATTTGTTTGAGGGCCCGGAGTCTTAGGGTTGCCTATATTTGGGATGGTTTGGTTCGGGGTCTTTCTGAGACGGCTAATTTCCAGTCTCGGTGCTTGGGAAGGGCAGGGATAGTGCGGTCACAGCGTGTAGACTGCTGATTCCCCAAAAAAACACACACCAGGACGATCATGAGCGACTTTTGAGTCTGCAAAAGCCTCCATTTTGGAGACCTGTTGGAACGTGCTGGTACTGTATTTGGCTTGTAAAACCTCTCTACGTGGTTGATGAATCAACATATGAGAGCGGGGCCGCTCAGGTGCCCAGAGTGCAGATGGGTGTGTGTCCATCAAAGTACCCAAAGTCTTTGCAGGTGGATTCATTCCAAAAAGCAGTGTGGAGCACGAGCAAGACCTCAGTTAGATTCCTGGATCTACTGTACTTACTGAGGGGCTGGTCAGCACATGTTCCGATGACCATTGAGTTGATCCAGTCCGGACTTGTCCACAGCACCTTGAGCTGTTTAAACCGTAGTTAGTAGTCCTGGGAAAGTTTAAGCATGTTTAAGCTGCGCGGGTGTCGTTGGTTCGGACTTCGGAGAGGCCAGAACAAGCCCCGAAGAGCCTGAAGAAGGGTCCGAGGAAATGCATGTGGACATGTCCTTGTTCCGCTCCTAATTGTTTCGGGTTGAGTGCCAATTGGCCAATGAACTCCAAAAAAGCGACATAGTGGCCAAAGCAATCTTGCCAAAGGAGCGATCGCCCCGTGCGCCGGGGAATTGCTCGCCTGCGGGGGACGGTGGTGTGGCCAATGGAAGGTGCTGGCTGTTCAGAAAAGGCTCAATGCACCATGTGAAAGCCTTCTCAGCCTTGGCCAAAGATGGGGTTTGAGCCACCCATTTTATCCAGCTCAGCTGGTGCAGTCCTTGCACATTTGGGCATTGGATTGTTAACGCGACCTGCCCCTTACAACCTCAATCCCCACCTCAAGCAGACTCATGTATAGAAGATTGCAGAGTGACTGATCAAGCTGTTTTGCATTCAGTCACCTTGAGTCCACCAGCCTACTCAGCTGCCCCACAGGAACCCTTTCACCGGTCGCGCCGGCGGTCTCGCGGGCCGAATCGCAGTGGTCTTGGCTCAACCGGCCGAGTGCACGTTCATCACGCCGTCCGGATATCCACCGTGCCACGCCGTGGCGCGAACCAGGCGAGGTCGACGGCATCACGTTCCACCAGAACGTCGCAAGGACGTTCTGGTAAAGGTGTGAATCAGCTATCAATTGGACGACTCAACAAAGAGAAATATGGAGCCATATATGCAAAGTATATGCTGGCTCCTGCTGCATATGATCGTAATTTAACATGTTTGTGTGAAGTTCCCTGTCACATCCGCCACCGTGGCATGCAGTTTTCGTGGCATGTCCCCCCCCCCTTCTCCCAAGAATGCTCACCCCCTCCAATGAAGGTGCTCAAGCCGTCACTTTCCATTGCCAAACTGAACCTTCCAACCCTCAGCGGGTGGGGTGACCTGGAGACCTGCGGGATCCCAGCACCACAGACCGAGATGATCCAACCATAGCCATAGCCGCATCAAACCGAACCATACACCGCCGGAGTATGTCCCATGGGTGCATGGGAGAGAAAATGAGACAAACAATCAGTAAAATTAAAAAACGCATCTCACATCAGTAATAACAACAAAGAACAAGAACAACCACCACCACCACCACAACAACAACAACAGCAACAACACCAACAACAAAAATACAATAACATCAATAATAACAAAGAACAATAACAATAACTACAACAACCACCACCACAACCACCACCACAACCACAACAACAGCAAAAAATAACACCAATAATAACAACAAAGAACAAGAACAATAACAAAAACTACAAAGACAACAACAATGAACATCAGCAACGACAAAGAACAGCAACAACAAAGAACAACGACAACACATATCAACGACAACAAATAACAACAACAGCGACAAGAACAACAAAACAACAACTACGAACAACAACGAACAACAACAACACAAAAACAACCGACAACCAACAACAACAGTGACAGAGAAAAAACGACGACAACAACAACAGCAAAGAGGAGCTACAACAACTAAGAACATCAGCAACAACAACAACAACAACCTGCTGCAAGGAGTCATAGGAAGTTCCCAACTTGGTCCCAGGTTGGCCGACTGACTGACACTCGGGCCCTTGCCGGAAACCTGACGGACGCCCTTCGATGACAGCATTCACGCCCTTCCCAGCCACGTGAGCGAGTTTCTGAACCTGGTGCCACCTTCTGGGTGAGTTCGCCACATTCTCTTTCGGGATTGCTTCGAACCACGTGGCGCGAACCATCGCCGTCCACTCACGCCTCACGCCTGGTTGGCGGGGTGAGTGAGTGAGCCTTGGTTTCGCGCCGAGGCGTCCGTTTGCTGAATGATTTGGTTCTTTCTTCTCACTGTCAAGGCGCGCCGGGGCCGTTCCGCATCCACGACCGGTGGGACGGACTGCCCCAGACATGAGCCCCCCCACCCACCACCCCGGTCGGCCGTTTTGAAGGCTATGGCAGTCCCATGGGTCGCGTCTGGGTTTTGGAAGCTGTTGGAAGCACTTGGCTTGACGTGGCGTAGTTGGAGTGGTGGTTTCTAGTGGCCCGGACTTTTCATGTCCAGTAAGAATTAGGAAGTGGCGGGTTCTCTTCATTCATGGCAAGTTGATCTTGGTACATGCTCCACTTCCAACGGTTCTTTTGACCTTCGTGCACCACAGATGCTGCCGATGCTAGCCCGGCCCTTTTCGCACCAGGCGGCGTCCAGCGCTCCGTTGGATGCTCCGAAGCACAAGGTCTTCGAGCAATATGAGTTCTTGGAGATCTTGCAGGTTGCAACTTGGCTGATCCCAGGGTCCCAGACGAAAGGGACTAGAGAAGAGTTACATACCAGGACCTTCCCAGTGACCTCTTCAGGATTGGTAAGTGACCTTTTCAAGGCCTAAGTGACCTCATTCTGGGATCTCAAAAGGTCACTGGGAAGGTCCTGGTAGTTTACATGTTCAAGTGACCCCAATGTAGGTATACGATTTCCCACGGTTGCAACTTGGATGAACACCTCAGTACCACTCTACGTCCGACGTGCACTGGGACCCCCAGACGTCTTTGGGACAGACGTCTTTGAGTGGGAACTCGTCGTGGGAAGTTCCAACGCGATGGGATGGCCAGGGGTTGCAACAAGCAATGAGTCAAACAGACCCCGGAGCCACTCCATGGGACTGCCAGTCCGGACTGCCGATCAGTTGGGGTGGTTTGGGGGGTGAATGTAGGCATATATATGGCATACATGGAGTGTCTGGGTGTTGTCAAGACAGGTATAGTAGTGTATATATAATGATGAGTTTGTAAAGGTCTATATATGGCTAACCGGCTGGATTTTGCTGGGTACCGGCTGTGTGTGGTCACTTGGTTTGGTTGCAACGATTGATTTCAAGAAGGGTGGTCCACTCAGTCCAGTCCTTTGAGAGCTAGAGTAGGTCACCCTGACCGCGTGGGCGGTCATGAGTTAACCAGGTTGGCTGGTCGCTAAGAAAAAAGAAAAGGCCTTCAACTGGAAGATGGAACTCTTCCACAGATCTTGAACATTTTTCAGCACCTTGCCCCATTTTGAGCCAAATCATCGCATATGCCAAAAACCCTTGCAGAAGGAGCTCCGGAGGTAGATTTTCTTGGGGCATCTTGGAGCGTGAAGCTCCTGCACAGGAAGTGCTTCGACATGGTCCGAACTCTACATGAACTCGGGTCCACCGCGACGAAGGGGGGCTCGAACATCGAAAAGGATTCAGAGGTCGATTCAGACGATCTGTGAGCCACTCTATAAATCCTCCCTGTTCATGTTTAGTGGTGTGCTTGTTCCCTGAGCTGATTGGTGGATGTTCCATCTGTTTCCACTATGGATGCTTCCCTGGACCATCCAGACTCCAGGCATCCCCTCCACGAGTCGTCGTCCGTCCGTCTAGGGCCTCACCGACCCCCACCTCCGTCCGAAGCCGCTGAGGGGGAGGCGACCGAAGAAGGACTGCACCCACACGGCCGGACTGGCTCGCACCGCCGGACTGGCTCCGCGGGCGAAGCGGGACAACGAGACGGGTGGCTCCAGGTCTATGACCATGCAGTGAAGGCCGGTAGGAGGGGCGATGAGGGGCGCAGGCGAGGGGCGCGAGATAGGTCGGTGGTTCACGAGAGACGGAACTGGTCTGGAGTTTCAATGGACATGTTACTGTTCTATGCCTTGGTCAGAAAGTAGGCACCACAGATGGCCTTAACATGTTAGTTGATTAATAGAGGGGATCCCCCCCAAGTTGAGCGATCTTCAATATCCACCGCCTGGACCTGGACCTGACCCCATTTTCCACCCATTTCGCCAGGCCATGGCCTTTGGTCGTTGGAATCACTTTTTGCAGTTGGTCTCTGAGAAAGCCTTTCCCAGCGGCCACCTGCCCGATTTCGAGGATCCCAAGGTCGGGGTTTCCACCGCTTCAGCGGTCGGATCGTGGCGGGATGGGGGTCTGGGTCCCAGATTGGGTGACGCCCGGAAGCTGCTGGGTGGTGGCTCGGCTCAGGGCATGAAACACGGAGAAGTGCTTCTCATGTGCTACTGCTGAGGACTCTCTGGGCAAAACCGCAGGGCTTTTTGGAGTGACCAATGTATCGCTTTTTCTTCTCATGCATCCACGACAGGCATGTTGAAGTTTACTACACTTGACAGCTGAGTGTCGGAGACATTCCGTTGAGCTTTACAAGGGTCTTGTCCAGCCCAGTTTCATCAATTCCCACTACGCCCTGACCTGTTTTTGCCTTGCTTTCATGCCATTCTCCAACAACATATGGCAATGATTGGCAATGTGTGTGTTGTGTGGTTCTTTTTCAGGATGTGGTGTGGACTCGTCAGTGGAGTGGCACTGAGATGTCACAGAGAAAGGGCCCAAGATGTTTGAGGCCCTAGCAAGACCCACCAAGACCTACCCAGGAAAAGAGGAAGCTGGCTTGAACCTTTGAAGCTGTCATGAAAGGGATTTCTGGTCCTTCTCAGCAGGTGCACAGTGGGGTGAACCATCCTGAACCTGGCATTTTCCAGCAAACACTCTTCGGGAACCCGAAAAATCGATCGGAATTCTTCTGACTTCTCCCAGCGTCTTGGAGGCCCCCGGGCCCAGTTGGGCTCTCAAACCGATCTGACCAGACGGTTTCTTCAAGGATCATGCTGGATCAAAGACCTACCCCGGACGAATTCCTGGACCCAAGACCTACCAAATAACCTGCTGGCTTCTTTTTGGGCCCAGATTCTTCAGGTGGGGTTTTTGGGCTCGCTTTGAAGCACCCCGAAAAGGGCCTAGATAGGCACGCCGAAGCCTCTTCGGCCTCCTGCAGGCCCTGGGTGCGGGCAGCTTTGCCATCACCTACAAGGCCACCTACAAACCGAGTCCGGGCTGAGCAAAACCGGCGCCCGGTGCACTATGGCCGTAGCTGGCTGTTACATGCTGTAGCTTCGTTACTCACGGTGGGACGGTTTCGGGGGCCTGTGGGCGCCAGGTTCGGGTCCAGTCATACCGAACCGGGAGTCCGAAGGGCAGGGTGCGAGGCCGACTAGTGGCCGACTCTACCTGCGGGGGTGCGAGAAGCCGATTTGCCTTGGACGAAACGGTCTTCCAAACATGGTGTTTTTCGAAACATGTCGAAACTATATACCAGGAAAGCTTATGCCACTTGCTGACAGGATGGAGCCACTGGTGCCATGTCAAGGCAAGTCTTCTACTATCTTCTACTAGGGCCCCCTTTAGGCCCTTTAAGGGGTGGTGTCCAATTATAGCTCCTCAGAGGTGATTCGGGATCCACCCCCTTTTGGCGGGGGCCTTGGTGGAAACCGAAAAGACATCACCTCGAGGCTCGCCTCGAGGGTTTTCATTCCAGGATTGAAACACACGCGGTCGCTCGACCGAGGACGGGCCAGGTGGTCGCGGTGAAAGTCTTCAAAGACAGTGCCGGTCTTTGGATCACGGCCAGTGCCGCGGCGGAAAAACATGTTCCTTTTTGCAGGACCCTCCAACAGGTCACCACCTGCCACTTTCAAGTTTACCAGTTAGCCTCCATTTCCGAGACCCGTGAAGTCAGGTGCTGGTTCACGGCCTGTTTTGGCTTGATGGATCTTGTGGGAATATGTGGGAATGACGTCAAACCGGTGATACAGCAAGCCCGCTAGACTGTACTCGTAGTTGTACTCGTATGATCTCGTATGTCATATCATGTCATATCCCTGTTGTAAAATCGCATGCTAATCCCAAATGAGGCTGTAAAGTGGGGCCTGGTGTTCTTTTTTGATCATCTCATTGGCTTGTTGAAACTATGCTGACAAATAGGATGTAGATGGATTTGGTTCCTTTGCGCACCCCACGTATCGAGTCCTATTTGGGCGGCAGGCATTGCTACCTCTTGGGGGTTTTCTATGCCTACGTTCACACTGTTCACGTTCTGATTCACAGCTTGTGATCGCTTCCCATCGAATTTGCCCGGCCCGACTTGGCCCGTTTCCATGAACTCCCAGCAAATTTCAGCTGGACTTGAATCCCAGGTGACTACGGTAAGTATGAGAACAATGCGAGGATCATCAACATGAGCAGAACCGAATGCGTGACTGAGACCGGGGACCAGCGGCGAGTAGCAGGGGAGATGGGTTGTGGAGACCGAGGATCTTGCATTTAATCCCTGAAACTCCAGTCGTACCTCCTCAGGTTCGGTTTGACGCTCTTGGCACTCACCACCAGTCCCGAGCCGAAACGAAGGCACGACTGGAGCCCAAACGGGATGTGCAACGTCGAATCGTGGACCTGTCCTATAGGTAGGTCAAAGCAGGATGAACTTAGGGATCTTAGGGAGCCTGAGCCTGCCCCAGGGAAGAAGACCTCACATCACTGTCAATCACGTCCCCCCCCCATGGCACGACGCCGGGTCGACCCGCCATGTCTCTCCACTCACCGGTGGTTCTCCCGTCCGTCGACCGGTCACGCGGTCGTCGAGGTGAACCTGCAGGAGATCCAACAGCCGCAATCACAATCAAAGGATCCGACCGGTTCCTCGCCCCTTGGAGTGAAGCTTTTGGAGGTCCTGAAGAAGACGGTGATGGTGGTGGCAAGAGGTGAGTCGGACGGTACCCTATGTAGTCATCACCCAGATACTCGGACTGCCATGGGACTGCTGCCCCAGACAGGCCAAACCCCTGGCCTGATCGGCAAATATCATCAAATACCATACATGGAGTGTTTGGGAGATATACAATACGAGTCGCTTTTCATGGTTCAGACTTGTGGGGAGTTGAGGTATGTTGAAGTCACTGATCTGATGCTGCAAAGGGTCACGTCAAATGAGGAACATCACATCCATATGCAGTGCTTCCCAGGTGTCGAAGTGCTTGCTTTGTGGGGGGATTTTGGTCGGCATGGGCCACGCGCCCACCCCACCAAGTGGAAGACCAGACTCTGTTTCGTTGACGGGGCCATGTATGTTCTTTGCTGGACATGGGTGCATTTGTCCAGGATGTCGTCTCGCTCTTCTAGATTTTCTAGACGTTCTATCTATGCCACAACTATTTCTCTACACGCCCGCCCGGCACATGTCGCTCGTCCAAACACCCAAACACACCAACCTGAGGCACGTGACGAAGTGCATCTATGATGGCATTACGATCCCCTTGCAGGGTCACTGGGCTGATTTGATCGGGTTCCATCGGGTTCCCTCAAGAGGCCCGTGGAAACCAGGGCCGTCTTCCGCAGCGGAAGGGCCAGCAGGTTCTGTCGAACTCGAGTGCTCCAGTGGCTTCTTCTCCCAAATGATCTATACCAGGACCTTCCAAGAGGTGTCTATAAATAGCCTCTTAGCTGTAAAGGGGGTGTCCAAAAACCACCTGTTGGAAGGTCCCTGTAGTAAACAAATATGGCCTACATTTGGCCGTTTGGGGTGGTGAAGGTTGGTCATATATTTGCCGACATGCACCCAACATGGGTCTCGTATCGAGATGCATGTTGGGTGGCCGTTAGGACCGTGAAGCAGTGAGCAAGCTGGCGTGTTCTGGGGCTTGCGGCCTTTCGGTTTCCCAGGTCCACGATTTGTACATTCTTGTGGTGTAGACGTGTGCAACGGAGTATCCAGTGTACATGTAGTATGGCACCATGAAATTGGACAGTCCAAGGAAAGTCTGGTAGGATCTGGTATAAGTGTTCGCACGAGCAGTGGCTAACCGCCCCTCATAAAATCAATCAATTCTGCGGGTTCCAACCGACCGACGTTTGTCGATGGCTTTGGCAAACCAGGTGGAAACCGCTCACATCACATGAAGTCAGGGAATGTCCAAGCATTTACCAGGAGACCCCTTCAGGGAAACCAATTGGTGGTAAGGGCTCCAAAACAACACCCCTTGCAGAATCATCTATATGTAGCTAAGGCGGTGAGGAATTTGAGAATGTGCCTTTGCACATTGTTACTTGGATGAATGATGGCTGCGTGGGTGAAGGACCCTGGAACTACCCGGCCGCAGCATCATGCACATCGGGAGATGGAATTGACTGCGCTTGGAATTTGAGAGTGGCTGGTGCCATGGCGGGCATCGTGTATTCCGCAATCCCTCGCAACACTACATAGCACAGCAGAAAGGGAAAAAGAAACACATTGGCAGCTCCCAGGGTCATCCAATGGGTGTCCAATAGACTACCCTATACCTTACGTAAACAGGCTTCCAGCTCCAGGGCACCCAGACAGGAAGTGCTAGGTCAGCTCTTTCCGCTCTTTCCATGTTGCGAGGAGCTGTCATTCTTCGCTCACCGGTGCCACCGAAGCCGAAGGGCGGCCCCTGTCGGTCGACCAAGCACGCCACCGAAGGGCGGAACGGAGCCGATCCACCGGGAACGGAGTCGCAAGGGTCGGATCCTTGACAGAACGGCCTCCAGTCATAGCTTCGTTTCCGTGGGACTGGGGGCCGGGCTCAAGGTGCCGGGTCCCAGTCATACCGAACAGACTGGAGGTACGACTGGGAGGTGACAGCGGTGGTGCTCAACCAAGCGGTTTCTGGTCGTGTCCGTGGTTTGGGATGTCGGGGTTGTTCGTCCCATCCAAGGGCTGTGGATGTGACAAGGGGACACCCAGTGGGGCACACCCTATGCTCCAAGTTCGGCACCCCTTTGTGACTGCTGGTCTGAGACCCCCAAATAGATATTGATTTATTATATAGACATGTCATGCAGATCCCCACGTTCAGAATGTATAGGAATCCGTGCCACTATCTACGTATACGGGGACCACTCGAGTTGGGATTGGCGACGTTCCATCCGTATTTGGGGGGAACTTCAGAGCCTGGTTAGTTGAGACCCCTAGACTTCCAAGACCATTAAAAAATTGGTTGACCTGAGACCTGGTGTTTGTTTGTAGTGTAAAATCCTTAGTTGATTCGGTATTCAGCCTACTAAATTAATGGTGGTTGGAAGCCTAGGGAGACAAGAGGCTGGGCTGGTCGATACTCTTTGAAGTGAAGTGTCCAATGCTCTTGTCCCGCGTCACGCGAGCTGTGAGGTGTTAGAGTTTGGGGGCACAGACGACCTGGACAAGTGGTGGGGAAAACAGCTGAAGCTGAAGAAAGCCAATTCGGACTATGTGAAGCTCATGCCACTTGACAAGATGGGGCCACTGGCGCCATGTCAAGGCAAGTCTACTATCTTCTACTACTGCCCCCGAAAAAGGCCCTTTAAGGGGTGGTGTCCAATTATAGCTCCTCAGAGGTGTTTCGGGATGTCCATATCCTGGTATTTAACAATACACAGATCTACGAAGCCCTGCTTCAGAGGCTTGGGCTTATTACAACGAGATCCGGCGAAGGCATGGTGCCCTATGCTTCGTTCTTCAATTGGCAATCCTACTTCCACCAGCAATCCCCTGCCTGCCTGCCTCTTTTCGGGCGGGCTTCAGGTCCGGGCCACGTCCGTTTCGGGCCAAGTGTGCTTTCCTTTTTTTTGCACGAAGTGTTCTGATATGTGCGGATGGTCCATGATGGTTCTTATTGGAGCCGCCGGAACATAGGGGTCTTAGTGTCATTGCCTTCCTGGAATCAGTGCCTTTAGCATCCTGCGGATGCCTGTGCTCTGTACCCTGAAGATGGATACCCATCATTACTAACTCTTTTGATTTCTTTTGTCCATCAGAGGCCCACGTGAACCTTGCGCGGCAATCGTTGAAATCTTCGGTGCAGTCTGCTCAGATAGCTCAGGAAGAAGGCTACGAAAGGAATGCTTGAAGGTCTACGGTTCTTGAGCGAGAGCCCGGGTGATGTGCAATGGGTTCCCTGGCACTGTGTTTCATCTCTGGGATCTTTCGAGATGCTCACAGAGAGAGAGAGAGATGTTAAGATACAAGCTCTTTTACAAGATGCACCTTGGATCAAAGGCCTTGAGCTTAGCCTAGCTCAGCCTAAGGACAGTTGCCAAGAGGAAAACAATGCAGACGTGCACAAACAAACGACAAACAAACAGCTGCTGAATTTTACAAGAGAGAGAGAGAGAGAGAGAGAGAGACAGGAGGGTGGAGGGGTCCATTGTTCGGGTTCTTCGTGACATTTCCCTCATCTCGAGCCCTCGAAGAACCTGACAGACCTAGCAGGACCTGACGTCCGATGGGCCCCCTGGGTCCGATGGTTTTCCTCCTACCAACCAGTGCCCAGACACGACCTGTCTGGGACTGGCAGGACGGACTGCCGCCCCAGACAGACCCCCCCCCAGCACCACCCGGGTCGGCCGTTTTGAAGGCAGTCCGGACTGGCAGTCCCAGACAGGTCGTGTTTGGGGGTGGTTTTCAGGGTCCTTGGGATCGCCTGGCAACATGTTTGGTTTTTGGTCCACATATTTCAAGATGTCCATGTCGGTTTCTTCCATCTTTGGTTTGCAGGCTCGAACGTCTCTCTTCACGAATTCGGTCCATATTCAAGATCTCTTGGGCCCGGATCTCTCTTAGCTGAGTTTCTTGACGTCCGGTCTATCGAATGGCCAGGGATGTGAAAACTCCTTCCCTAGCCCTGCGACCACGGGTCGAGTAGGGCCATGCGCGTCGCGTGAGGTGCACCATGACTTGAAGCCTCAGAACATGGTCGTGAACGACCAGACTGCGGAGGTAGTTGTAGTGGATATGGGCACAGCCTTGAGCACCAAGAACGAGACTGCGATGCTGAGATGAGATTGAGATGAGGATCAGAGGAGGGCCTGGAGGAGAGTAAAAGAATAGAACAGGGATGGTTTTGGTGGTGAATTGGGCGGTGAGCTCTTTGGCAGGCAAAAAGAGAAGAGGAAGGGAGGAGGAAGAAGGAGACCAAGATGAAACAGCATGAAAAAGGACCAAACGGAGGAAACAACATGAAACAACAATATAAACACATGGTATCACCAATCAAACGGGCGCCCGGCGCTCCAAGCATAGAATGGCATAGAACTCACTTCACCCTGTTCCAACGGAGGTGCTTCAAAACTCCAAGAATCTCCTTTCGATCCTCGAAGGGTCTGCAAATTCTGACAGTGGCTCTTTACTACATCTCAAAATCGGATGTGTGGCTCTTAGCTTCGTACCAGTTGCTGTAACTGTTCTGTGCTTTCACTCAGGAAATCCGCCTGTACACCCTTTTTTCGCCCGCCCTCCTTTGATCACTACGGCGTCTTCGAATCTGAGGTGGGGGTCGGCGGCGCAGGGGCGCTCCGATCGAAAGTCCTGCCAGACATGGGAGGTCGATGGAATCGGCACATCGAGGTGTACCCGAAACACTCGGACTGATCGGCTGCCGATCAGTTGGGGTGGTGCCAGCGGGGGTCCAAGTAGGCCATATATGGCAGTCCCAGACAGGTCGTGTCTGGGGTATTTGTTTCAAGAATCCTTTTGGCATTGCTCCTCACTGTGGACACACCAACCTTCAGGAATGTCCCACATCTTTTTTGTGCCAAGAACCCCAGTTCATTCACTGTTTTCAACGGCTCAGGTGGGCTTTCACCCACCGGTTTGGTCCTATGACATCTACTCTGCTGCCTTATCCATCTTTGGCATGTCCTTAGATGGAGACTTCTCCAGCGTCAAGGGCTTGGATGGCTTCTAGGCCGCGAGCTGGGGTAGGATCCGAAAGGAAGGGAGGATGGAAGGGTGGCCATCGCACTGGGAGTGGTGGCCACTAGCAGTCTCCTGGCCTAACTCACGTTGGTTTTCCAGATCGGTGAGATTGCAAAAACTCGAGGCTTCAGCTCAGGGATTGCGAAGCAACAGCAAAAATAGAGGGTGAATGTTGGTCATATTTGCCTACATGGATCGTTGGGATATAATTTTCCCTCACTTACACCTTCTTGGATCTGGGGCCCCCTGCTCTTGGCCTGACGGTTGACCCACCTTAGACACAGCTTATGATTTTTGAAATTATGTTACTAAGCTTTACTAATATCCGGCAACATAATGAAAATAATAGACAATAAAATATTTATCAGCCATTTTCTTTTTAATTATAGTAATTAGAGAAAATTGCTGATAAGAAGGACAAATCCATTATTGTCAGTTTTTCTTTAATGGATTGTTCCAAGTGCGCCATGTATACGTGTACGTCTTATCATGTATACGGTATACGTCTTATATCGTCTTATCATCCATTAAAAAAAAAAAAACCATCTGTTTTTTTTTCAATAATCGTTCGGCTCGTGTTTTGGCGACTGAGGTCTGAGTGCCATTCCGGTCTATCCCCTCATGCTTTACGTCAGTGTGCAGAATTCGCTGGCGAGCATGAGCGTGCCGGGGCGGACGGAGATGACGTCGGATGAGAAAGGTTTGTTCCACCTCAAGCCAGTGTGGGTCACACCCAGCACCACGGATTTCGGGTGGTCATTGGATGGAGACACCACAGATTTTGGGGTTTAGTTATATATAATTATGGACCATGCTGGAGATGTAGTTTCTATCCAATGACCACCCGAAATCCGTGGTGCAGGACTAGGGGTTCTTACTGTTTGTTTGTTTTTTTGCCACGGATAAGAATTGATATTAACCATCCGTTGCTCCAAACATGGGGAATCGCAAAAATCCTTAGCCTTAGTCGGAATCATGATGTATTCTGACAAATCATTGGTGATTGAAAAGGACTGGCTTAAAACATGGCTTATACAGTGGTTTAAATCCCATGATTGCGGGGAGTGTCGTGGTTGGTTCGGGCACCGGCCTGAGGCATTGAAGCAGGCCGGGGCGGAAGTGTGCGGAAAGGCTTGTGAGACCAGCCGGCCTAGGGCCCAGCCTGTTTGTTTTGGAGCTCTGCAAGCTCCCCAAAGAGTTAAAACGTTTAGGGAACAAACATACCAATAAGCAGGCATGTACAATACATGTATAGTATGCGCACTCATTTTGCAGGTACTTGTGAGACATACTGGGCTACACTTTATTAAAACATGTAAGACAAAGTTCCCAGCGTTGTGTGACGGGGCACGCAGAACACGGACATTCGACGCATCAACGCTGGTCATGGGAGGGGCATTCAATTCATGTGGAAATCCTCATGAAGTCGTGGCTAAAGGTGGTGGGAGCCGAATCCTTTTCCATGAGATTGTTCATGGCTTTGCGCGCGGAGTTCGCAGATTCAGAAGTGCGTCGGCCAGCGGCCCAACAAGCTGTGGTCCTGCACTGAGTTTCTTGGTGAAGAACTCGTGGTGATTGGGACCTTCATGTGGAAATGTTGAGTTGCTAGGTGCTTTTGGGCTAAGATGATGACTATATATATATACAATATATGTCATTTTGTATGGGGCTCCAGCATGTTGACCACTCAGATTCAACAAGCCAGGGGCACTCTTTCTTGGTGGATCTGGGCCAGTGCAGCTGCAAATCCTGGTGAAATGGTTGCATTCCCTAGCGCTCCAGTCGCACCTTCTGAGAAAGTGGGACTGGGGCGAGTGCCAGGTGTGTCCAGTCATACCGGGAGGTACTTCGGTTACTTATGGAGCATCTTGGAGCACCTTGGAGCCCTAGGGATTGGGTGATATGTGGTTCTTCTTCACCTTGGGGGCGACCAGCAGGACGACCCTCTGTCACCTCGCGCAAGTGGCCCAAGTAGGTAACGTATGCGGTGCGGAGCCATGCGGAGCCGGCGCGATATCGGCTCCCGGGTCCATCGGCGTGAGCTTAATAAGTTCCAGTTAAAGGGGACAGAAGAAAAAAAAAAAAAACAAGAACCCTAGGGCTCCAGTCGTACCTTCTCAGAAGGTGTTTGGGGTGGGTTGAGAGGGTCCAGATACCGAACCTGAGGAGGTACGACTGGAGCCCTAGGGGAAATGATTGGAACTCTCAGGTTCCTCGTTCCAGTGCCGCGCAGGAGCGCCACATCGTTTTCGAGCGCCCACGTCGTTTTTCTTCCATTCCGCGTCCTTGCAATTCCCGCGTTTCAGCTTGCCCTGGATCAGGAAGCTCTTCAGAGATGCTTGGATCCAGGAGCATGACAAAGGCATCAAGAAGATTCAAGAAGCTCAGCTTTTCCAGACGAGTTGGATGGAGCCTAGCTGACCCGGCATGTGCCTGACTGCCAGACTGACCCACCCGGCAAGCTGTCGTGTTTTTAGGCGGGGTTTGAGTGGACGGCAGATTCAGAATGCTAGGAGATGCTCCAAACGGATGAACTACCTTTTGGGAATAGAATAGAACATTACCCTACTGTACTATAAGTCAAGTATAACTACTATATGATACGCAGAACGACCATTATATATAATATAATATATATAGATAGATCTGGAAGAAGTATATCTCATACAGTGCCGGCCAGCCCAGACTAATCATGGCCTGCCAGCAGACCATTGGGCTTTTTCTCTTTTTGCAAGTGCAAGAGGGGTAACCCCAGATACCCTAGTGGGGTGGGTGCAAGGAGGGTCCAGTCATACCGAACCTGAGGAGATATATGACCACGACCTTTTCGTACGCCCGTGTTCGTGACGTTAACTGACCACCCGACAGGTCAGGCCTACTGACCTCACCTGGAGTTGATCACAGTGAGTCCCCATGAGTCCCCTGATCTCCCAACCTCCACACAACGGCCGGCCTGGCGTCCACAGAACTGCACGCCCACGCCCGTCCGAGGAGAGCTCCGGTGATGCGCGCAAGGCAGCACTGGCAGCGGTCGTGAACTGCCGGCGATGGAAGGGCAACCCAGGCGCCCGGACCTCGCACCCTCCTGCACCTCCCTAACCACCTGCACCTCCCGTACCCTCCGTTGCAGCGGTTCGGTTTGGTCCACTGGACCCGGTTCCATGACCGTCCCCACCGAACCGAACCGATCTTCGAAGGTGCCAGAGACGTGGTTTTCTGCTCGGCCCGAGCGAGACCGACCCTGTGTGGTCGCCAGAGGGCACAGATTCTCCCAGCTCGTGTCGCTGTCTGGGACTGCCAGACGGCCGCCCCAGACAGACCTTCCTGGCACCAATTCTGGCCGTTTTGAAGGTCCGATGGCAGTCCCATTAGTGTTTAGGCACTGAACCCCCAAAAAAGAGACTTCTATAGAAGTTGGAGTGTCTTTTAAAGACGCGTCTTCGTCTTTTTCTCCCGTTCTCTTTGGTTGTTTTGTGAGAGGTAGGCAGGTAGGTGACCGGTAGGTGGGAAGGCAGGTCGCAGGGCATTTACTGGCACTGGAAGCTCCTAGTATAGGCCGTCTTTTTCACAAATCCATGGCCCTGACCGACCTGTGGCTCTTTAGACGATCGTGTGTGGCCGATCGATGCACCTGTCACCCTGGCAATCCGTCCGCGCCCGCGGTCTTGGACCACAGAATCCGTGCCTGGCGACAACAGGTGAGTTCATTTTGCAGCCCTTCCCGGGTGAGCTGCCTCCGACTCATACTGCGGCGCCTCGGCCGGCCTCATTGAGGGCCCAGGGCATCCATCTTGATACCCTAAGGCTGCAGCTATCTCTTGTCTTCGCTCGTTTTGGTGTTTTAGTATGATTAAGACCCAACTACTTTGACACTAACTAAGAATTCACCATGACGATTCTAGCCCCCATATTTATTAATATTTGGTGCATCTTCAGCTTAGTTCGCGTGCTGAGAGGCTCATGTGCAGCAGTGGCGCAGTGACGTGAAGCTTTACCCCTTCCCCCTCTCACCAACAAACATGGAAGCCTATCGCAGACCCCGCTTGGAACAAGGAACATGCCTATCGCAGGAGCAATGTTTCCACCACTTCGCTGGAGGGAGACTGGGCCGGATCTTGTGGCTGGCGCCTTCAAGTCTCTGAAGCAGGTGCCAGATCTAAGCTACCCTCCGCCTGTCACCCCGCAAGAGACCTCCCTCCGCCCTCCTATAAACTCTCCCCCCGTGCTTCTTTTGTTCAAGTGAGTGACGCACTGCATGGGCCGAGGATTTCTTTTGGACCTTGGCAGATGATTGGAGACTTGGCCCCGAACTGCTTGTCAGCTGTTTGCGGTCACTGCTGGCGTCGTAGGATCAGCTGTGCGGCCCAAGACTGATCAGCTGGCGTCATGTGACAAAACTGCAACGGCGGAGGTTTTGGAATGAACGGTTTCTCCCAAGCTTCTCCCCAGTGCTTTTAGGTGACGTTGAGCCTGACCGCGCGAGCCGCGCTTGGAGGGGAAAAGCCAAGCTCCCCAGTCGGGGTCTTGGACACGAAAACGAATGATTCATGATACCCTAGGGCTAACAAGTACCTGCTCAGGTTCGGTATGACTGGACTCGAACATGGCACCCGGGCCCCCAGTCCCACCTTCTCAGAAGGTACGACTGGAGCCCAAACGGGATGTTCATGTAGGCGTGATTGAGGCCGAAAACGAGGCACAGCGATCACGCAGCGGAATGGCGAATGTGCTCATTCATGGGCTGATGTGATTACATTTGTTCCACCGTTTCCACACGTGGAGCCGAGAAAACAAAAGAGCTCATTGTTCGCGATAATGGGTTTGTTTTTAAATCGGTGATCGGTGTTTTGTACTTCTTGTGTGGTTTGGCTATTGTATTCTTGGTATAACTCTGCCTTTGTGGTACTCCATCGAATGTGTGTGTGTGTGTGTTTGCACGTCCCTCACTTGGGAAGAACAGGGGTTGTGCGAATTATCAGGTGGCCTAGCGGCCTAGGCCTAGCCCACTTGGTCTTCACTTGTTGGGGGTACCATGCCAGCTGGCACATGAAAATAGCTACGACAATTGTGCTTATGACCACCCCTTAGGGAGCCCTGGTATTATGATTCTATTTGTTTTTCCAGCTCCTTGACCGCAGAATGTGAGCAAAACAGGTTTCCCTATAGACTCCTCCATGAAGGTGTAAAATCGGGCTTTCCACTTCTGGTGTTTTCAGGGTGGGCTTCAGTCCGTGGCAACTCGCGCAAACCACCAAGGATGGCGACAGGCTTCGATGAGGCACTGTACAACACTGCATTTGCCGCGGAATTTTCTGCTGCACTGGTGAGTTGAATCTTCTTAGACCCTTCTGACGCAGTTGAACTCTCATCGTGAAGTTGAATCAAGCCGACTCATGTTCCTTTTCCAGTGATGCAACATGATGCAACCCAGAGGGTTGCATCACATATTCTAGAACATTTGACTTTATAAGGCTGGTATACTTCAAGACATGGAACATGGAACATCGGGTGCATGGTCCTTTCCAAGGAAACTCTTGTTCATGGTCTTCGCAGGTGTTCTTCGAGCCGCGGGGCTTGGGGGAGAAAAACCTCCCAAGCTCGAGCCAACAGACTGAAACATCAGCAGTTGAACACATCAAGGCATGCCATGGTCTTTTTGCGGAGAAGATCTTGTGAGGTCACCTCATCTCCAAAGGTGTGTAGTAGAGATATCTCAAAGTCTTGCACCAGTGCACATGTCTCCAGATTTTCAATGAGGACCTGCTGGCGCAGGTGCTTTGAGAATGTGTTAGAAGCCTGACAAGTGTTTTTTGGGGCACTGGACTGTCACCTGGCATCATTTGTTGGAGGGTCCAGGAATGAGGGTCCCAATGATAATTATTTTTCGTCCATTGTCGGAGTACACTGTAGATGACATGGAGTTGAATTCTATTCCCTAGGTCTCCAAGCACATCCTCAAAAGGTACACCCTAGAAACCCACTCCAGCCACCTTCTGAGGATGTGGAGTTTTGGGAGTTTCACAGACTTGGTCAACGAAATCAATTCCCGAAGACCCATGTGACAAGTTCCCACTGGTCTCACCACTTGGACGTGCCAGCTCTTGGTGAAGATGGTCAGCACCCTGGCGAAGCAGGCGCTCGTTGACATCTTGAGATCTCTAGATCGTCCGTCCGATGGGGAGGACTCAAGGGAAAAGCCGTTATGAGAGGTCTCACTCCTTTGATTCCCTTATTTTTTGTGCGTTGTGTTCACGTGAGTCTTTTCACGGACACGTTGTAAACGTGCGAAAACCGTCTGCCCTAGAGCTTGGTTTGTGAAGACGAAGATGGATCTCATGTCCACCTAGGGTGTGTCCCATTACCACTCTGTCATGACAGTCGTTATAACATCTTTTGGACAACGACCATTACTTCATCATCCGCCGGGCCCTCTGTCCATGGGATGTGGCCCCACCATGTCCACCCCAGGTTTCCCCACACAACCAAAACCGCCACCGTATGGGTCCCCTTTGGGGCCGCTGGGGTATGTGGGTTTTTTCCGCTCCGGGCCCTGAGGTTCGAATCCTCAAGAACGCCCCAGGCCCAGCGAAGTCTTAGAACCTTGGCGGAGCCTTCGGAGGGATCTTCGCACAGCGCAGACGAATCGGATTCGGCCATTCCTCTCACTGAGAGTCCCGAGTTCTGGTATTGGGTCGTCTGGTATAATGGGGTGGGGGATGGCGGGAGGCATTTGGAAGCAAGAAGGCTGAGGTTCTGTTTAACTGCTTTGGTGATGCATTGGCTTTGGCCGTTTCGACCCTGAGTCACGGGCTGCCCCAGTTGACCAACGTCACAGCTAGCTGTCGCAGGTCGTCAGGTCCAACATCAGCTGGTCCTGGCCGCCTGGCCTCGGAACCCTTCAGCTGTTCCATAAAGTTCGGTCCAACAAGAGGCTAAGCGGCTTGTGGTGTTTCCATTGAGGCGCCTAAGGCGAGGTACAGAGAAAAAGGTGTTATGAGTCATAGATGTTTTAACAAATGCCAGCAGCGAACCCAACAGGTCTCCGAAATGGAGGGTCGGAAAGGGCCCTAACAGTAACAGGTTTCAATTGGTGACCCGTTGGAGGTGCTTTTATATTATAATATTATATAAATATCATATCTTATAATCTTATATACAAATATTTAGATATGCATTCAATCAACAGCAGTTTCGTCAGTTGAGGATTTCCCACTCCTTGAGTTGGTTGGCTCGATGCCGCACATGAGGCTTGCGCTTGTTTCACGGCCGGAGTGCCAGGCAACTGTGTTCACATCAGCCATTTGTTGGACACCGACTTGCTTGCTCCGCCGGAGCTAGTATGAGCTAGTGGGTACCAATTCACAAGGGCTTCCTGCTACTCCCACTGCACCTATACTCACTTGTTTGCAGATGGATCAGTCCTCTTTGAGACCCGGCCGGACGGTCGATGTGCCTAGGAATCCAATTGGTTCAAGACAGACTCTGCCTCTCGTTTGCGGTTGCGGGAGGTCAGTGGGTCTGTGATGAGTTTGTTGTAGGTGTTTAGGGCACAAAGGGCAGGTTCGACCTTCGAGTTTGGGTGTCAAGCGCAAAAAGAGTTCAAGACCTCCACTAGCTGTTGCCCAGGAGGGGGCAATTGGGCAGCCGGGGCCAATATATTCCCCATTGAACGGGTAGCCGCAGGTAGCCGTTCAGAGCTAGGTTGGGAGTTCCCCAACCCGTTGCTAAAAAGCGTGATCAAACGATCTCAAACGATGTCCCAGACACTCCATGGGACTGCCATATATGCCTACATTAGGGTGGTGTTGGGGGGTCAATGTAGGCATATATGGCAGTCCCATTAGTCGTGTTGGTGTGTCCAACTCTCAGACCACCACGCCACCGTCCCTGTGACAGCATGGCGTCGAACATCGCGAGAGATTTCACGAAGATTAAGTCCCCAAGTGTTTTTTGCATATAGACCCCCCCCAAATAGATAGAAAAGTACAATCACTTTCAAAAAGTACCGGAGGCCTTTTTATTTTATTCTCTCTCTCTCTCTATATGGGGACCATTGGGGACCACTATATATTAATATATATTAATATATATTAATATATAATTTATATATGTGTTTTGTGCTTCATCCCGAGTTTTCCCCCCCCAAGCCCAAGCGCGATGCGCGCCATGCGAGCCCTAAGGTGACTGAGCAGGGCAAACCTGTGGAGTACACTTGCCCAGAGATGCCAGTCTTTCGGATGCGAGGGCGTGCGCGATCCAGGGGAAACAAGTGAAGAACAGGCCATCGCCCTTAGGATGGAGGCCATCACTACTAGCGACGGCCTCCATCCTGAGAGCCATGGCCTCCAACCTACTAGCGATGGCCTCCATCCTGAGAGCGATGGCCTCCAACCTACAACTTCAGGTTGACATGTGTTTTGGGTTTGGCATGGCTTAATCACCTTCAGCCAAACGGTGATTCTCCTCACCTTCAGCCTCAAGCCAAACCCTCAAAACCAATCGAACAGTATGCCAACCAAAGTGTTCATATGTTTTGTTCTATCGCACGATGCTTAGGGCAGCTTCCATGGGATACTTGTTTCAACTATTGTGATGCACATCGATGTCCAACGGGGTTTTTTCGTCCCAAATGGAGAGCGACACTCAACTCCTCAACATCATATTCTTTTCTGTCAATGTTTGCATCCCAAATTGGCCTGTCGCCTTCAATTTGCTCGTCATTCTCCACTGGATCGGGTGCACATGTAGCCGCTCAGCCTACCAAACAGTGTTGCTTGGACGCTGGGTTGTTAGCCTTCTTGTACTTGAGCCTCTCAGCCTGCTTCTTGTCAAACCTTGCCGCCCTTGAGGTGGCAGATTTTGCCGTGCTTTCGAGCAACTTGGGCAGTACAGGTCGACGACCAAACCTGGAAATTGGACGAAGAATCTATGGTTCTGGGAGTTGGCGGTCAGACTAAACAACATCCAACAAGCCCTGACTGGCAGCCCTGACATCCCTGACTGACCGAGGTTTTTGATGGAAGAAAGGAGCTTTAAGCTTGTTAGCGGCTAAAATCTAAAACATGCTAAAACCATATTCCTATATCTCCTTGTCAGGGCATTGATCCTGAATCGCTCAAGCTGAGAAACGTTCGACTCCTTTTGGTGGTGTATTCTGCACCGAATCTGGGATGGATGGTGGCTCAGATGGCAACTGCAGCTCCAAGTTTCTGCTTGAATCCTTTCCAGACCATACTCCAACCTCCTCAGCATTTTAAAGTATTTCAGAGGCTGGTGAATGGAATGTAAGAACGGCATTATTACTAAGCTAATTTCTTCCAGATTCCATTTTACTTCCCGTCCTTTGCCTTTGAGGCGATGAATTGACTTTGTCGGTGTGTTCCCGAGGTTTCTACTCCTCAGTGGTTTAAATTGTTTTTCGAACAGGACGCGTGCGGGGACAGATTCGGCTCTTGATGATCTTTGGATATCTTTAGGATCTCCACCGCCAGAGGCGCATGCAGGCGCGTGTGCATGTTACTCCACCAGTGCCATGACATTTTCTGGGTCTCCATTTCAATGACTGCTTTGTGGGGTTGAAGGGTTGCTAGCTCAGGAGAAAAGCGACGACCCGTGAAGCAGGAAACCCAGGGAGCTCTCCAACCCCAGCCAAAGATGGACTCCCCCCGTAGGTGTTACCACAGGATACAGTGACCCATGGTGACATAGGTTCTTCATTTAGGGTAGTGACTAGTGGGGTCTCCCCTACAGCCCACCACCGCTCCCACTGGGGGCCCAACCGGTGACTGAGGTATGTTCACTGCCACTGGGACGGGAGAGGGTCTCGTGCCGCGTGCCACCCCTGACACCGCGGGACGATGGAGGGCGCCCCCAGCCGACATCAGGTGAACTCACTCCACTTCCGATTTCAAACAGTGTGAGGTCTTATGGGTCTTCTGGGTTGAAAACGCTTGGGAAGTATGTCAAAGATTTGGCTTAAACCCTTGGAAAGGGTTTGGAATTGCAGCTGCATTGGCATAACAGATATGATATGTCTGGAAACGAGCCTTGCTAAAGTCTGGCAATTAAGACGACGTGTCTAATCAACTTTAATCATGTTTTGATTTGATTGCAAAACGAAGGGTGCCCCCTGACCAGCGTGTGCACTTTGCAACACTTGGCCAAACTAAGGAAAGAAGCACTTGAGAATTGAAATGAACCTAGGGAGGGAAAATATGTGGTGACTTTTGCTTGGCTATAGCTGTGTGATGATTGGTGCTCACGCACTGGCAAACACCAGATCCATTCGAGGTCGTCCATGTCTTCTCCTGTCTCACCTGCTGCGTGTGCTATGGTGGGACATGTCTCACAGCCAGGCATGGGACGCGTGGTCCGCGCGGCCTGGGGGGCAGTTGTTGGGAGCTTTTGAGGTCGGGTGGCAGAGATGGATCATTGATTCCAAGACTTGGTTTGAGGGAAAACCTGCAGGAATGCAATAGTTTGAGGGATGAAGGTTCAGGGTTTCCTGCATATGTTCCTGTAAACCAATTGATTCATTGATCGTTCAATCCTGAGAGTCTGGGAGACGTTGATCGTTCGATGTCCACGACATCAAGTCGCGAGCGAGCGAGCGAGCAAGCTCCGCGGGGCTGGAGAGACGATCCGAGGTGTAGAGATCTACTGGGTTGTCTGGTGTTCCAGGGCTGAGCAACTACCAGGAGTCACATGTCGCTCGGGGTGGTGTGGCTCCTCCCATGGATAGCACCCCGACATGTGACTGCTGGTGTATGTGAGTTCTTGCTTTAGGTACCGGAGGATGGTGAAACAAAGGTGCTTTATATGCCAGTGGCTCACTGCCTCTCTCCCTACTGGGCGATTCTCGGAAGGTATATTACTATACTGGAATATTCTGGAATATTTGGCAGACACTCCATGTATGGCATGTATTGATCTACATCCCTACAGTACTACATGTGTCCCTCTTCCAACATCCCCCAAGATCAGATTCAAGCAGCAAGGTTTAGCAATCGAAAGGCCATAGTCCATCATAGTTCTCTTAGAGATCTTACCCTACACCTCCAAGCACCTCCTTAGAAGGTAGTTGGACCCTCCTGGCACCCACCCCAGTCCCACCTTTTCAGAACGACTTCTTCGGCCAAACGGGCAAGTCTTCCCCACCAAGCAACGACGCACGACCCTGCACGGACTCCGAAAACGCGGCCTACGCGGCCGCACCGTGCAGTCGCCTGGCGGTGGAAGCATGGAAATGGTCCATGGCCTGGGGGGGCCTGCTGACCCTCGGCCGACCAATAATCGGCGGCTCGCGTTGGGTGGCGACAGCGCGTTCGACCCCATTCCTCTCTTGAAATAGTACTACGATCCGTGGGGCTTCCTTCAAGAACTGGGCGGCCCAGGCGTATTTCTGTGCACATGTGGAGATATCCGAAATCAGCTCTATCATAGGTTCTCGCACCCCACGTCACCTCGGTGATGTTCTCCCAACAGCGATCACAACATCATCTCCAACATGCATATATGTTCCGGAACTGGCAAACCTAGGTTTCAAAGAGGCCTCAGTTTGGTTAGCTGTTCTCATCCCTGTGTGTTTGTACAGTGGTTTTCAAGTAAGTAGATGGCACGGTCCACCCCCCATGATGTCCACAGATGGGGCTCCACATGGCTCCACTGACCTATTCGGACCCTGACAGTGTCGAGGTTCGGATGAAGCAAGAAGTTCGGTCCTGGTTGAACTGAACTCCGGATGTCTTCCGCTCGGAGGAAGACATCGATCGATCCATTCTCAACAGGAGTAACAGGTGGAGCATTCTGCCAAAGTCCTGTTTGCAACTTTAGGTGTCCCCACTCCAAAGTAACAGGTGGAGCGTTTTCTTGGGATATCGCACCGCTTCAGCGCGGTGGAAGCGCACAGATTACATGGGTAAATGTATCGGTAGCACCCCACAAGGATACGGGATGATACGGGTTGGTTATTGGTGTGGGAAGAAGCAACTTGTGCTGTCGGAGCCGGTCTGTCTCGGTCTGTCTGTAGTCTGTCTGTCTCGGTCTGTCAGTCTGCCTCGGTCGGGACACTCGGACGAACACACCCACGATCTCAATAATGCAGTCTTCCCCGGGCTGCATGCCCGGCATCGCGAAAAGACATAAAAAACATACCAATTCTCGGGCAACAAAACGTCCCCAAGCTAAAGCTGAAGCTGTTGATCTAGCAGCTGTTCTTCCGGTTTATGCGAAGCCTACACAACGCCTCAGCACCTTCAGTGCGGATTTGGTTAACTGTGATTGCCCCACCAAAAGGACTGCTTGGGGATTTTCATGGATCTTTTTCAGCCGCGAGACGTTGTTGGTGCTCGAAACTTCTCCTCAACCGCTTTGACGAAGCCACCAGGTCACCGGTGTAACACCCATCATGACGCCCAGGATGCTCCTCAGCCCCTTCGTGGCGCGCATGACCACTGTACTTTGGTCTTGGCAAGGGGGGGTAGTTCGAGCCTCTCCAGGAATCGAGGTGTAAAATGTTTGAACACCCGTTTCACCATGTTTCACCATGTTTCATAGTAGATGCCAACTAGTTCTTCTTGTTTTCGGCCGAGGTGTGGGTGGGGAGCCTTCTATTGGCCCTTTTGTTGACAGACTGTTGGGGGGAACTTCATGGGATTTTTTGGGCCGCAAAGAGGCGCTAGCCAAAACAGCCCAAGAGACATTTACGCCCTGGAAAAATAACATGGGCTGAAAACCACTGGGCTGTAGAGGACAATCGTCTTCCAAAGGCCACATTTTCAGGTCCCATCCTTTTGGAAACCACCCGACCTGGGGGAGGTCCTCGGAAGGTCTCTCCTCCTGGATTTCGCCCAAGGCGAAATAAGCGACGTTGGGGACCAAGAAGAAGGGAGGAAGACGTCGTGTTAGGTCGAGTGACCCAAATGGGGGAGATTTTTGCTAGTATTCTTGCTATGGTTTAATGACCTCATGACTAAACACGAAACAGTTGAATGTTCCATGTAGCATTGGGCTCAAACGTGGTATGCCCACCTGTTCCACTTGTTCTAAGTGGAACCTTCTCGCCGGTCGCTGCACGGTTTGCGGGAGTGCAGACCGGTTGTGGGCGCTCATCTCGAGTGATCGTATTCCTCCCACTCGTGAAGCGGAGGCAAAGGTCACTAAGATCTTGGACACTGCCTTCTACTCCGTGGGGCGCCTTGTACAAGAAGAAGAGGAAGAGGTAGTAAAGGGAGAAAGGTCTCCCAGCAAGGGCTCCAAGGGAGAGAAGTCTCCTAAAGTAGAAGAGGCTGAGAGGAGTGAGAAAGGCAGAAAGATCAGAGGTGAGGAGAAGGCCAAGAAAGCAGGTCCAGAAGAGGAGAAAAAGAAGTCAAGAGAGAAGGAAGGAGGTGCAGGAGGAGTAAACGCAGAGAAGAAGGAAGCTCCCGCGAAGGGTGTATACGTGGTTGAGGAGAAGAAGAGTTTGCCCAAGAGGAAAGAAGAGAGCAAGTCGAAGAGGAGCAGATCAAAAACCCCGAGGCATCAGAAAGAGAAAGAAAAGAGGAAGGACAGGAAGAGAGATTCCAAGTCAAGATCTGTTAGCGGCTCTGCAGTAAGAAAGAAGAAAAGGGAGGATTATATCTCCCAAAAGCCAGTGTGTGAGGAGATTCCCGGTTCCGCCAAGCCTAGCAATGGGATTCAGAGAGAGACCTACTTGAGGCCAAGGCCAAGCCGTCGGGAACCTAGGTCGCCGAGGACGCCAGATCACCCACCACCGCGAGTGCCACCTGTTCAGCCAGGAGGAGGTCGTGGAGCAGCTCAGGGCTCAGGGTGGCGAGGAAGCATCCCTTATTCTCATCACCCGCGTTGGACTGAGAGTACCAACAAGGGGATAACCAAACGCGCCAAACAGGAACTGCACGAAAGGAAGCAGTACAGAGGGCGTTGGTGAAGGGAGTTATGGCTCCCAAGATGAGAAGACCAGCATCGGCCTTGACGCGAGGGAGATCTATGAGGAGACCAGCAAGGGGCCGAGCAGAGGAGGTTGAGGAAGAAGAGAAACCAGTGGTAGAGGAATATCATCCGTTGGCATCATTGACTATAGACATTTTGAGGAGGCTTGACATCATTGAACTTGGAGAAGCTTCGCACTATGGGGGGCATGTGAAGGTTGCAGGGCGAGTTGTCGGCTTGAAGCCCAGTGAGGAGGAGATGGATTTCGAGTTGACAGGAACCTTGACGGATAAGATCCTTGAGCGCTATGGAGGAGGCGGAGCCCGAAAAGTTCGAGTCCATGTGTGCCCCAAAGAGTGCGGGCAGCTGACTACGGGAGATGGCTATTTCCATGCCAAGGGGTATTGGAACGCAGCTATAGCCTCGAAGCCTTGGCACACAAATTTGATCCCGGCGAAGGGCAAAGTTGACGAGGAGGTTGATGAGCTGGCAAGCTTGAGGGAGATGGCAGCGGCTCGAGGCAAAGGAAGGGGAGGTGAGGCGCCTCCCAAAGAGGTTGACAAGCCGGCTAAGGAGGGTTCTGAGGAACAGGAGGCAAAGAAGAAGAGAAAGAAGAGGGAAGAGGAAAGAGCGAACAGCCGAGAAGGAGTTCGATGAGCTCCTTGCCAAGAAGGAGGAGGCTGAGGAGCTGGAGAGAGGACAGAAGACAGCCCGGGCGATCTTTGGACACACGTGCCTTGATCCGAACGTGCCACGGAGGAGGAGATTGATGAAGAAGGCGCGCCGGGTTAGCAAGAAGAAGGAGAAGAAGAAGAAAAGATCCGAGTCTAGTGAGTCAGGTTCATCCTCTTCTTCGAGCACTGAAGACAAGACAGGGTCGGAGGAGGACGGACCGCTCTTCGAAGAAACCCGGAGGGTGCGGAAGTTGAGCGAGCGTTGTCCTGGGGCGCTCACCTCGCAGGCGCTCGACAACGTCCGGGAGCATCTTCTATCCTCGCGCGGTGAGCTCCATAGCATGTCAAAGGATCAGCTGAGTCCCCTTTTCTCGATGTACGTGCACCAGCATTTGCAAAGCTTGGCAAGTCCAGTGCTTTGGCAGGAGATTCTGACTGTCGCTCAGGTCTCTGACTTGCTTCTTCGTCGGAAGGTGGCAGCTGCGCTTGATATGCTTGTTCAGAGGGCAAAGAGTCTCGAGTCGACTTTGCGAGGTGGGCACTATTCGGTCTCCCGCCAGCTGGAGTTGGTCAACTCGGAGCGTGTCCGCATGGCAGAACCTGCCGAACAAATGGAGGCAGCTCGCAGCGCGAGGGATGATTTTCGCAACCGCACCGTAGGAAGCCGGCCCCATGGGCTTGGTCAGAAGACAGAGGTAGAAGGACAACCCAAAGGACGTGGAAAGGCCTATCCTAGCTCAGATCCATCCCAGCGACCCAAAGGGGGTGAGAAAGGGAAAGGAAAGGAAAAGCAGAAACGGGGAAAGAAGCAAAAAGACGACAATTAGGAAGGGAGGCTGAGGAAGGAAAGGCTTTGAACACGTCCAAAAAGAGGCAGAGAGAGAAAGGGTTGATGAGTGAGAGAAGTCAAGATGCCAGGAAAGGTGAGGATGAAGAAAGGAAGAAGGAGGAAGGACTTGAGAGGGCGATAGATGAGCTTCTGGTGGAATGCCGCCGAAAGGCCACTGGAGGAGTTGAAGAGGAAGGACCGTATGAGCCTGGGGAGGAGCTGGAAGTCCGTAAGAGGCCGCAAAGCTCTTTAGGCTGGGCAGGGGAGGAGGAGGATCCCTCCCATCCAGAGTGGAAGAGGAAGCAATCTGTAGGCATGGGCCACGGACAGCGCCGAAGCTCTGGAGAGGATTTTTTCGAAAGAAGTACAGGGGAGTTGAGCCATCACTCCCAAGTTGCATGTGAAGTGGCTCCGCGACTGGCTTTGACGCCGTGCCGTGGGGAAGATCAGAAGACAGAGCATGGACAATGGAGCCAATGTCAAATGATCTTGCAGAAGTTGTGTGCAAAAAAGGAATGTCTGCTGAAGGATGTGGGGCCGGCACTTTCTCAATCCCTGGAGGTGTTGTCACAGACCACGCGTTGCGGGCAGTCCACGGAGGGGGTTTTCCCTCTCCCGCTTCCTGTGGGGTTGAAGGAGTGCTTGAAAGCCTGTCCCACGTTGGATTTGGTTGTGAGGGGTTTGAACAGCCTTTATGGGGTTGAATCAAAGGGTCTGAAGAAGGTCAATAAGGTGCAGAAGAGGATCATTGAGAGACTTAAAGGAGTGGTGGAGAGCAGTGAGGTTTCCCGGTTGGTGCTCCCCCCAGTTTGCCTGGATCAGTTCTTTGCCACAAAAGGTATTGACTATTCTGGTGAGGAGGTTCGCGTTGCTCGAGCATTTGAGTGGAAGATGATAGCCGCCGCCTTTCCCGAGGGGGTAGGAAGTCTAGACCTGGGGGAATTCTGTGATGGCGGAACCCTTTCTTACGTCGCTGAGTTTGAGAAGTTCCTGCTCCCGCCTCAGGATCAGCGCTTGGGAAAGACGCCAGCCGTGATGGTGAGCCAGACGAACTGGGCCGAGGTGTGCCTGGGACTGCTCGAGCGGGGAGTGTGTGGGCTCATGAAGAGAGAGCAGCTTTACCATGTTGGTGATAGACCTGTACTTAACGGCCTGTTTGCAGTTGAGAAGGGAGAGAAGGCTGTAGATGACAAAGGTGGAGAATTCGAGGTATGCCGGCTGATCATGAATCTGGTCCCAACAAACGGTCTATGTCGAAACCTTGTCGGAGACACATCCACACTCCCCACGGTCACGGGAATGGCTGGCACTGTTTTAGATGACGGAGAACTTCTCCTCACGTCGTCAGAAGACGTGAGGTGTTTTTTCTATCTCTTTCGGACTCCAGTTGAATGGCACCGGTTCATGGGGTTTGCAAGGGAGGTTCCGCCCGAAGGCCTCCCAGCAGGTTACTCCGGCACCGGTTGGCACTTGGTAAGTAGGGTGTTGCCCATGGGGTTTATAAACTCCGTGGCGATTGCTCAGCATGTACACCGCAGAGTCATACAGCAAGCATTGGGAGGAGAAAAGCAACTGGCAGGCCGACAACAGGAGATTCGCCGCGATCGTCATCAGAGCACGGCCCCTCATCAGTACCGTGTGTACCTTGACAATTATGACGAGCTGCGCAAAGTGGATAGGGCGCTTGCCGAGACCTTGAAGGGGACTCCGTCAGCCTGGACTCTGGCCGTAAGGGAGACCTACCAGCAATTGGGTCTCCCACGTCATCCCAAGAAGGGCGTCACTCAACAGGTGCAAGCTGAAGTACAGGGGGCCTGGGTTGATGGAGACTTGGGCCGTGCCTCGCCCAAAGCGGACAAGGTAGGTAGGTATGTGAGGTTCGCCTTGGAGCTCTGCATTGCCGGGAAAGCGTCGCAGCGTGAGTTGCAGGTAGTTGGTGGAGGCTTCGTCTACATTGCAATGTTCAGGCGACCATTGCTGTCAGGTTTGAATGCCATCTGGAGACAAGTGACTGAGCTGAGCAAGTGGGGACCCAGGTGTAGGCGACCCCTTCCCACTGCGGTGGCGCTTGAGTTGTTGAGGTTTATCGCTTTGACCCCCTTGGCCTACATGGACTTCAGACTGAGTACCTCGGAACTGGTCACAGCCAGTGATGCATCTACCACCGGAGGCGGACTGTGCGTCAGTCGAGAGCTTAGTCCTTTTGGGGTAGCGGCTTGTCAGGCAGAGTGTCGCGGAGATGCAGTTGAGCCGGAGGAGATAGACCAGGTTCTCGTTGTGTCGCTCTTTGATGGGATAGGTGCGTTGCGGGTTGCCCTGGATGCGCTGCGTGTGCCTGTAGGAGGATATGTGTCGGTTGAGATTTCGCCCGAGGCCAACCGAGTGGTGGAGTCGTATTTTCCGGATGTCGTCTGCATTGAAGATGTTGCCGCGATCACTGAGGAGCATGTGATTGAATGGAGGTTGCGCTTTGCCAGCGTAGGACTTGTGCTTTTAGGCGCTGGACCACCGTGTCAAGGCGTTTCCGGACTCAACGTCGATCGGAAGGGGGCACTTCGAGATCTGCGATCTAGCCTTTTCCAGCATATCCCCAGGATCGAAGCCTTGATTCGCAAGCACTTTAGTTGGTGCCCGGTTCATCGCCTTGTTGAGAATGTCGCTTCGATGGACGTCCAGGACTGTGAAACCATGTCGCAGGCATACGAGACTACGCCGTGGTTGATAGACGCAGGTCAGGTGAGTCTTGCCAGGCGGCCTAGGTTGTACTGGTGCACCTGGGATCGTTGGAGCATGCCCGGAGCCACAGTGATCAAGGGGAGAGAGAGTGCTCTCCCAGTGCAGGGGCGCGTTGAGTTGGTCGCAACAGTGGATGAGCAGGACTTCCTGGAGGCTGGCTGGCGCCGTGTTCGTGCGGACAGTCCCTTTCCCACGTTTACCACTGCTAGGCCGTCGCCTCAGCCGGGACGCCGGCCCGCAGGGCTCAGTTTGTGTCCCCCGGATGCAGTCGCTCGGTGGAAAGCGGACCTACACCGGTTCCCGCCATACCAATACCGTGCTGAGAACTGTGTGGTGAACCGCGCAGGCGAACATCGGGTTCCTTCAGTCAAGGAGAGGGAGGCCATTCTTGGGTTCCCTATGGACTATACCCGTCGGTGCATGGTCAAGAGCATGGAAGGGAAGCCAGATCACAATGACTGTCGGCTCCGTTTGCTTGGTAACAGTTGGTCAATTCCAGTGGTCGTCTACTTGCTCTACTGCCTGTTTCGTACCCTTGGAATGTTGCCCGACCTTGACGTGGAGACGCTTGTCTTGCGGTTGACCCCAGGGAAAGAACAGAACCTTGCAAGCCTCCTGCTCCGACCTCCCATTCGCCAAACCACCAAGGCGGGGGCGCCTCCAGTGGGGCTGGTGCCACGGTTGTTAGGGCAAGTCTCTGTCAAGGGAGAAGACATCCTGCTTCAATTGGGCACGGATCTCCCAGCAAGATACCACAGGTTACGAGCTTCGATTCCCAGCAAACTTTGGCGATGGAAGGATGTGGCAGGGTGGCGCTGGACAGGTGATGCGGAACACATCAACGCCTTGGAGCTGCGCGCAGTCAAAACAGCCATAGTTTGGAGGTTGAAAGAGCTAGAGGAAGGAGCCTGCCGTTTTTTGCATCTGATCGATTCTCTTGTGGTGCTGCATGCTTTGTCAAGAGGAAGATCGTCGAGCCGCCGTTTGAGGAGAACCTTGTGTAGGATTGGAGCGCTTCAGTTGGCAAGTGGGCTTGTGGGTGTGTGGGCCTACGTGGACACACACCAGAACCCGGCCGATCGGCCGTCGTGAAGACCATTACATCGGAAATGGGGAAAAAGGCCACAAAAGTGATGGAAGGTAGGAGTCAACAGGAGCGCAAGAAAGTCCGAAGCAAGCTAGGTTCACTCAAAGGGCTCACAGTTCAACCTCGCACAAGAGAACGATATACAGACTGCTTAAACCGCTTTTTCGACTGGTTGACAGGGGAGGGATTGGTCCTCCCAAAGCGGCAGAACCTCCTCGATGGCCTGGTCAGTGACTACCTTGAACATCTGTGGGCGGTAGGCGAAGGCAAGTCAATTGCCAATAACATGAGCAGCTCTTCAGGACCGTGATCCCTCTCTCAAGCGAAAGCTTCCAGCAAGTTGGCGGTTGCTGAAAGCCTGGACATCGGTAGAGATCCCGAATCGGGCGCCGCCCTTAACCCTTCAGGTTCTGGATGCTCTCTGTGGGTGGTCAATTTTTAACGACTGCCCCACCTTTGGCTTGTCGCTGCGTGTCGCATTTTTTGGTTTGTTGCGCACAGGAGAACTTCTGAGCCTACGGGCAAAGGATGTGTTCATCCCTGGGCCGAAGGGACCGGCCGTGCTGTCATTAGGCCTGACTAAGGGAGGCGCACGCCAAGGAGCAGCCGAAAGTGTAACCCTGCATGAGCAGTCCATCCTCCCAGCTTTGTGGCGTTGGAAGCAGTCCAGTTCTCCAACAGCCTTTTTAACTCTCAAACCTCATGCTTGGCGAGCATTGTTTGCTCGGGCCATTGATGCATTGCGCCTCACTGACCAACATTTCAGACCTTACAGTTTACGACGTGGTGGCGCGACGTTCCACTTTAACCATCACGGATCGTTCGACACCCTCCTTGTCCAGGGGCGGTGGGCAGCAGCCCGTACCGCCCGTATATATTTGAACGACGGTTTAGCACAGTTGGCAGATCTGTCTCTGTCAAATTCATCCCTTGCTCCTTACCTGAACTTGTATCGCAAGAGCCCAACCCTTGAGCCAGCAGTGCCTTCAAGGCCCTGCAGATCAGGGGGACGTGGAGCCAAGAAGAAGGGCAAGCCGAAAGGTTGAGTTTTTCTTTTTTCCGAATCCGCGGGTCGATTTCTCGGGGGTGAGAAATCAATGAAACCACATTGTAAGACTGGAGTGAGTCAAATGATGGTTTCCCTCTCATGAGTATCCGAGCCTGGGGGACATCCGGTTTGGCGGATGTGGCCTCAGGGGATACTGGGGGGCTCTCTGTTCCTGTCGGTTTGGCGAGGGAACAGAGAGTCGGGGCCCCGAGAGGTAATTGTAGGTATGAGTTCGTTGATTTTGTAGACAAACTTTCTGCAACGCGTGGAAAAAGTAAACTGTGGTCGTGTTTATGTATGCCTGCTTATCCCTACAAGCCGCTCAGTGTACTGGAGTTGTAGTCGAGGACCATGTTTTAGTTGGCTGGACTGGACTTGTAGGATATGTACATATAGCATATACAGTATATACCAGCACCTTCACCATACTAGCTCCTTGTCTACCCGCAATTCACCTCCTTCCGTCGTTCGGATGTGCCCCTCATGTTTGAGACACGGTTGGGGCCATCTCAGGACTTGGCCATCCTTTGGATGATTCTCATGATGCCCTGCGGGTTGGCTTTGATGGTTGGCGCTTGCAAGTCCTTACCGGCGGACAAGGACAGGCAGAGATCCGACCTGGACATCTCCCACTCCAACATCCTGCAGAGGATGTTTGTTGATTCAATGGTTGAGCGAGTAACTATAGCTTCAATATGTTTCCATCTTGGACTCCATGTTCCTAAAAAAGTCTACCCGAATCAATCCCCCGAGTGCGTCCACCAAATCACAAAGATAAAATATACATATATATATATATATATATGCATGTTTTGGAGGGGACCACATCCAATGGAGGAACGTCATCATGTCACACCCCGGCCTGTATGCCAAGAAAAGGACCACGGGATTTGGCATTGCCCATGCACCCAGATGATGTAAACTATGTAAACCCCTAGGGATCTAAGTACCTTCTCAGAAGGTATGACTGGACCTCACACAAACTCACAATCCTGATTCCACGAGTCTGTGTTTAGGATGATAAATTCCCAGACACTCGGACTGGCATACTTGCGGATCAGATGGGGTGGTTTGGGGGGTCAACGCAGGAGATGTAGGCATATCTTCCAGCCATCGACAAAAAAGCAGATCAGATGCGTCAGGAAACCAAGGTCAAATCCATTCTGGTGGCCTCAGCCGTGCTGTGTCTGGGCGGCAAAATGGGGAGAGATGTGCGAAGACACATTTTTTGCACATGTATACCAGTCGTTCATTCCAAAAGAAATCACTCACTCCCTTAAATATGCAAATTGTTCACGCAGTAGTAGTATGAACCACAATACATTCCAGGAATCCTGCATCACTGGTCCCGTGAACTAGAGCCACGCATGGGACGAGAATCTTCAAACTAGAGCCACGTCGAGTTCACGGATCCCCGAAAAGGTGTTCTTTCCCACCAAATCAACACCCCAGCGGAGCGCAGATTCTGTTCCAGACCCAGCTCCGAGCTAGCTCGGCTCGCAGCTTCGATTCTCATTAGGCTGGATTTGCTGTTCGTGATCGTCACGCGCTACTCCACACAGATCGTCATGGATTTGGCGCTGGTCATTACGGTCCCAACCTCAAGTGAGTGGGGACGGGTGGTGGGGATATGATCCCTAGGGCTCCAAGTACCTTCTCAGAAGGTGGGACTGGGGTGGGTTGAGAGGGTCCAGATACCTTCTGAGGAGGTGCTTGGAGCCCTAGGGGAAAGAAACCAGCTAGCACTGAAATAGAAGGGATAAGGGGGTGAACAGTTTTTTGTGGTTCTTGACTTTGACATCTAGAGGCTAGAGGTGTTTAACATTGATTGTTAATGTATTGCAATTTTTTTCCGGGGCTGGTCTCAATAACACAAGAAGCTTAGCCTGCTGCACCGAACACACAAACACACATAAAGAAACAAACAATGAGACATCCATAGACATAATCAACACATGAAGAGTCACATTCTGTTCCTTATAGAGAGAGGGGGCGCCCTTCATGTTCACGGCCATCCTACGAATGTCCAGTCGGTCGATTTCCGGTGGAACGGCGGTTTTGGGGACGGACGGGCATGTTGGACGAGTGTCAGCATCGGGATTTTAGGAGGGTTCCTGTGTTTTTCCAAGTTATATAGTGCCATCGAATTAGCGCTATTGGTCTTAATCAGCCATTGGCAACTGGCGTGACCAATGGCTTCAGAAGTGCAACAAATATACATCTTCATCGTCATTTTGGAGTGAGATTTCAAGCATGTTCCGCACGGGAAACCTCAGAAAGGAACGAGGAACGATGCTATCAGTGGTTGGGCGCGGGAGAGCAGAGTCCGCCGTAGGTAGAGGAAGAGAGTTTTGCACTGCTCCCGACAAGCAGGCGCTATGTCAGTATAGCGGAGTGCAAGACCCATCAATCAACCATGTCACACCAGCTATCATGGGCGTACGCAATGCGATCCTTGGGATTTTGTCATCCAACTGAAGTAGTGAGCTTCCCTGGGTCAAGGAAAGGGATAAACGGCCCTCCCGAATGTCAGACTGCTTAGAATCACTCGCAGAAGCCGCCGGTGACTTCTTTGCACCCCTGAATGTCCGCCGGATGACTTTCTACAAGCCTTGGTGACTTAACACACGATGTTTCATGAACCCCCAACCATTGGCCACAGCGGTTCCCAATTCCCAAGGGGCAAGTCACACTGGGCACCTCCCTCCAGCGCACCTCGAAAGCACCGCACCGGCACCGTCCGCATGCTTTTCCAGAAACACTCCAACGTGGTCATACAAGCCTTGAGCCTGGTGGCTGTGCCCTTTGCGATGTACTTCATGTGGAGATCCTTGGCCGCCCGTGCTGCCGTATAGACGCCGGTTTCGACCGGTCTCCAGGACAGTAGACATGGCCGGACTGACCAGTGAGGACCTGGCACTGGCACAGTGACTCGTTTGGTGGTTGATATGTGGTTTCCATCTACTCTGAAAGACATGTACCAGCACCCTCCTGGCCAGGCTGCTAGTTGAAGGTTGTTGGACCCTAACAGGCCTCAATTGGTGACCTGTTGGAGGGTGCTGGTAGGGGTTTGCGCCATCTACTTCTTGAAACCACAGTAACCCTCCCTGACACTCACATGGAAGTGGAGTTCACCTCCCGTGGAAGTGGAGGAACATCGTCTTCCGGAATCGGTGCTATGGCATCCACTTCCATGTGAGTTCGTACTTTTTCGGTGCGCTGGGGTCCGGAGTCTTGTCCAAAGCAATGTCGCGACGTGGTGGGGGCCTGTTTGGTGATCCCTTTACCCACACCAGAGGTGAGGTATTTAGGGATCCAGTCCTGCCGTACCTCAGGTTAGGTACGGCTGGACCTTCCTGGCGTCATCCAGGAGTCCCCAATCATCGTACCAAACAGAGGATTTCAGGGCCTCAACGGCACATAGCTGACTCAAGCACAGTCACAGGGTCTGCTGATTCACAGGAGGGGCTCCCATGTTCAGGAATCCGTTAATAATCCCCTTGTGTTCAAGGCTTTGAACCGCCACTTCCTGGGGGTCGCATGTTGCGCAACCCCCTGCGTTGATGTACTTCATCTTACTGGTATCATGTCCCTCCGCCCGGCCCGCTTTTTCACCGCAAGCCAACCTTCCATTGGACGCCCTGCCCCGCTTCCCAAGTTCCATTTTGGGGTGCCGTCAGGCGGAGATTTAGTTCGGTCACTGAAAGCTAGTTAACGGCTCGCCTCAAACAGACGTCAGTGGACAAACAGACCCAATCAGGCTGGCACCTTGGTGGGCTGGATGTTTTTAAAGTCCCTAGGGCTCCAACCATGGCCTCAGAAGGTGGTTAGAACCCCCAAATTAACCCACCCTAACCATCTTCTCAGGAGGTGGTTGGAGCAGTATACGTTCGTTTTCCACACACCCAGGCAATTGACGTACTGTATAGCATATGTACATGATACAGTCATACCCTGACGATCCATGACCACACATAGGTCACAAATAGAAATGATCTCAGGATATGCATACGTTTCTATTGATCGTGTTATTTGAAGACGTTGTCGAATCACAGATTGGGGTACCTGAAATGTATATACAATTCCAGTATCATTGTCGGAGGATAAGACCATGAAATCCCAAGAACCAAGCATACCAGGGCGTGACGAACCGTGACAGACCGTGATTGGTCTATTTTGTCCCTTTAAAAATGAGGTCATTGTCGGACTCCAGCGTGACAACCCGTGACGAATTTAAATTTGGGATCGTTGGTTTTGTGGTTTTTGGGTTCTGTGGTTTTGTGGTTTTTGGGTTCTGGTATGATCTCGTTTTTTGAGGTCGGACCTCACAGGGTGAGGTCGGAGAGCCCCAGAAGACACAACCCCAAATGTTAGCATATAGAGCTAACTTTCGATCCTCAGGGATACATTGATCCTTCAATCGAACATCACCCCCAATTTAGGCAATACATCGAAACGCTTTGGGAACGAATCAACAAGAAACGACGCAACAAAAACGCCTCAAAACGCCCAACCTTCGTCTTCTCAGTCTTCACGCTCCTGCCCATTCTGGCGCTCTTGTGCGGCTGCATCTCGCTCGCGAGCCTTAATGCACCGGGCGGGCCCCGCGAGATGACGCAGCCGGGCATGCCGGGAACTGAGTTGCGAGGAATGGGCCGAGTGTAGGGAGCCAAGTGTGCACAGGACTCGCTGAAAGATCCTGAAATCCTGGAAGTGGAGTGCGTGAACACCACCTGCAGTGGTATGAAATATCTCATGTAGAACAAAGAGAAGGTGGTCATGGAAAAAAGAAGGGTCATGCCATCCACGGTTCCCATTTCAGGATGTGTAGGCCTGCGGATATTTCGGGTGAGACCTCGAGTTCCTGAGAAGATGTCGGGAAGAGGTCGCTGGGACAGTTGTTGGGACGGTCGTCTGACGTCAGCTGACTTGTCGTCTGACATCGCTGGAAGGTCCAGATGGTGTTGTTTTTTTGGTAGATCTGGATGGATGTTCCTTTCACCTCCTTCCTTCGTACCTCCGAAGCAGTTCGAATTGACGACCCGACCGTTTGGCCACTTACGGGCCCCGGACCGTCCGGACCGAAACGAAGGGGGTTTAGAAGCAACGAGAAGTTCAATAAGTCACAGAGATGATCGCGATACACCTGGTCTTAGCATGGCGGCCTGATTGCATGTCAAGACCTCTGGTCTGACCCGCCCCCAGGGTAGGGAACCTGTGTCTACTTTACACCACACAAGTGGCCCAACAGAGTTCGAGGAGAAGGTCCTGCTTGCCCAGGTCCTCCTTGGGGCGTCCCTTTTTGTTCAACCTCCAACGTACTAGCGATGGCCTCCAACCTAATAGCAATGGCCTCCAACCTACCAGTCTTTGGATCTGATGATCCTATGGTCCCATATAACGAAAGCACGCAGGGTTGGACATCATTCGGAAGTTCCCAGGACTATCCTGTTTGGGTGTCCTAATGGACTTTTCCTACCCCACTTGCTTAATATGGGATTCCATTGGGCCCCCTTGGATTGACAGTATGCGACCGTCCGAAACTGCCCGACCGGACTCGCCCTCAACAAGCCTTGGCGCCGAAACATGGGCGCCCCAAAGGATGTTCGCTCCGATGCGAGCTTCCCTAGCGCGAAACGCCCCGGGCTAGCAGTCAATGTTCCCTTTCACTCGTTCAAGAAGGCGCTGAAAAGGTGCGGCGCCGCATGTGCCAGCACTCACGGTGCATCACGGTGCCATGCCGCAGCGACAAAGAGTGCCATGCCCTGCGACTTTCGTATGCGACCGGTGTCGCCATGTTTGCCACTGTTGGTCCAGACAGCGGGTTTGGCGGGTTTGAAGTCGAAGAAGAAGCGGAATTTGGTTTTGAACAGGTGGGAAAGAGGACGTGCAGAGCCTGGATGTCCCGGAGCACTTCTTAGTTGAGACTTCTCGAAGGGAGTGCCATATATGCCGAATTATGCCGATCACTTGGGGTGGTTTGGGGTCAGGCATAGGTTCCATACATGGGCCAGTTGAGACGTCTCGAAGTGTTCACGGAGAAGCTTGAAGATCACAGATCCCGAATTCTGTGCTCGTCCTCACCTCGGCGACCCTCGAGGTCTCGAAACTTCAGAGGCGAACAAAAAAATGAACTTCCCGCTCTACAGAATGGTTCATTTGACCTCCACACTCCAAACGTTTGATTCATCAGGACCCGACGACCAGGACCCGACGACAAACAGGTCACCAGTCTGGTTCGACCTGAGACAGGGTCCTTCCCAACCCTCAACTAACAGCCTGGCCAGGAGGGTGCTGGTACATGACTTTCACGTCGCTGGGGCTCGCAGGAGCTTCGGTTGATGAACTACCCTCCGGTCCATGCCGAGTGCTGCGACATCAACACCTTTTTCGCAGCGCAAAGCGCCGACCTCAGTCTGTCGATCGAGGGCTCGTTGTTCGCCAAGAACGACGAGTTGACTCCAACGGAAGTTTCAACGCAGTTAACTGAGGAATGCCAAACGAACGGAGGATAGGGGGTGCAATGATGATCCACTCACTGGATGGGACTAAGAACCATTCCGGAGTGGAACTGCTGGTGGTAGATGATTGTACACTGTGGACTCTTGATTCAAGAACCCCCGCTTTTGGAGAACATTGAACACCAGGAGTCACATGTCGGGGCGGTTTTTGGTCCCCAAGTGAGTGGATGTTCTGGGGACCCCTATCCTCCAATAGGCACCCCTTTATGACTCCTGGAACCCTGCTAGTTTAAAAAAATGATCAGGAGTCTACCATGGCCAGGACCATCCCACGCGATACCCTATACATCTATACACACCACTAAGCCAAGCTAAGCCTGGTCTCCATTGGACCCCGCTGCTGGAAGGTTCAGGTGCAACACCCATGTGACAGATGTGTTGCTTAGATCGATCCATTAGTAGAAACCGATGACAAACCTACCACAGCTTGTCATGTAGAACACCTAGAGCCCGAGTGACCTTCGTTTGGATGGGAAAAGCCCCATGTTTTGGATCTACCCTACGCACCCAAACCCTATAAATTTGTAGGGTCGATGGAAAAACCTAGGGTTTCTGAAGGAAACCCCAGGTTTTCCAAACCAATATTAAAATACGGGTTTTGTACGGGTATGTACGGGTTAAATATGGGTTTAGTACGGGTTAAATATGGGTTTAGCACGGTTTAGAAAAGCAAGACCCGAGGTTTTAAGAACAAACCTGAGGTATTTTTGATTTCACAAGAATACCCGAGGTTCCGATTGAGACCCTACAAATTTATAGGGTTTGGTTGCGTAGGGTATATAGTTGATCCTCTTAAAAAGAGAGGTCGCTCAAACTCGGTCTACCAAATCTCAAGCCACCATCCACCGATGGTTCAGGCTCTATCCGCGAGATGGGCTTGCAAGAGCTCTCCAACCATTGGCAGCAGGCGCCGCCCGCCGCACCCGGTGAGGTAAAGAGACGGCGAACATGTGATGCTGGGGTTCTGCACCTGCTCGATGCAGTTTTTTTTGTTTTTGTTGTTTTTTTCAGTAGGCTTTCATTTGGTCCTTGCGAAGATGACCAGCAAGTGGAAAATCCAGGTCGGGTAGAAGTATCCCAGCTCCCGGCTATGACATGAATGTGCAAGAACTCAAGCGTCGAGCGTCTTTTTGCGTGCGCGCCTGGCGCGAGGTTCTCGCGCCACGAAAACCAACCAACCAACGCCAGGTGATCCAAATCGTCTCAGAGGAGCCGCAGTACCTGCTGAAAGACTCTTGGGCCAGCCGCAGTACCCCTGTCTTCGACTCTGCACCGGTTTGCCTGACGAACGACCGGGGAACGGCGCCGTGGACCGTGGACCCCGCGGAAGGGCGTACGGACCGAACGTAGGGGGCGAGTGAAGAGAGGCTGGAGCATGGCTTCAGGTTGACCCTGTGGGTGCCATCGGTTCGGAGCCAGAGAACACCGCTTCCACCGCTTCGGAGGTCACCACTGGAGCTCTTTTGGAAGAAAACCCTCTCGACCGGTGCGACACCTCGGAGATCCGACTCCTCGGTTTTTGGTCATCGCGCGTTCTGCACGGCTGAAGAGGACCGTGCCGTGAAGATGTTCAACAAAATGCTGGAAGTGGAAAACCCACTGTTTGTAAAGGAAAGTAGTCTTCCAAGAGGCCATTTTCCACTTCCATGTTAGTGAGTCAGAGTGTAACTGCAATAGCACTGGGGCCCTAGGGCCCTAGGGATCCACTTCGAAGGTACTTACCTGGGCCCGACGTTTTGGCGCCTGCATCAAGAGTCTCCGTCCTTACCGTACCTGAGAAGGTACGACTGGATCCCTATAGGGAGGGATGTTACAGTATGTTACAGGGCCGAGAAGAAGACAAGTGCTTGATCTCTTGACGACATAAAAACAAATCGTGGGGCAATGAACGATGCAGGGCATAAGAAAGAGACTCCCTGTCTCTTTCCTTCGTGCTTAGCTGCCCATTCCCGTCAATGGCCCGATTCCTTCGTACGGATCGGTAGTCGACTGGACGAGCCCTAGTTGGGGGTCCAAACGACCGCCCCCACCTGCGGCCGTTTGGCTCAGCCGCACGCCCCGGCAGAAGCACCACGCCCGCGGCACGCGCGCTTGGAGCTGCCAGAGACACTAGGACCATGGCAGTTGCGGCAAATGTCGCTTGGGCGCACAGTCCATCCAGCACCCGACTTCACAGGTCACCACCTGCGACTTTTAAGTCTACTTAAGCCATCTTAAGCCTACAAAGGAGACCTGTTGCAACAGGTGTGCTTTCCTTTTTTTTTTGTGTGTGTGTGTTTCTTGGGGTCGTTGGTTTTGATGTTTCCGCTTCTCCTCTTGGATCCCAATGGTGGGCCCCCAGGCTTTTCACAAGTCAGTGCATGGCGCCAGTCAGCTGGAGTCCATGGCGTTCCCATGACCAACCAAGTCTATTTTTTAAATCAAAGTCTTCGCCCCATCAGGTCAGTCCAATGTCCAGTTTTCGTCTTGAACCAGGGCCCTGCCTGCCTAGGGCCCTGGTTGGGGTTGGACTTCATGGAAGCTCAACCTCTAAGGAGCTATAGAACTAAATCAGGGACCGGAAGTCGACGCCCCTCGACTTTCAGCCAATCCGACCTTCGAAGCCGTTCGAAGCCCGTTCGGCTCGTCTGTTCGGCTCGTCGGCGGCCGCGGAAGTCCGAGGCATCCGAGGTCACGTTGCCCTTGTGGGGCCAAACCAACGCGATGCACCAGTTCTGCTGCTCGGAGGGGTGTCATTTTGAGCGTTGGGGAGGGAAAGTGGGCCGAGATCGGTGAGAAGTCTTTGGGGGTGATACGCTCGCATCCGAGTTTCTAAGTCAGCAAGCATGTGGCAGTGCACTGCCTGTTCTATCCTTTTCCATCCGATCTATATCTTTTCCAGTCTCATGGAGGTTGCTAGCTGGCAATCGCAGCTGCCTGCAGCCAGAAATCTGAACATACCCTAGGGCTCCACCCATATCCGAAGGTGGTATTCGACCCCCCTGGCACCCACCCCTGGCCCATTTTCTCAGGAGGTGGGGCAGGAGCCCAAACGGGATAAACGATCATCCTTGTTGATGCGACTTGGACTCCCTTTGTGCTGGGGTTCTCTATACGCGGCGCTCCGCGGCTTCCCGGAACACCGTAATAATCCTCGCTTGCCGCTGGGAGACCAGATCTCATTCACCGTTGGGTTTTCCGTTGATCTCAAGAACACGGTGAGGTGAACCCTAGATGTCCAAAGACTATAAACTCTAAAGGAACTTCCCTCGTCAGGTCCCGACCTCGACCAGACCATTCTTTCTAGTCTTTGACTCCTCCCAAGGTGAAGGTAAGTACGTGGTCTCCCCGCTCTTCGCAGAGTTCTGGAATTCTGTCAGCCCCTTGGCACGACGCCCTTGGGATTCGACCGCGTCCGCAGACGTCGGACCGAATCCGGGCTCCTTCACCCACAGGATGGGGGGGCTGACCTTGGTCTGGAGAGCCCCGTGGCGTGGCGCGAAGCGGTGGAGAGCCCTGGAACCAGCCCGAAAGCGTCAGAAATCGTCCGAATGGGCACCCAACCATGCTTTCCATCTGAGTATTTAAGCGACCATCTGTCTCTCAACCATGCTTTCCAGTCAGATATGCTTTCCATGGTTAAGCGCAGATAAGCGCAGTCGCGACCAACTGTCTCCTGGTGTCATGACGGTTCTGGGTTGCAAGAAAATGGCGCTCAGATCCGAGTGGAGCAAATCAAACTCCGAGGTCACCCACATGGTTTCGTGGAGCTCGCCACTGGTTTGTAGAGAGGAACATCGTCGTATTTTTGGGGCCATACCAAAAATAACTCCAAAAAATAGACTATATATATATAAGTCTCTTTTTGAATAGACTATTAGTTAGCAAATGTACTATATAAGCTTATAGTATCTTATAGTCAGAAAATAGTCTAGCCTGATCTTAGAGGCATGCAGGTATGCAATGATTCCTTCGGGGGAGTGCATGTTGTTTGTTCTAAATGTTCACAACTGCAGCAGTTGGAACAAGTTGCAATGGGAGTTGCGGATCACGTCCATTTTACCAAGGGAAACTCCAGGTAGCTTCCAAAGCTGCCTTCTTTTAGTGCCCCTTCCAGTGGTAGATTACGGTGTTTCCACCCTAACATGGGAACGGTCTCATGACATGCTTAGACTCAGACTAAATGGTTCCAATCGCCCACAAGCTTTTATAACAACAGTTCCACCGAAACTGGCGAATCATACCAGGACATCCCGCTTGTCCCACCCGCTCATCCCGCTGATCTCCATGGCAGGGGTCGGACCCTCCATAGCAGGGGTCCGGGCATGTTGGGCCCTCAAAACCCTATCTTATCTCAGGAAGACACCCAATCTGGGCTGCTTGTTTGATTTTCTTTTTTTTAAAGATGTCCCCGGTCTTTGACCCATGGGAACCTTCCTTTTTGCCGGGCTCCAGTCGTACCTCCTCAGGTTCAGTATGACCGGACCCGAACATGGCACCCACTCCAGTCCCACAATCGAAACGAAGGTACGACTGGAGCCCTATAGGGCTTGGAGCCGTGGCTTGGTGAAGGTGACAACGGTTTGTGACCCGACGACCAATCAATCGGGTCAACCAAACCCAACCTTCGCACTTGGGCGGGTGGTTCCAGGCAATATCCCTTTCTTTTGCATTCCTGCGCTCTATTGCTTGTACAGGCGTGGGCACTGGTGGAGGGACTTGCGTATGGCATGTTGAGGACGAATGTGGAGCAGCATTGAGCAATCCAAAAAACGTAGGAACGCCGCAGCGAAAAGGTGCCAGAATTGCTTTCAACGGTTTAACGTAGCGCTTCTTCAAAGTGATCGCGTGACAAACCATTGCCAAAGGAGCGACCAGTTACATAATTACAGGTCTTGACCCTTGAGCCTGCTTGGTTGTGTTTGGATAAATCCTTCATTCTTGGAAGTTGGAAGCTTGAATGTGTGCAAGCCGCGCAGCAAACCTCGCGCGGCGAGCCAAGCGGGTTGCCTCAATGAATGGCTGCCTATACCACTCCCACGGGGGCCCTGTCTTTCTTCCTCTCGCAGGGTATGGAAACCCCCCCATAGTAGTACAGCTACCAGGACCTTCCAACAGGTGGTTTTCGGACACCCCCTTTACCTCTTGAGAGGCGATTGAGAGGGACACCTCTTGGATGGTCCTGGTAGAGGGGATACTTGGCCGGCTTTCGCCTCGACCTCGCCAGGGGTCATGGAGTCTATGACCTGCGTGTGCGGATGTGCTTGGGCGGCACCTGTGGGGACGGTGTGAGTCGATCGTGGGGACGGTGTTGAGACCTGTTGGGGGCGCCCAAGGAGCCGACAGCGATGTATGGCGGTTGACAGCGATGTATACAGCGGATGTTCATCCATGTATCCGATGTGTGAGGTCACGGACAGAAGGGTGATGGCTCCAACATCGAAGGCGCCGTGCTCAAGCCAACCTTTCGAAGCGAGAGAGCTGCAAAATGCCGGTATTTGAAGGGTGCAATAGGATGCAATCGGTCACTAGCTCAATAGCCTACAGATTTGGGTGCCAGGTTGACCGCTAGGGCCGCTAGGACCCACTTGCACCAGTGGCAGGGCAACATGGCTTGCACAACACATGCATGGCTGGCACAGCACTCCAATCGACCGTCGTTCCACAAAAAGCACAAACAGGGGCAAGTCAGCGCGGTACAGCAGAAGTTTCTATAACCCAAACGCTCCATGGGACTGCCATATATATATATATTCCGATCAGTTGGGGTGGTGCCAGGGGGGTCAATGGGGCGGCATATATGGCAGTCCCATTAGTCGTGTTTGGGTAAGGTCCCTGAACACCCCGTTGCTTCGGATGGATGGATGGGAGAGCATCTCGACAGGAGGTGAAGTCCACCACGTTCGGCTGAAACATCCGTCAGCGGGCGGGTGCACGAACTGCGGCGGGTACACCGAGCGGCGCTCTTTTGGAGAAGTGCTTGAAGTTCCTTGATTATGCATGCATATGACTATATATGACTGGGATTTGATCATAATTCTCTGCAAATTTGTTGGCTGCCTGACGGAGTCAGAGAAGAACCCCTATTGTTGCTGATCCGCATCTAGAAGAGTCATTCGGAAGCGAGCGCTCAATCTGCGACCCGGAGATTGACCAGGAAACTCATGGCAAGGAATGCAGTCAGGAGCAGGCCAGTCAGGTGCTGAGGAGCCTGAGGAGCTATACTGACCATTTTGCCCACTCACCTCCTCCGCCCTGAGACAACAAGGCTTTGAGCAAGGTCTCTTGAAGATCGTAAATTAGTGGTTGCGGAGTTTCTTCCGCTTTGGTTGGAGCCCACCAAAGCACATAGGGGCAACTTTCAGGGTCCACGCAAAATCCTCCGCAAAGCTCGAAAAAGGGTCACTCGTGCCCACTTTCACCTGGAAAGGGGGAGTGGACAGGAGTGGACCTTTTCGAGATCTGCGGAGGATTTGCGTGTGTCTTCTGATGCAAAACTCCGAAAAGCTGGCCGGCGTGCAATGAAGGGGCAAGCGGAAGGCGGAAGGGACTTGGAGGCAATCGCCAAGCGAGTAGTGCTGAGCCGCAGCTTTTTCCAGATCGTTGTGGAGATGAATTGCAGTGACATCGGGTTCAGCACTAAAGACTTGCTGGCCTTCCTGCCCTGGCCTGGGGGTCTTCGGTAGCTGGTGTAGCGTGCTCGGGCTTGACAGGTGATCCCTGCGGCCGTTCGCGCCTGCATGCGCCTGGCCACTGCCCACAGGGTTTGGGACCGCTTTACGAGCCGTCTTGCTCGCACCAGAGCCATCGTGGAAGAATCCGAGCCAGGATGACGAGGATGAGGCTGATCAGAGCTTGGAGGTAGATCCGGTTTTGGGCAGCGGGCAGCAGACCAGCTTGAGGCTCACCGAGCAACGCTTTGCCCACGGGCCCTGTGATCCAGCAAGCCTTACAAGTGCCGAGACTACCGATACTTCCAGCAACCATGGGCACGTTTTGTCAAAAAGGCCCACGGGCGACCAACGGCATGAAACAGCTAGTTGTGGAGATCGCACAACTAGTGAGAACGGTTTAGCATGGTTTAGCGTGTTTGTGCACCATTTTTCGGGGCGTATTGCCTGGACCTCCTGTGTTTTGAAAAAGACTCTCTAGAAAGTGCATGTTTGAGGGGAATTGGCGCACGTCACACAACTGAACATCCCATTGCATGAGAGTTGCCAGGTTCCAGAAGCGGGCAGCGCTCGATGGAGAACTCTTTAGACTGTAGACATTTTCGACCTAGAACCCATCTGACAGTTCCAAGCGGGAAACCTGCATTCATTTGACAGTTCCAAGCGAGAAACCTGCACGCTTTGTTTGGGTGGGTCGGCGGAAAACAGAGCTGGACAAGAAACTATGTCCACAGCAATGGTGACTTGAGTCCAATAGTTTTTGGCGCAGTGAGTCCAACGACTGGATGTATGTGGCCGGGGCCGGGTCTGGCGCATTCAGTGCTTAAGGCTTAAGGTCAGGAAGGCAGGCTTCGACAGAATTGTGACTCCCAGAATCTCCGAGGACAAAGGCTGGACATGTGGGACTTTGCTTGTACAAACATCATTACCGTATACTAAAGTAGCTAAATACTCAGTATTATTAAAATTAAATGAATAAACTCGTATACTACCGTCACTCTTTACTTCTCATACTTTGCTCTACATCTTGCTACCATAACGACCGCACGGATGGACCGCAAGTTCTATGTGTGATAGTGTGTGTGAGATCATCACATCTCGTCCCGCATTTGGCCAACTCTTAAGGACGACTCCATGCCATGCCGCAGATATTATACCAGGACCATCCAAGGGGTGTCCTGGCTGGACTACCCTACACTGCTTAGGGATCTCCATTGGACACCCAGACAGGATGGTGCAGGTATGTTTGCACTTTCACCCGGGCCAGAGTGCGCAGGAACGACTACGGACTTTTTGAGCTGATTTCACATACCCAGTTGGGAGCGCGTTGTGCGCAGTTCCGGGCTCGCCCGGTTCCAAGCGAGCGGGAGCGGGAGCAGGGAGCCGACGGTCGCTGAGGATTTGGTTCAGCATGTTTGTGGTGGGCTTCGGTAGCTTCATGTTCCACGGCACCATGCGCTTCGAGTGGGAGATGTGGGAAGCTTTGGCGGAACAAAGCACCGCGAGGCGAGTAGTAGCCGGGTGGAGGTGGGTCCAGCCAATGTGGGTCCAGAAGACCTTGGGCAGTGGAAGAAAGGGAAGAAAAGGCTCCCCCATGCATTGTTCAAGACCTTGACTGGTTCTAGAACCTGAATGACCCTTAGTTTTGGAGCCAACTGAGCCAACGCAGGTGTCTTTTTCGACTCTTTTCCTATCGGAGATCACATATGCGTTTCTTGGGTTCGGGAGACCGAGACCGGACATATGCTTTGAAGGTATGAGGAGACCGGCAGATGTTTGGTCAGGGGTTCGATCCAGCTCACCCGGTGTGAAAACCCCAAGAATCCGAGCTCGGGGCCGGGATCGGGCCAGGGGCTCGGGGCTGGGATCGGGCCTTCTCCACCATTTTCACGCAGGTGGGTCCGGGGCCGAAGCAAACACCCGATTCTGTGGGTGAAGGGCCGGGAGTCTTATCCCAGGAAGACGCCCAATCTGGGCTGCTACTTGTTTGATGTTTTGTTTTTTGGATGTCTCCGCTCACATCGCCTGGTGTTATAGAGAGCAAAACCGAGTTTTTCAAGGTGTGCCAGACCTGGGTCCAGGCCCAGCAGCCTCGTAGCTAGGAGTTTGGACCCACGTATTGCATGGATACATGGGTCCCTTGGGGGGTTTGGGCAGCCAGGCTCTTTGAAGAATATGGTGCATTCCAGGATGACATGGGAGGACATGTTACAGCCAATCATGTTTGTTTGGAATTTTGCAGGTGCTACGTAGCACAACGTGCTCTCCAAATCGCCAAAAAGTGACCCGCCCCCCCAAAACAAACACATGAAACACTCTGCACACTTGAGCTGCCGGTTGAAAGACCAATCCTCCGGGACTTCAACCTCTCAAGTAGCCGAGGATGAGGTTCCCATGTTCTTCTTGGTGCTGTCAGCCATGGTGTCGAAAGATGACGCCCATTGGATCAGCTCCGGGATCTACAAGCGAATCATTCACGTTCCTCGACGGGCGAACGGATAGAAAGGGCGGTCGACAAAGCGGTGTTTGCCCGTGTCAGCGGTTTGGGATACTCATTAATGAGTGTCAATATACCAGGACCTTCCAAGAGGTGTCTATAAATAGCCTCTTAGAGGTAAAGGGGGTGTCCAAAACCACCTGTTGGAAGGTCCTGGTAGTTGTATATGGATTTTGCTTGGATGCATGTGATCCTTGAGCTTGAAGTGCCACACATCTCGTGAACTTCTACCAAAGCACCATGTGGACCGATCCTGTGAAGGGATGGTTCGGGCACACATGACGCAAGTGGATTCTGAGGAAAGTGGATTCTATAGAAGCTAGTGTTGCCTTTGCAAACTGCAGACGGCATTTGTTCCACTATGCGAGTTTGTTCTGTTTCTGTTCAGGTGGGAGGTGTGATGCTTCATGTCTGGCAATCAAAACGTGCCCGCCCCGGGGATCAAGGTCATTGGCTTCGGCAGTGCATTTGTGGGCATGGGCATGTCGCTCGGCCGTGCCGGGCAGAGACGACGGGAAAGAAAAACAGCTCGCCCAGTGAGTCGGAGCCGTCACGTCTCTTCTAAGAAGGGCTCCAGTCGTACCTCCGAAGCGGTTCGGTATGACTGTGGACCCGAACATGGCCGCCAGGCCCCCAGTCCCACCTTCGAAACGAAGGTACGGCTGGAGCCCTATAGGGGTACTTGGAGCCCTAGGGCTTCTAAGAAGGTTGCAGATGAAGCCAAGTGACCAGCCCTTCACTCGGCGCCAGGAGACAACCGCACCCCCCCCACTCATTGAAACCGGATCTAGTCGTAGCTTCGCTACCGAAGAGACGAGCACGGTTGCGTCTAGGGAAAGCACAGCCGCACAGCGGCATCTCAACCATGCCAGACTATCCATGGGACTGGAACACATCATACACCCAGACACTCCATGGGACTGCCATATATGCCGATCAGTTGGGGTGGTGCCAGGGGGGTCTGTCCGGGGCGGCATATACTTCTCCACGGAAAAAAGCAAAGGTTCGAAGATCGATTTCCACCATGTTCTATTCATTTCAATGTTTTTCCCAGATCGATTAGATTCTTTTCCACCATGTTCGATTTCCACCATATTTTTCCATGCATGTTCTATTCATTTCTATCCGGGAAGAGTGGGTCACCTACAAGTGTTTCTGTGGGAGGAGTTGGAGTATCCCTCCCAAAAGACGCTTTTGGTTTACCGGTGGACACACCGGGGCGTCCCCGCTTTCTGAAACCTGCGTGGCCGGGCCATCCGTTATTCGGAAGTCGCGTCCACCTCCTGGGCCGAGGTATTTGTTTTGGAGCCACTGGTGATGCAACACTAGGGGGGACGACTCGGGGCCGCGGTCACCAGGTCACTCACCCGTGATGCAGCGTCTCCCACGGTAGAGGAGAGTAGTCTTCCACCAGTTGTGAGCAAGCGCTTTGGTGTGGGATGGCATGCTCTATCTTCGCTGGTGAACGAGATAGGGCCTCCACACAAAACAGATCGTGTTTTGGAGTTTAGATGAGTTTAGTAACAAGTAAATGCCGCCGCTATCCGCCGCTCATGTGTGCCTTTAAAAGGGTATGGGGGTGCATAACTTCATACTAGTATGGAAAGCTGGCTCTCGGAAGACACGATGCCTTCGCCACTTGATTGATTTATTATGTTACTTGTAAGATGTATATAGGTTTATCTTTTCCCATGACCTTTTGGGTGGAAGCTCAAGGAGCTCAAGTCTCAACCGTCACTGTTGGATGACTTGGGAGCTCACACTCCATTCGCATGGGCTCCAAACAACCCACGTGTGCCGTTCGCGTGCGAAGGCCGACGGAAAGCCGACGCGTGCGCACGCCGCCAACGCCGAAGAACCCAGGCGATTACGAGATTTTCCTCCACGCCTTTACTGTCGTGGTCCTACTGGACCCTTGGCTCGGAAATCCACCCCCGGAAGAGCAACATGGAACCTGAAAACTGCTGGGTTGGTAGAGGAACATCGTCTTGGCATGGGACCAGGACGTCAGGGTCTATGTGAGTTTGGAGTGTAGCTTCGGAAAAAAGGAGCACTCCAGCAGTTCCAAAGTCTGACATGTCGGGGGTGGTGTGGCTCGTCCCATCCAGGGGCACCGACTACCTCCTTCCTCCGTTCGTAGTTCGGCAGGCCGAGCGACATGTGACTGCTGGTGAAAAGGGTGATGTTCGTATTGCGGAGGTGATGGAAGTAGCAGGTTGGGCTCTTATATAGGTGCTTTTCTTGGTAGGTAAGCATGTTTGCTCAGTAGTTCTAGTCTGTAACCGTGAAACCCCTGGGGATCCTGTCCCATATCCTCAGGTGACCGGTGGTATTCGACCCCTTTGGCACCCACCCCAACCATCTTCTCAGGAGGTGGTTGGAGCCCTAGGGAACATCCATAGAATGGCATCCACCCATCAAGTGGGGCACCATGGGCCATGGAAGATCTTTTTGTCAGATGGACTGGGCAGGCGGCCGGGCTCAGGAACTAGCACGTGAACAGGGGATGGGCCATGGAAATGGCCCGCCTCGGTGATTTTCAGAAACACGCCATCACCGATAGAGAGGCTTGTTGGAAGACATGCCCTAGGGCTCCAAGTAACTAATATTATAAGAGGTGTTTGAGGTGGGTTTGGAGGGTCCAAAAACCTCTGGGGAGGTACTTGGAGCCCTAGGTTAGGGATGAGATTGTGGGTGTTTTGTTTTCCAGAATTTGTACTTCAACTCTTAGGGTCACTTGGTTTCCTCAAAAAAACATGTGCTCTCCTGCCAAATGATCCCATGGCACCTGAGATTTGACCGGTGGTGGTTTCGACCATGTTCTGAACACAAACCCAGTCGCATCACTTCACCGGGTTTGTCGAAGTGATGACCAGCTGCTCGCATTTTGGGGTGGAGATCCAGCCTCCAACCCGCCACCTGTGCATCTTCCTTGGTGCATCATGCAAATAGTTTTTGCGCTAGAATCTGTTTCTCCAAGAACGCATGTTGGGATTCACAATGGGGTCTTGGTGCCTATGATTTTCCACCAAACTTCTTGGACCTTTGATTTCAAGACACGAAGAAGTCGTGGCCAGATCTTCCCTCGAACCTGGTGGACATGGACGTCGTGTCGACCGGGTGGAGGAGTCAAGAGAGTTCGAAGTCAATGGGACTCGGATGGGTTTTGGCGTCGATCGCCGAGCCGAGCGACGCTGATCGAGCGAGGACTTGATCCTCAGCTTTATTTGCACCCAATCTCCGGACAAGCACGGCTCCCACATTTCAAGTGGCCTTTTGATAGGCGAGCTGGTCCGGAAGGGACGGGGGGTGGTCGGTTACTCCGCCGGTCTGACCGGAGTGCGGAGCAGTGAGTCAGGGGGGTCCAGGCTCACAGGGCCTTCAGGTGAAGGCCATATACCACCATGCGAGGGGTGTCCAAATGGAGATACCATGAGATACCTAAGTAGTGTAGGGTAGTCCGCAGAACTGCTATTGCACCAATGGGGGTAGCACCAATGGAGATACCTATAAAGTTTGATGATTTTTTTGGCGGAATTCTGCATCCTTTCGTGGAATTGTGCCGCCTACTCCTCGGCTTCCTCGTTTTGCTTTTGCTGATCCTTTTAAAATGATTTTTTCTCCACTCTCGTGTTATCTGTATCGTGGTTTTGACAAGTTGGCGAATCATAGTTGATGAGAATGAGCAATTCTCCAAGGAAGTCCACCCCCCTCCGCGCCCCCGATTGGCAGATTCACGTTCGGTGTGCGTGAACGAAGAACGCGATGAAAGCGCGCCGAGGCTATGCCGCATCGATCGGCTCGGGCAAGCTCTTTTGGGAGATCGAGCGGTCGCTGGCCAAATCAGGGGAATATCCAGGAATAAACACATCGGCCACTCCGGGGAATGAAAAGCACTCCTATAACATTCTATAACTATGGGGATTCATTATATATTACAGTCCATCCTGGACCCGTCTCAAGGTGGTCGTTGGGGTGATTCGATGATGATTGAAGGCAATTTGTTTGATATGTTTGATTTCTACTTACTTTCAATATGCCTTGAAAAGTATTGTCATACTTCAGGAGGAAAGTTTGGTGACAACTACATGCGCACGAGAATCTCAGCGACATGACTTCTTTTTCCCAAGCTAAATTTTACTCTTTTTACTTCGGGATCTTCGGGGTGGCAATTCATCTGCCAGAATTCCACTGTGATCCCCTGTAGGATTCTAAGGGGAAAGGGTTGTAGGTCACATTCACAGGCTTGTTGCCAACTTTTGTCATGCCAGTGTAGGTACATCTTTTTCAACTGATGAGTTGAGGACATTACTCCAGAATTGTATCTTAAAACGTTTCAAACGTTGCCGTGGTTGAGGTTGCACTGTTTTTCTCAAAGAAACTTGCACCCCAAAATCCCAGGTTCGCATGCCCTGCGGGCAGTGGGGGAGTTATGGCTTGGCTGCATGTGCTGTGGCATTTCTTGGCGGGCCTCGCGGTCTACTTCGGGTCCTTAAGCCGCTCAGCTGAGCGGGACGGCCCTCGCGTCGCACTGCGTGTGCTCTGTGGCAATGCCGAGGGCGGCGGAGGATGCCGTTTGGGTGTTGGTGGGAAAAGAGGGAAAGGCCAAGCATGGAAGAGAGAACCTTTTTGGTGCCAGCATGTTCCAATCCTTTTGCTTCGATCATGTTCCCATTTGTAGCATGGCCACCATCCGACCACGCGGGGGATGCCCAAATATGCTGAACCAAGCCATCCAGAAACAAGCATGTGAACCAGCAGGGATGTAGGCAATGCCAGACCGGTAAATGAAGAGTTGTTTGTACCTGGCCTCCCAACTGGCAGCTTATATTCAAGCCAAGGCATTGAAAAGATCACCGAAATCGACCTGTTGTCATCTATGAACAATGGACTGTCATGTAATAGAAGGTTCGCCCTCCATTCCCGACGTCACGAACGAATGGCCTTGATGCAGTCCACGGGGGCCCAGAAGACCCAGCTTTGGCCTGGAAATTGCTTGGCCCAGATCCCTCCCAGGTGATGCTCAAGTTCGTGGCTTGGCCTTCATTTTGATCGAAGGCTGTGGAACACATTCCACCTAGACAGCAAAAAATCAAAGACTACCAAGAGAGGAGTTGCGGAGATTGATATACGCATTGTTTTCTCTTCTTGCGCCTGCAGTTTTCGTGTCCCCTTTGTCAACGCGTTCAGCCCGATACACACACCGAACCGTATCGATACACACATTTTTGCTGGTATAGGGCTTTAGACATCGCTATAGGGTATCGACGGGCGTGGCACAGAACGGAATGCATCCACCACCCAACAGCATAACGACGTAATGGCATATATAACCACAAAGGACACACAATTTGCAAACACGCTCCGGTGTTTTCCATTTGTTACTCGTAACTTGGTGCTTTTGCTTGGGTGTTCTTGGGCTCCCGCCATTGGAGCGCTAGCTACCACGACCCGCGGTGCGGACCGGCGGACGCCAGGTTATGCCGCCCACGGCATTGGTCGAGCCGTGGATGATCCCGAAGACCCGTGGCCGTTGGCCGCTCGGCGCGGAGCGACGAAGCCTTTGCTCGAGCGACGGCCGAGCGGATTCAAGGTCAATGCCATGAGTCACGGCATGTTTTGTCGTCACGCCATGTTTTGTCATCGTTTTCCAACCTCTGGAGAGGTTGCCCGTGCTTCTTCAAAGTAAAGAGTAGACTGAGTCACCTGTTGGTTGCCAGTTCGGGCATGGCAACCCACCAAAAATGACCAAAATCCAGATCGAAGTTCAGCAGTTGCTTCCACCATGAAAGCCAACAAAGCCAGAAGAGTCCAGAAATGACAGGGAAGACCCACACCCTTGACATTCTTTTGGGCACATGCCAAATATTCAGGCCGCATGCCGGCAGCAGCTTGTTGCAGAAGCAGGTTTCGATTGAGCAGCAGGTATCAGATGACACGACACCACTTTGACCATTAATTCTTTGAGGTTTCATATTTCCACCCCTCATAGGCCCCATGGGCGGGCAACTGCGGCATCCATCAGCTACTGGTCGTTGAGGGAACCACCAGCTGGCACCCTGCGGGCGGGGTCGCACGCCCCACATCCCCATTTTAGCGTGGGTTCTTCGATGTCGTTCTTTCGATGTCGTGCCAAGGTTTGGTTATGGAGCACCTGGCTCCGTCCCAAGCAATCGAAGACCGACTGAGCCAAAACGCGAGCTGGGCCGAAGGCTTCCATCGATCGGGCTGTTCCGGAGCCCACAAGTGCCGCACATCGATCCCATGAGGAGAGGTCTATGTATCACTGTGGCACAGCCCAAAAGAACAGAAAAAAGTAAAGAATACCCTCACATACCCTCACTCATAGGCACGCATCATCATGCATCATGCATCATCCCGACGGAACCCGGAGGTCGAAGCCCGTCTCGCGATCGTCTCGCGTCAGCTGGGGACGCTCTTCCAGCTTGGAGGTGAAGTGGTTGTATACGGGGCCACCGAAGGGTGCTGCCAGCAAGGAGAGTGCTGGTCATAGGGCCGCAGATAACATATATATATATATATTAATATATGTGTGTGTGTCAACCTTTGTTACTAAGAGTTCCTTTCCCTTTTGATCCTTTTTTTTCTTGCATACGCAGGGGGCAGCAGAGGAATCCACAGTCCTGCTACCAATGTCAGAGTGTGTGTGTCGGTTTTGTTTCTCCTGGGGTGCAGGGCCTGGGCCTCAGGTGCGTCAGGTGCATCCGTCTTTTTCGTCCTCCGTACTGATACTGGGTCGCAAGATCCGCAAGATCTGTGAATGCAACCGTATTGTTCTGCCAGTGCCCTCTCGTTTGGCCCAGACCCTGTGTTTTTGGAAGAACCATGTTTCTATCATCGAGTTGTTTTATAGTTCAACGCCAAAGGTTGGGACAGCTTGTGCAAGTCTATGCCTCTGCCAGAAAGCTTCCAACAGATACAAACAGGTGCTTCGCCCTGGGATTTTCAGGGCGCACGTGTCACCAAACACCAGAGGTCTCATAGGGTCCGAGCACAGGCAGCTCGGTCCTTCGTCTTCTTCGGTTTTCGGCCCTACTCCGAAGCCTTTTTGCCTCCAATGTCCCAGAACAACGCCTGTTCGGCCCTACTGCGACAATTGCGGTGGGTGGTGTGGCGTCATTTGAAGATGGATCGTAGGAAGAAACCTAGGTGCTTTCCGGCCGGAAAACCCCCACAGTGTGCGAATCTTGCACTGGGCGACTTTCTTACACACGTGTCAATTGCAGCAAGGATACATTTTGCGCGCATGGAGGCTGCCAACTCAGAACTCAGAAGAGAATAAGAATACCATGAATGTATATCAATCATAATGTTCAATGATCTATCCTAGACTGGATAGAATCTTAGATGTCGTGCGGCGAATTGAAACACCTTCTTTAATTGAGTGGAAAGGACTCAGAGAAAGATCTACGCACAAACTTTGAAATGGTCATGGTTACGTGGAGAGAAAGCCACATGGCATTTTCGGATTTCGGGGTCATCCGGGGATCCATGTCATCCACGTAGCCATGATTTCAAGGAGTTGGGAAGCGGACAAAAAATCCACCAGGCAGACCGGCAGGCCTGCCGACCGCGCGCCTAGCCTTGTGCCACTGTGGAGGGTTCTTGTGGGCTATTTGCTCAAGGAGTTGCAGAGCCATCTCGGGATCTCTCGGGAGCCCGCATGCGTGAGGACTCCGAAGAGATGTTGCATTTGATGTGCGAGACCGTTGAAGTACTTTGCAAAGAACAGATTCAAGTTACTGTAAGTTTGATATATTATATATAATAGACAGTCATGGTAATTATAGCTTCTATATTTGCTACTGTTTCTACTCCATTCTACTCCATAATCGTTGTTGCCTTACTTGGACCATGGTTAGGCAAATTTCCCTACGGCCCTACGGCCGGTGAACTTATTCTTCATTGGGAAGATGTTTTACGTAAAACACTCCCGGAGAAAAAGCCATATCCCGTATACCAAGACATGGCAAAACGTTCACCCCAAAAAGAGACACCTCCCAAGCCAGGAGTCACAATGTCGCATGTCGGTGGTATGACTCGTCTTATCGCAGTGGATGGTCGGGGCACCGACGACCTCCTTCCTCGGTTCGTTCGTCGCCCCGAGCGACATGCGACTCCTGGCTTTCTAACTCGTTGCATGCATTCTCTTCGGGTCAACCGGGTCAGGTCCGGTCTCCCCGGCCGGGGCCCTGCTGACAGAGCCGCGGACTGGAACTAGCCTTTTGAACCACGGCCCAGCAACCCCAAAACCGAGATCTTTCACGTCATAGACCAGACAAGCAGCATCAAACAGCTACTCAAACAGCTCACTGACAGGTGTCACGGGAAGCATAGCTCAGTGGTCAGAACTTCAAGCAGGCTGTTGACCCAGCAGTTTGTTTATTGGGTTTGAAAAGTTCGTGTGGTGCTCCAGTGTTTGGGGTGCTCGCATGTGCTCGCTTCAATGGTTTCCCCAGGGCTGCGACCTGCGTTCGCCGTGACTCAGTGCAATGTGCCCCAAGCAAAACATCCCGTTCGCGGGAGCTCAAAAAGGAGAGAGACAGAGACAGCGCGAGAACAACAGCGAGGGCGAACGCACGGGAACACCACACAGATGAAAAGGTAGCTCAGAAAAGCTAAGAGGCCAACATAGGCCAACGATTTTTCCAACAAAGCGGTTTCCTCGAACAAACAAGCAATAGGATCAACCGCAGAAGTCAAGACTTCAACCAAGTATTAGAGTCCAAGTAGTAATTACAACGCGTCGTCTACGACCAAAGAATGGTGCCAACACTGGGTGGTTCTTCAACGAGAAGAAAGTGTCAGACAAACGTATACACTGTCCCTAGGGCTCCAGTCGTACCTTCTCAGAAGGTGGGACTGGGGTGGGTTCAGAGGGTCCAGATACCTTCTGAGGAGGTACTTGGAGCCCTAGCGTGTAGCAAAACCAACACAAGAGACAAAACACGTGGGACCCCGTCCGACAGTCGAACCGAAAACCTGGGAAGATCGTGTGTCAACGAAGCACCCACCAACACGGGACTTGTTCAAAGGTTAACGCAACACGAACCGAAGACATGAGCATAAGAACATTCACCAGACTTCTAGAGTATAGAAAAACAGTGATGGCTGCCAAGTATATATATATACACACACCATGCAACATGTACTAACATGTACTGACAATAGATAGGGGCTGGTTTTCTGCCCCAGCTAGCACGCACCATCATGGGCGGTTGGAGCCGTGTAAGGCTAGATTTCAAAGTCAAGCTTGGCTTTTTTGCTGACAAAGACTGATCATTGAGAGCAAAAGTCCGTCGTCGGCGGGTGTTGGTGGGGGGTTTGGAGGTGGTGCCGCAAAGCCAACAGCTTGACGATATGCAAGGGAGGGAGAGAGATCATTCAGGGTGGGAGATGGGTTCGCTACTGACCTACTGAGGGAGGTTGGGGGGGCATCCTTGAATCCTTGCTCCCAGAATGGAGCTTTCAGATTGAACACGTAGGAACCATGGTTCATCCTTTGACTAGTCAAGACCTGCGTCCCACCCTTCCACTCATGGCGAGCGATTCGCCCATCATCATGACACCCCGAGGAAAACTTAACATGGAACCTGAACCAGTAAAACACATATATATATATATATATGCTAAAAATATGTTGCTTTGGATATAGATATTGTGATGAGTTGTGATATGATCCCCAGGGCTTCTGTCCCATATCCTGAGGTGACTGGTGGTAATCGACCCCCCATGGCACCCACCCCTGGCCCATCGAAACGAAACGGAGGTGGGCCAGGAGCCCCACCGGGGATAGATGTTGCAACCGGCCGGGCCTTTGGAAGACGATTCTCCTCGGCTCTTCTACCGGGCGTGGAAGACATAGACCCAGACGCGACCCAGACGCGACTGCCAGTCCGGAATGCCGAGAAACGGCCAGGGGTGCCAGGGGAGTTGGTCTGGGGCGGCAGTCCGTCCTGGCAGTCCCATGGAGTGTAGACTCTTGATGAGGAAACCCTCCACTTGAAGAGGATGTCCAATTCAATCGAGGGAGGTTTATTACTTAATCAAGAGTCTACACTCTTGACCCACCTTGCCCTGGCATTGTGGGATATGACTAGCTTCCTGACCCACCTTGGGATGGGTTTGCGGGAGACTTTACGACGCCGCGCGCGCGCGCGCAACGCGTGGGAACCGCGTCACGGCGCTAAGGAGGACGCAGCGGAAACAGAGCCGCGGTCGCCCATGAACCTACCAGGGGTGAATCCCGAAAGGATGGAAAGCTGCTGGGACAGACCAGAATGGAGGGTTTCTTGGGGATTCTGGGTCTAGTAGCAGGTGCTTTGATACCAAGCGCTGTGAACATGGTGCTGAAGCAAGAAGCTATGCAAGCAAGAGTGGATGAGCAAAATTACCTTCCAAAACTGGTGGGTGGCTTCAACATGTAGCAACCCTTTTGAAACCAACAGCCAAGAACTGTTATTTTCCTTGAGCCTCCAACGCTGTTTCTCGGCCTTGCTCTCTCAGCCACTGCCTCTTCAAAGCTTCCCACCTTTCATGCCCCATCCTTCGCACCGTGTCTCCTTCCCCCCCAAAACCAAAGAAAAAACACCACACCAGAAACACCACAGTAACCAGGCGAACGATCCAGTCCACCCTTGGGCTTCCAACCCCTCACCCCTCAACGTGACCTCCGTCCGACCGATCGATCGGCTGAGATCATTTCTTCAACTCCGTGGCCGTGTTACTCTCGCAATTGGCGCGGAACGTGGTCGAGCAGAGCCTGGAGGTCGCGGAACGTGTGTGTGTATGTGTGTGCATGTGTTGGGGTGCCAAAGCCCTGCAGGTGCAGGTGGAACAGTTCTTTGGACCTATACCCGCTGCGGGGGTAGAAAAAACAGACAGTACAACTTAAGGCTTAAGGGTTCCTGGCTGAACAAATATCCATGCGAATAGACTCGACCATGCAATGTCATGTCCATGTGTATTAATACTAAGTCCCTAGATTAGGAGCAAGGACGCGGCCATCGAATGAGGTTTTGTCACCGGCCGCGGTCCATCTCCCGATGCGCAGAGCGCAGAAGCAATGGATGGCCGGCCCGCTCCACTCGACCACCCCGCCAGGAGTATGTGATGCTCTTCCGGCGCTTCGAAGCAGAGCCACTCCACTATTCACAGGTCAAGGCGCTCACCATCCAGGCAAGGAGTTCGATTTGAGCCGGCGCAAGGACTGATCGGCCGGTGCCTCGCAGGTGTGTTGATGTTATTTCCCTACACCGACCCGTCGTACCTCCGAAGCGGTTCGGTATGACTGGACCCGAACATGGCGCCCACCCCAAACACCTTCTCAGAAGGTACGACTGGAGGCCTAGGGTTTGTTTTCTACATGCCAATTTGTCTTGCACGCAAGCTGCTTCTTGGGGGCGTTGGGGAGCATTGGCAGCCATGGAGAGGGGGTGGAAGCTCTTTTGGTGCTTCCGGTGCATCGGGGTGGCAATTTCAACATGGAGGTCATCTCCCTAGGACGGGTGCGGTTGAAATGATTCAACCTAATCCCTTCAAACCGATCAGGAACCCCACGGGCACGATTCTTTTTCGGGATCAAGTGTTCAATGAGGTATATATACTCGAGATAAAGCTTCCCACCACTCACTCCCCTTTAGGCCCATTCTATAGGCCCCCCATCCATGGCATGGACCCCAGACACGCGGAGCCACTGCGTCAGGATCCCTGGCAGTGCGACCTGCTGGTGAATAAACTTCAAATCCAGGCCACTGAGGTCCGCTTCAAGCATGAGACCGACTTTGTGAAAGCCAGGCGAGTCAGCTGATGGACAAGTTGAGTCCATATCGAACACGAAGAATAAGAGGTTGGCAGTTGGCAGCTCCACGCTTCTCAGAGGGTGAGAGAATCCTTGGGTTGCTGAGCACTGGTGCCAGCAGATTGGAAAGTGGTGTCTGGAGATTCACTAGTTGTGTTTTTTCTCACGGGCTGGGGCGGTGGGCTGTGTGTAAGCATGTCAAGAAGTGCGCCTTCCCCCTTTTCCGCACTTCTCAGCTATCCCAGAGATGTCCTACCCCTTCAGTGACTGAACTTCCCACTTCATCACTTGGCGCAGCCAGCCTGGCTGCGCGCGAAAAAACCCCCGCGCAAAACCCGAGGCTTCTGCAGCCCTACCGGGATTGCACCACCTGCTTGCGAGAGCTCCCGCGGCCAGACACCAAGCTCAAAGAGACGGTCTCCTGGGCACGAATCGGATGGGAGCGGGTGGGGACAGCGGTGGGGGACAGCGGTGGACGAGGCCCAAGCGATGAAACAGCAAACAGTTTGGGGGTGAGCACCCGTGTCTATCCAGTTTGGGGGTGGGGTGAGTGATGGTGAGTGGTCATCACAGCCACTGGCAATTGAAAAGAGAAGATCGGCAGCAAGAGCTATAGAGCAACTGCGTCCAGTGAAATGACGACGATGCTGCTGCTGCTGCTGATCATTTGGATGATGACGATCACTTTGATTGTGATGATAATTGATTATCGGAATCAAAAAGCCATTGAAGTGTCAATGAGAAAGGTTCCCAGCTCAGTATAGTTGCAACTGTCAGTTGCACATGCTTAATGCACATGCAAATGAGCAAATTGACGCAAAAATAAGAAGGATCTCATTCAGAAAGACCTTGTGGCAGATACACACATATGGAATGTTTGATATATTTGTTATTATTTGTTATAGTTAATTTGTCATGATGGAGGAATGGTGGGTGATTGTCATTCAGAGGTGTGATGTGGTGGTATGATGTGGTATGTGATGCGGCGAAGTGGGCGATTTGACTCGTGACATGTAGAAAAGGTGATTTGCAACATGAGGCGCAATGTAGAACAGTGAAGTCTAGTGCCAAATTACCGCATACCACATCACTGCTCCTTCACTGAAACCAAAGGCTTTTACCTCACATGTCAAAGAGTCATAGTCATCTTGTTGGACAGTCCAAGACCTCCAGTTTTCCAAATTGAATCTGGCACCCACCGGTCACCAGGAAAACCCGATACTCAATTACATGTCAATCATGCATGTTCTGTGGGCATTGATCGGTACGTGGGCATGCATGTTTGTTCGAATGCATTGATCCCGGGCCCTTGCCCGTTTGGCCGTACCTGTCGGCCCCTTCGTTTCCGCTTCGGTGGGAGGGGTTCGGGGCCCAGAAGGGTCGTCCGACAGACTGCACCAGTATTGGTCCATGGGTTTTGGCTCGGGTCCGATCGCTGGAAAAGCAGGGTAAGCGATAAAGTTCAGGTGAAGTAGATCGTGCATAAGTCGAAAAGGGCCCTTGATGTTTTTTCCAGATTGGCCAACAGCCTGCTCTAGTGATTCCTTTTGTGGATGGATGACCATGAGATCGCACCCACCATAGACTCCCTTGAATCGGAAGTGGAGTGACCAGCACCTGTTCGGTGTGAGGATTTCATGCTCTTCCTGGTTCGGCCATGCCATTCACATAGCACGATGATTCCAGAGGGTGTAGATATGAATGTATATTATATATAGATTGTATTTATTCCAATCGGGGTGGCGATGAGGAGTGCCTCAACCTCGGCAGTAAGATGCACCGGCACCCTGATGCCACAAGGCCAGATGCTCAGTAACGGCATTTGTTCGGACTTTGCACCATCCACCTGGTGGGGTAGGCCGGCAAGTCTGGGCGCGCCGACCGGTTTCCCAAGAAACCGGTCCTTCCAGAGGCCTTGGGAGGCCGTAGCACCGAACCACCGACCGCCAAGCGTAGCACAGCTCCATCCCAACTCAGGTAAGCCGGACACTGCTTTGGCAGGTGAAGGAGGGGCTGGAGATGAGAGTTGTGGGCTGGGCGTGGGATGAGTTGTGCAGAGGATGGCGCTCAGACATGCCATGTGGTGGGATTGGAGAGCTTTCCTATCTCGAGGACGAACGAAAGTTGGCAAAGTCGGCATTTTCTTTTAATATATCAATCCATGCATTTTGGCATGGCAGCGCTCGCAAGGCAAGCTTGTGTTGTCACCTCCGATTTGGGATGGAGTTGTTAGGCTTCTTGTGCTACCCGAACATATGTTTTGCTATGAAAAGCAGGTGCAGCAGGGGGTTCGTTTGATTCTGTCCGGAATTGCTAGCTTTGTCCATGGGCAGACGATTCATGATGATTCATGTGATTCACTGGGCGAGTGTTTGGATACACCCGGGAAGAGGCCCTCATCGAACCGGGCTTGGCATCGACCAGACTGGCAGACAATTTCCGAATACCAACCCATTGTCGCAACCTTTACGCCTTTATCCTCTGTAGTGCGCGACTTACGCAATTGAAGAGTGCTCAGCAATGTGGTCATCATGCAGCTCAGTGCAGCAGGTCCCACCCTCAACCACGACCTGGTTTGGCCAAAACTGGCTCCAAGCAACCTTCCACACAGTGGGGCAGAGCCTGGATCTCAGGAGGAAGAGCTGCACATCAAGGCTGGCTTTGGAACAGTGGAGCAGATCGTCAACATGAACCTGGAGAACATGGCCAAGGCTGCATCCGTTTCATCGCGCGTCAGGTGGTGGAGAAAAAAACACAACATAGGTGTTGTCCGATGCCTTGTAACCGCTTTCACTCACGCTTGCGTACGACAGGGGGGACCTCCCTGGCTCACTTGATTTAGTCTGTTGTTGATGTTCCCCAAGGTCTTTGAAGGGATTGCGCAATCCAGGCTGGAGATCCTGCAAACCAGCCAGCGTGTCGCACGCAAGTCCACGTCAATTTGCCGGAAAACCAAAGGGGTCTCCCTACTTTGATTCGCACCTATACCATCCCATTCCCATCAAAGTCGGATCTTGAAAGTGACGAAGCCTTGAGACTTCAAGACTTACAAGTGATTTGCACCTGTTCTTCTGTGACTCCTCCGATCACAACACAAAAATGATCCACTTTGCCAAAGACCCACATCCTCCGCAAAAATTGGCGCACCGCGAGGTCCTGGAGCTTTACGAGCCCTTCAAGTTCTTGTTGATTGTTGCTTGGCCATGCCATTTCGTGTCCATCACCGATCCAGCACTATGTTTCACCGCCTTAGTAACTGGGGTGTTCAATGGAGAACCTGGATAGTAGTGGGCTGGGGCTTCCACTGGTGAACCCCCTTTGAAGGTGCTAGCATGTTTGGTGGAAGCTCGTCACCGTGCGCGCCGTGCGCAGCGAGTGGTATATCTACGATATTGTTAGCGATGTGCCGGCTGAAAAAGTGTGAAGAGGCACCGGGAAGGTAGGTTGGTGACATGACCTTGCTTAGATGTGCTGAGAAGCTCAGGGTTGGTGCAACTGGCACGAGAAAACTCCATTCTGCGAGCGGGTTTGATTCTGCCAGTGCTGCTGACTGGGGAGTTGTTTTGGATTGTTTTGGGGTCCGAGGTGCTAGAATTGATGAGTGAAGTCGGTGCTAACGGCTTTACGTTTCTTCAAAGCCATAGCAGTTGAGTTGAGGAGAGCCATTGGCGTTGGCATGGCTACCCACAGACCACGCCAAAAACACGGGGCTCATGACCAGATCAACTGCATGTCACAAGTGCTCCAAAAGCCACAAGACCTGAGGAGGAAGAGCGCACCACAAGCTTCTTCGAGGATCAATCCAATACGCGGGAGACCTTTGCCGCATATCTTCATCACCTGAGGCGCGGCAACCAGAGGCCGCTGGTTCCTGCTCCCCACTAAGCCATACTAAGCCGGTGACCTAACAAAGGTTTTTAGATGCTCGCCCAGCAAGGAAGTATATAGTTGAGTCGTTAGTCATACCGAGTCATACCCCACACCATCCCACACCCTTCAAATCAAAAGACATCCCAGTCCCTGAAACAAACATGGTGGCCGTGGATGGCAAACGACCCTGAGTTCGGATGACGAAATCTCTACCTGCCTCGACCAAACAGGTGGTGAACTCACTCCCTCCACTTCCATGAGGATTTCAGGGAGTTTTGGATGGCCCTGCCATGCTGTGCCTTTATGTTGGGCCCATGAGAGTTTGGGAATTTGTTGGATGGGCTCGACTGGCCGACTGGACACTGACAAGGTTGAATAAAGCGATCATCCACCATCATCCACCTCTATATCTTCCAGATTGCTTCAGACAGAGGTGCTTCACCTCTTGCGCCCATCCATACATATCCAGTGAAGTGCGATGGTTCTTGCTAATTCTGTGTTTTTGTATCGGTGGCTCGTGGAAAGAATCGATTTAGCACCATCCATCATACCCGTTTGGCCTCCAGTCGTACCTTCGTTTCGAAGGTGGGACTGGGGGCCCGAGTGCCATCTTCGGGTCCTATCCCTACACCTCCAGTCGTACCTCCTCAGGTTGGGTATGACTGGACCATCCTGGCACCCGGGCCCCCAGTCCCACCTTCAAAACGAAGGTCCGGCTGGAGGCCTAGGGTATATACCTTGGCGCCTCGATCACGTCCGCGTGATCCCCCAAGAAGTCTCCAGAGGCTCCTGGCCAGTCACATCTGCATGTCAGGGACACGATCCGCCAGCTGCGAGAGCAGTGTCCCAACATCCTGCAGATGCAGCTCATGCGAGTCGATGCCACCGAGGCTCCTGTTGGGGCGATTTCTGGGCTGAAGGCTGAAAGAGCTCCAGGTGGTGCACATGAAAGAGTAACTGATTGACCTACCTATCCTGGTTTGAAAGCATGGCTTTGGCATGTCTTGGCTTGGTCTTTGAGAATTCGTTTAGGCCCAAACACTCTGCAAACAAAACACACACACACACACACACACATGTGTGTGTTTTTTTTCTGATGCCTTTCTCCGCCGTGAAGCTCGGTAGGACACGCTTGCCGGACCGTTCGGAACGCGTTCCGTGAAGCTCGCGGCAGGTGAACCAAAAGCTGGAGCAATGCGCGGAAGATTGCATCGCCAAGTTGTTGAAGTCCTTAGCCTTGAGAAACCAGGATCGCTCTGCACGTGACTGGGTGAAAGACAAGGAAGTCCGGGATGGCGCTGGGTGAAAGGAGGTTGGCGGGTTCTTGGCTTGCACGCTTTGAAGCCGTGTGCTTCGAAGTACGTATCATTTTGTGGTGGTTCATTTTACTAATCGCAGGGTTGCATCTATTCCTCTGACTTGCGTTAGCTCCTCGCCACCGCATGCGGCGGGCTGGCGGTTTCCCCTGGATATGTTGTTTTCACCTGGAAACGGCTCCCGAAAGGTCCAATCGAAAAAGGTTTTTTGCTACACACCTGGAGCTACGGCAGGTGCAGAGCGCTCGAAACGTGTGCAGGTCCAGTCCTAGGAGCCGAAGGGGTGACCCGTTGCATGGCGCAAGGCGACCGTTCTTTGTACTGCTTGGGACTGCAGGTGATCCGCACAGTCTATCCAACCGGACCGCCGTTTGGGCATGCCCGCACCCATCACCGTCTTAGCCGTGGTTAGCATCGTGGTGTGCACGTGGGATTGACCGCAGCACTGAGGCCTTGTGAAGCAGTTTGAACACCTCAATGGGCGCATCATGCGCCAGCCCGAGAACGAGGTGGCGACCGATGCTCGCAGATCGCGAGACAATGCGTCACTTAGGCTAGCTTCTATCGATTTCCCTCGCGTGAGTTCCACAAGTGCTTGATTTGCTCCAGCCGCATGAAAAAAATAAATTGCACTGCAGCATGAGAAGGAAGACATTCATACGATTCATACGGCATATGGATGGCGTGAGACATAAATTGTAGAAAGACCAATCACTTGATCGACCTCAATCCAAAAACAAAGCAGGAACAGATTCCGATTCCGCTCATTGCCATGCAGGTGTCCAATACTTGGCATGTTTGGTGCACCCAGTGCGCAGGAACAGTTGGTGGAGCTGGAACTGGCTGTGGAAGAGGCGAAGGCCAAGACTTTGCCCAACCTGTTGGAGGAGTACGAGGCGAACCTGGCAAGGGGGTATTGATGTACCCTATGGGTTGTGTGATGTGTTTTGAAGTTCGAGATCTGACTTCAAGCTCCTGTATAACCCAGGAAGTACGTGGATCACACCTTTAAACCTTCTTTTGGGGGATTGGGGATACCCCGAATATGATAGTAGATGATAGTGGCAAAAGGAACCTAATAGGAATGGCCTCCACCCTAATAGCAAGGGCCTCCACCTAGCTGCTTCTAGGTTACTAGTAGCGAACGGAGACCTACTAGAAGCTTCAAAGACCTACTAGCATCTCAAAGCTCCTAGAAAAGGTTAACTTTTTCAAGGGAAACGGCTCCGGACGTCGTTTTCCTCATGATGTGCAGGATGTGACACGTCGGCTTTCGTCGGCTGGGCTCCAGTCGGCCCGCCCCAGTGGCATCCACCCACCCCGACCCCCATCGAACCGAACCGGAAGGTGGGGCGGTTGGAGGCCAAACGGGCTTGTGAACCACTGGTGACCTGCTGTTGTCTATACTTGAATCACTACTTGACTCATATTGAAGGTGCTTTGATATATGCTTTGATGTATTTTGCTTCAGCGCCAGGACATCAAAGCATGGCTGTTCCTCACATGGGATGAGGCCTCGGGGCGAGTTGAAGACGGGATTTGGAAAGAAAAACGGACCAGGAAATGCACTCAGAATCCGGGCCCTATGGTTTTCAGGCCCTGGCCGTACCCCTGCCTTTCGGTGTCGGGTCCGACCCCATCATGAAGAGCCCAAGGATTCTTAAGGTTATAAAACATTACAATATTATATAAACACTATATATATGATATTATACATTAAAACACATATTTTATGAATATATTGTTATATGAACATTATATGAACGAAATATTTTTTTGGCTGGCATTCTTGAGAGCTGCGCAGATGGACAGCTGCTTGGAGGGGCCCACCCAAAACAGGTCGGGAATGATTGGACGGTCCCAAGCATTGTGGTTCAATTGAACTGGTACCACTTGGTACCACTTGGTTCAATGGAGCAGTTTGATACCCCAGCAATGGTGACCTGGCCCCTTGCCGGTGAACCAACCGGCTAGGGGAGGGTGGTGCCATCGCATCGTCTCACTTCGTTTTGCTTGGTCCTAACGGGCGCCGCACCGGTGGCGCTGGGGGGATGCGCCAACAAGGACCGCCGGGGGCGGTCCTTGTCAGGACCATTTGCTGGTGGAAGAGGACTACAATGCCATTTGGGCTGCTTCCCAGCGGCTTGGACTCGCACGGAGTGGGAAGAGAATCTGTGAATGGAGAGCGTGCGAGGAGAGCGCATGCGAAGAAAAGGGGACAACTGCGCCATTGAGGGGAACTGTTCGGGAACATCAAGGAATGCCATTTTGGACGCAATGCCTGGCAAGAAGCATTGTTTTAAATGGCGTTTGCACACGATCAAAGCTGAACTGGCAATTCGGGTGCACCACAAGCTGCTCTTTGGCTTACATTGTTACGTGTTTTGTAGAGCCGCACCTCCTGACATGATGGAACAAAACGAGGAGAGACATTGAAAAAGAACAACCACAAAAACACCCGGGAAAATAATCCTTCAGCATAGCATATCCCTACACCTCCAGGTAACTACCTCCTCAGGTTCGGTATGACTGGACCCGGTTCCGGTTTTGGCACCCGGGCCACCCCCGACCGTCCCACCGAAACGAAGGTCCGAAGGTCCGGTTCCCCGGGTCGCCCACCGGCTGGTCATTGACTCGACCGTTCGGGCCGTCAACCCCCACCGAGGTGGAAGACGTACGGCGACAGCATCGCCGAGCGCGAGCGTGATCTGGAAATGGATCGCATGAGCATCGAGGGTAAGTTGATCTCCAGAAGAACGGATGTGACCGAGGAGTCTCGGATGGTGTGAGGATTCGGATGATGCGACGTGACTGATGATGTGACTGATCAGGTTGTTTGAAGATTCATGAATCTTCAATGATAGTTTCAATTCCCATAGACCTCCAGTCGTACTGTTTGGGGTGGGTTTGGAGGGTCCAGTCATACCGAACCTGAGGAGGTATGACTGGAGGTGTAGGGTTGTATCACGTTTTCTGTATTTTGTTCCCATCTTTGTCGAAGACCTTCGCATCCCAGACACTCCTCTCACACTATGCAGAAAGGCATCGCCCTGGGGCGGTTGATGGGGGGCGGAAGAGACTCCACACTATCGAGTGTTTGGGTCCCCCAATTGGGCGACCCAGTCGTAGCAAACCGGTTCGCTGGGAACGGGCCCGTGTAGGGGGTATGATGATCCGCATGCTTTAAGTGTTAACGATGGCAGTTTTTGCATGGTGAGCATGGCGAGCCGCTCGATGAATTGAAGATTGCTTTCCGGTACTGGCTGGCTGCTAGGCATCGAGGATTGGAGAGTTGAGGGTCCACAAGGCTCAAGTTGCCCCTCTAAAGAGTTTAATGATTACACCTGGAAGACGATCGAATGGACCCTTCCAGGGGGTCAAACAGTCAGGGTCTATGTGAGTTTTCGGGAGTGTAAATTGAATGGCAAGATCTTCCAATGGTGATGAATGGCAAGATGTTCCAATCCACCACCAATATCTCACCATGTTGAATATCTCACATGGTGTTTAGAATGGCGAGATTGTTCAATCCACTCACCAGGTTGTTGATGAAGAAGCATTAGGCAGTCTCCTATTTTGATGTACCCTGCAAAATCCGGGCCCTCAAACAGATAGGGTTTGGAGGCCCCCAAGCCCTCTATGCCAAGTCCGAACCCTGCCATGTAGTAGAGACATGTTCCAGGAGTCGCAGGTCGGGGTGGTTTTGGGGGTCCCATCCGGGCTGTGGATGTGATGGTCGGGGCACCCCGACAACCTAACTTCCATGGATCGCAGCCCGAGCTCCTCCATGACCTGCTGGTTGAGACCAGTTCTCTTGTGACCTGCTGGTTGCGCCCTGGAACGGTTCTTCTATAGCTATATTCCTCATCGTTTGGGGCCTTTAGAAGGGGACGGACTCCGGCGACTTCCGGTGACTTCCGGTGCTCAGGAGTTGACCAACCTCATGAACAGTGTGAACAAGTTCAAAGACAAAGGTCAAGTGCGTTACCTTGAGGACAGGGGGAAGGATTTTGGTGCGTTACCGTAGCTTTCTAGTTGGGGATAACCTGGAGTTGTCTTTTTTGGCTCTCATGCGGATTTTTGGTGGTCTGCAACGTGGCCGGCAAGTGAAACAGAACCCCAGCCCACAACCCCAGCCATGCAACCATCAACCACGGACCGTGCATGAGACCAATTAACTAACCGTCCGTAGAAGTTGCTCAGTCTAAAGGCCCCGGTCCCGAACTGGTTTGGGGGCTGTGAACATCCCGAACTCGCTGTGAAAAACGTGCACGTTTCGCGGTGCGCGGTAGCTTCACCGTGCTCATCATGGAATGGTTTTAGTTGCCAAGAACTGATTTGATCATATTTGATTCCTATTTTGAAGGGAATATGCATACATTTTTTGAGGGTGATCCAAACGTGAACGTCACTCAGAGCCAGGCGGAGCTGGAGAAAGGGTTTGTTTTCTCACTCTATAGTATTCTATAGTAAGGTTGGAGGCCATCACTATTAGGTTGGAGGCCATTGCTAGTAGGTTGGAGGCCATCGCCATCATATAGCATCTATATAATTATAGTCTATAAATATTTCCAACCGTGGGGGAAACGTAGAGTTGACTGCCGTGTCGACATCAAGACTCCTAGTGTTTCATTTGGCTTCTTACATTTCTTTGTCCCTTCTCAGCCGCCTTCTCTCAACCAAAAACCCTCCCGTTCGGCGGCTTCCATTTGAGATGGCCAGGAATATTTGGATGACCTCAGCAGTATCAAAAAGAATTTGGCATCACTCCAGGCTCTTTTGCTGCACGATTTTCCTGAAGAGGTCCAGCAGTTCGACTGGGTCTCTTCTTGAAACTGTTGAAATCACCACATCATCATCCCAGTGATCTACAGGAAATGAACGCGACGGGCAAATGCCTTCAGTCCGGGAGCTCACATCTCCGCAGGTCTGTAGAACCCACCGAGCTCCCCTAGGATTCAAACAACCATTGTTTTAATGGTCTTTACCAAGGAACCATTGTTTTACGAAGGATTTTTACACTAGATTCAACCGCTCGTTGAATCGTCTTTGAAGGCTAGGGGCTCATGGTCTGGAGCATCGAGGACCAATTCTAAGAAGGCTTTCAGCTTCGTTTCCATCACCATCACCAGATTGTGTAGTTAATTTAAGATTCCTATCCCTATAGGGCTCCAATCGTACCTCCTCAGATGGTATCTGGACCCTCTGAACCCACCCCAGTCCCACCTTCGAAACGAAGGTACGACTGGAGCCCAAATGGGTATGTTTGTTAGACCCTCTCCCACCCCAAACACCTCGCGGGGTTCGAGGAACCTGTCTCACCGCCGGTGGCCCCGTCAGCTCCGTCTGCTGGATCGGGTCGTAGTGCTTGTTGAACATGGCGAGCATGCTGGAACATGGGGCTGGAACATGATGGCTTACAACACGCTGAGCGACAAAAATCAATCAAAAGGGTAAAACACGTCTGTAAATGTTCGTTCGCACATATTTATTTCACTCTTCCTGTCATTCACAATCCCTACACCTCCAGTCGTACCTCCTTCGAAGGTATATGACTGGACCCTCCTGGCACCCACCCCCAGTCCCACCGAAACGAAGGTACGACTGGAGGCCAAACGGGAATATGTTGTTGGTATTTTCCAACCAGCTCCAGACCTCATTTGACCCAGCTGGTCGCGAGCGAGATGTTGGAAGGCGCCCAAACCTGGTTCCTGGAAGCCGTTGTCCCGACCGAGGCGCGGTGTGAGCGAATCCAGTACGAGGAGGAGCTGGTGGGTTGGGAACCTGGTGAGTTTGAGCTCAACGAGGCCCATAGCGCGGTGGAGCCCTATGAGCCTCGCGAACGAGAGATGGAGCAATCGGGAGACGTTGTTTTGGGCAAAAGCTGGAAGAAAGGGGGGCAGAAGAGAGGGTGAACTGGAGCGGAAGGGTGCTTTTTGGGGTTGTCAGGTGGGGGCGGAGTAAGCAAGTTTTGAATACCAGAGCCCCCTAAGGCTATTCAGGGGTGTCCAATTTATAGCTCCTTAAAGGTGATTCGGGATGTCCATGAAAACCACCCCTTAGCTTAGCGGGCCCTGGTAGTTTTGATGTCTTTTTGGGGTTGGCGGTGGGGCGGAGACGGAGACTTGCTAGCGTTATCCGTATGTCGAGTCAGTTGACAGGATCGGACAGAAAGGAAGGGACAGCTGGCAATTGCCATTCAAACAACGGCTAGGCTCGAGATTCACCAATTCCTAGACTAGAGAGGGAAGAGGTTCTGACCAATTCTTTCAGTCAAGCTGGATTGAAGTGATTGAACTTGATCCCTTCGAAGTTGCCTTTGCTCGGCTGAACGCATCCAGCCGTGATGCGTGACACCTGTGTCATGTTGGCCGCTATTGAAAAGACCTTCCAAGATGGGGTATTTCGCCACATGTGGTAGCAACAGAGGTTGAAGAACCCCCTGACTCGACTATCCAGCTACCAAAGCTACCCCGGGTGACGGGTCCTATTCACTGGCTACCTCTGGTCGTCACCACCAAGTCTTGTGGGAGATGGTGGTTCGAGTCTTGCCGGTCACATCTCAGGACAAGCTATGGACTTTGGTCTATGAGCACCAGAAGGTGCGCGGACCGCGCGTGCGGTCGGAGCGGTCGGCGCTTCGGGAACACATGGGCGAGGCAAAGCAAGTCATTGCAGAAAGCATGTTTGGGGAGATCCTCATGTGACTTATGAATCATGAAGCTTTGATGCACAATATGATATGAACGACAGTATGAATGACAAGAAATGGCTCATACGTGCCCATGTTCATCATGAGGCCCTGAGCATCCCAGCGCACTGAAACCAGAGGTTTGTGTATGGATACACAGCCGGATTCTACATCCTGAGGTCTCGGGCCAGGGTTCTGGAGTCTGAAGAACATCTCCGCAAATGACCACATGGAAGCCCAAAACCACATGGGCTTCCCAGACCTCTTCGGAACCTCTTCGGACAACCACAGGTCCCATTTGAAGGGTCCATGGGATCGCTTTGGGCTTTTTTACTAGAGCTGTGAAGGAGTCTTTTTGTCACCACTTGATGACTCCATTCACCTCCACACCGGGTCCATAGTTGGCATATGGATTCAGCATGCCTTTCAGGACCTGCTTCCTTCGGGAAAGAACCGAACTCAGGTCACACTGACGACAGCACCGGCTCGCGGTCGTGGGTACATGTGGCTGCAAAGGAAGGCGCTCAGGTCCGGTGCGATGGATTGCACCAGCGATGAATAGAGGTGTTGGTTGATGAATAGAGGGGATGCCACCAAGTACCAGGACCTTCAGTTCGTGACCTCTTTGGAGTCTCTGTTTGTGACAGAAGAAACAGACCTAAGTGACCTCATCCTGGGGTCACTTTGAAGGTCCTGGTATGTATTTTTAAGATATATTCGACCAAGAATGTGGTATTTGGGCACTGCAAACCACCCTAGATTCTTCTCAAGCGCGCACATCATGGATCGGGAATGATTTCATTGGTATCCATGGACATCTCCCTTCAATCAGCTATAATTAAAGTTGAAGTCTGACGAAGTCTGATGTTCATCTCCAAGCCATTCACACATGTTCACCCCCCTTACATATCCCCCTACATACCCCCACCACATACATCTATCCCCCACCCCTTACCATACCTCCACATGACCCCCTACCACCGAGTCTCCTCTCCCCGTCTCGGCACTCAGGCGAGCCAGCGCTGGACACGAAGCCCCCTCTTCTCGGGCGAGCTGAAGCCAGAGGCGGGACACCGAACACCGACCGGGTCCCGGGCCTCCCGCGCATCCCGCGCGGAACCGCTGCAGACCGCGGAATCCGGCGGATTCGGACGTGGGGTGTGCCGGCGATGGGGCGAGGGAAGGGAAGTGGTTCGAAAGGCGAGGCGGGAAGTGTCGGGTGGTGTTTGGTTTGGTTGTTTTGTTTTGGTGGTGCTACGGCATTTGGTGTGTTTGCTTGATTTTTGGGGTGGGCTAAGCTCTAAAGTAATTTTGCTTGGTTGTATTGTTTGATATGTGCTTTCGTTGAAGTTAACCCCTGCCTGCAGCGTCCTGCAGCATGAGCAGTCTCCGGCCAGTAGTTTTGTAAGTCCAGTTGCCCGCCAGTAGTTTTGCATCTTGTGATTCTCAGTGTAGCAACCCAATCGGTGTCGCAAAACACAATCCTGACGGACGTTATTTGGCTGGCTTTTCCTGTTTTTTTCAGATAGAGACATCGTGATCTCTGCATCCGTCATGTACAAAACATGGTTCATCTTCCAAACACTCCATGTATATATATATATGCCTACATTGACCCCCAAAACCACCACAATATAGGTATATATGGCAGTCCCATGGAGTCTCTGGGTCACGGTTCCCTTCCACTTCTTCCGGTCGATGTCAACACGTCGACTCTCCACGCTCCGCCCACTTGCCCGGTTACGCCTCGTTCCGCCGGCATCGCCGATCCGATCCGATCCGATCCGAAAGGCCTCGAAACGCAGCGTGCACGCGGTGCTCGGCGCCCTAGGAGATCGAGTCCGAAGTCATGAACATGCACCGAGCTCAGCCGAACTCAGCCGGGAGAATCGCGCGAAGACGCGCTCCTGCTGTGCGCGCCAGCGAACGCGAGTCTAAGCGAGTCTTCGCGCATCGGACGAGCCGTGGAAGGGAAGTTGGTGACCCCCCCCCTCCCAGATGTGCGAGGTGTTTTCTTTCTTCCCGGCCTCCAAACTGGGCGGGGCTGGTGGACAGATTTCGTGGAATCCACGTGGCAAAACAGGAGACTCAGACGGATTCCACATGGTGTGAGGTTGGCAAGTTTGATGGATTTAGTTCCTAGATTCCTATATTTTTGGGGAATTTTTCACACTTGGAGAACCATTGAGAACAACTTCAATCCCCAGGACCCATGGGGACGACGTGTGTTTGCGGAGCGACAGGACCCTCCGGTCGCTTCGTGTTACACGAAGCGACCGACGTCAGATGGAAGTGGATGGAAAACGGCCAGTTCGGGACGACCATGTTCCGAATACCACTGCAGGTGTTCCAAATCGGACATGGGTTCGTTTGGTTCGAGCCGAGTGGAACGCCTTGTATACGTTTTTCATGAGTCTCCTCATGTTTCCTCCAAAAGGGGTCTGATTTTGGGGTGCTTCTTCGACACGTTCTCAGCCTCCCGGCGACCTGGCGAGCTTCGGTCGATGGTCGACGGTCGCTTGGGTGACACAGTCGTGCCGTTGGTTCTCCTTCGCAGCGATCGATGTGAGAAGGTCCAAGAAGTCGATTCTCGTTGGCCACCGAGTTCCGTAGAGCAGCTGCAGCAAAAAGCATATATATCCGCTTTAGCAGCGGAAGTCGACGCGTCCGATGCGTCCGATGCTTGGAATCCTGGAATTTTGGAGTCCGACTGAGGTGGCGGCTGTCCTTTAAGCTCAAAGCCACCTTTGAACAGGACAAGCTCACCAAGCCAGCCAAGGCGCCCAAGAACACCTCGTGTGGCAAGAACTCCTCGCGAAGCCGTTTGAGGTTGTGGCGCCTTTTGTTGACACGGGGGAAATTACCCGCCAGCCGTTGGAGGCTTTTTTGAGCTCCAACGTTGTTCCATGTTTTCCTTTGCTATGAGGAATTGTCCGAACATATGCACCAACCAACAGGAAGAACTGCTTGCAACCCCACAGCAATCCACCCTAACCAGAAAAAACACATGGAAAAGAATGCTTCAGCTGATGCCTGTTTCGGTGCATTTTGCTATGGAAAAGGATAACTATGACCATGTTCCTCTACAAGGGGTTTTGGTCCCACCTCCATGATGCTGATTTCAATCAGTCCAGCCTTGCCCTTCAGCTCGCGAACTCTTCCCCAGACCTGGCCCTTTTGCCCTGCCCTGGCGCTTCTGCCCTGGGGCTCCAGTGCTCCCTAAGCGGGACAAGCAACGCGTCGCCTTGCCTTCTGCGGAACCGCCTCGCAGGTGGCGGAAAAGGTGAAGAATGACTTGGATGCCTTCAAGGACTCAGAACAACAACATACAGGGCCATCCGGTGCCCAATGGAAACACACTACTTGGGGATCCCCCAGACAGGACACCCATTGGATGCTGCAGGATTGTTGTTCTATATCCCTAGGGCAGTCCCTAGGGCTTCGCAACACCTTCGTGGTGCGTTCCGTGACGACGTGTTCGCCCGAGCCGCGGCGGGAGATGCGTTGCATGTCCTTTTGGGGGTTCGCGGACTGGACATCAACACGGAGCCTTGCAAACACACCGGTGCACACCCACACCTTATCTCGTGGAGCGATCGGGCTGTTTGTAGAGGGCCCTTCTGTGGGCGCAGAACGGGTTGGCATTTATGGTGTAAAAGGTCCCGTTACAATGAGGGGTGCCCATTATCCACTCACTTAGAGACCAAACACCGACATGTGACTCCTGGTCTGAACGTTTGTTTCTTCAAGGAAGCTGGGATGGTGCAGCAGCGTAAATACTACTGTCACCGTTGATGGAGGCATCCATTCACCAGCTCGAGCCCTGAAAGCATGGTACAGTAAATGCTAAGGGCTTTGTTTTGTCCCCTTTGTGGAAGTTCTCCCATCCAGGCCAGGGAGTGGTTTGGATAAAGGATCTCACGGGCTACAGCTCCCTTTCTGTTCGAGAGAGCAAGTCCAAGTTGAGCAATTGATACCCGACCTTTCTCCCCCACCGCACTTGCATAGCATCTAGCTAGACTGTTGGCACGCGCTCTTGCAGGAGAACGTACCCCTCTTGCATGCGCTGTGCAACCCCGGGCTTCGGGAGCGACATTGGACAGAGATCTCCAATGTCATATGCTTTGAGATGGGGCCGGATCCCACACTGACCCTCAACAAGGCGAGACCACGGGCTAGGACCGCGGCTGGGAGGTGAACGATGGAGCCACTCACGGGAGAGGATGGGAAGGAGGTGACCACGGGGAACTGATGAGAACGCCCAGATCAGAGGGGTTGTGGATGGTTGTGGCTTCTATTTTCTCCGGCCAAGTCGATGCATCTCTTTCGCGCGGTTTTTGCGTGTTTTAGAGGTGAGGCATTAGCCTGTTTGTTTTGGTGGGATTCATTGCTTGGAGCTGGTCTGAGGTTGGTGACCCCCAGTGCCAGGCTCCATTTGTTCGACCAAACCTTCAGTGGTTCACTGCACCCTGGGGATCCACCTTCTCAGAAGGCACTTTGGACCCTCCTGGCACCCACCCCAAACACCTTCTGAGAAGGTACGACTGGATCCCTTTGGGGTGCAGTGTTTTATGTCCTGCTTTGGCGCGGAATGATTGATCCCCTTCATTTGCGAGATCTTGCCTCAACCATAGACGACCTTTTACTATTGGTTGGTGACTTGATAGAAGGGATGCCGGGATTGGGATACCCCAAGTGTACAACCAATATAGTAGGATAATATAGGCCGGTATAGAATCTATTATAGAATCTATCTATCAATTATAGTTAACGGACATCATGGGCCTCAACTAAGAAATCCTTTTTCTGCATTTTCTGAATCCTCCACACTTTTCAGAGCCATGGCTATCATCTTCCAAGCCATGCCCTCCCCATCTTTGTGACCAAAACGGGGTGCCAAGAAGTCGGGTATGCTCCGGATCCACTTTGCTTGCAGTACTTTCAGAGGTCCGATGACACCGTGATGCGCTTGGGGTTTGTCCACCTGGCGTTTGACTCTCTGACTCGATCTTACTCACAAAACGAGGGCACCCAGACCAGACCGTGCAGAGCTGCTAGCTCGCACAGCGCATACACCTGCGAGGCCTTGGATCGAGATATTGGCGCCTATGTGCCTCGGTTTTCCACGGTGACACCGCGGATTGTGGCCTTGGTCGGTCGACAGATGCTTCGTCCCACGGATTGTAGGACCTTCCATAATAGGATGGAAGCCTTTTGGAGTATATTGCCCAGACACTCCATGGGACTGCCATATATGCCTACATTGGGGTGGTTTGGGGGGGTCAATGTAGGCATATATGCCATACATGGAGTGTTTGGGTATATATTGGCCACATATCTCCGGAAGTTTCGTAACGCCAAGTTCAACCAGTCAACCTGGGGATGGTCTGATCTACTCTCCATCCATTACCAGGATGTCCAGAAACCACCCTATCTCCGTGGTCCTGGTAATTGTGTGTTTATGCTTGTCCTTTTTTTTTGGACCCCGGAGGATTCGCCGGTCAGCCGGTCAGAAGCAAGGACCCCGGGTGGATCTGCTGCGAGGGCTTAGCATGGCCCAGCCCAGTTGGGGAGGATTCTCCACCGTCACCAGAGCTGCACCTGAGGTGCAGAAGATTTCCGAGATCTCTGAGAGCGCGGCCAAGGAGCAGCTGGGCGAGAAGCATCTCCAGAGCTATATGTGTCCACCTCACAAACCGACTGTACCCCATCAAGGGGATATCCGTGCAAGGCCTTTTTGGGGGATTGGGGATGTTGCGCCACTGAGAACCTACAGATGGACAGTTCGGCTAACCCTTATTTTCCCAGGGATTTCCGGCTCCGGAGTCAGCAAATGACCAATAGTCACGATGGTCATGCCTGGTGAGTAGAATAGGCTTCCCAGCCAGACACCAGACACACCCCATCAAGTACTTGGGCCTTCGAGGACCGCGGAATCTTGAGACTTGATGTGTCCACCATGACTGGGTCATGACTGGGTTTCAGGCCTTGAATCTTCAAACGCCCATGGATGGCCCCGAATGAGAAGTTCCGCCCCCGGCAGGTCATGGCACCGTACCGTACGAGTGACCTACCGGACCTACCTAGCATCAGTCATTCGCTACATGGTGGGTTTTTGGCTCCAGGTGCTGTTTGACCATTTGACCCATGCCCATTTGAGGTATCAGATCGAGAGTGGCTTAGATCCTTGGAGTCGAACTCAACCACGCCGTGACACATCCTTGCGAGCGGTGGAATCGGCGGTGTGGCAGGAGGTGTTTGACCGATACGGGGTTCATTCCGCATGGAAGAACTGCAGGGTTCATATATATAGATGTTCACATGCCTTGGACGCAGAATAAAGGAGAGAAGATCCCTGATTCATCCTGATTATATAGTTGTTGATAGTTGTTTTTCCCGTGCAGTGTAGTTAGTAATCAGGTGGCAAACAAGGAAGGTCTCGCGTCTCGCTTCTCCACTTTCAACGAGACCGTCGAGAAAGTATCCATTGGGGCGTTTGAGAGACTGGTCTTGCTTAGTAAATTCCCTTTTGGGGTGTCCTGGTTCCACAAGCAAGTCTATTCTTTGAGGGTTTGTTTTTGAAATCGAGAGCCCGATCATCCGGGTTGCGAAGCCAGACTCCGACCCCCAAAATCTTCAAACATGTTCAGACCATGCTTGCCCATCTCTAAATATGATTGACACATCTGAGACCTTCCAGTTACGCTGCGCAAAGGAAATCAAATACGCTGCGTGGGCCAGGAAGTCATGTTCGGCAAAAAAAGATCATCCGGATCCGTCAAGAACTCCAGAACGAGGAACCGGATCCGTCCGTCCGCTGAGGATGGGATGATCAAAGAATGGGAACCGGTCATCATGGAGTTCAAGGCCTCTTGGCTCTTCTTCAGCTCGTCTTGGGAACTGAAGGGCGACGGAGATGTTGGGTGTTGCTTTCTTATGTTTTTTGCATTTTCTCGGTGCATCGGATGCGCTTTTGGTTGATGGGTTTCAAGCGGCCACGGTTGTCCGATGTTGGGTTCTGAATGCGAGTGGGCGCTGGTAATCCGCACAATGGGTTGGGTGCAGGTCCTGCGACCGAAGAACATCACCATTTTAGAGAGAGAGAAACTTGCTACCGAATCATCCACTGGTAATTCATGGTATTGGCAGGATATACTCCCCAAACAATGGGCATGTCCAGAATCAAAGATCTTCCACAGCGGCATGGACAGCACTGAGCACTGGTGTGATTTCCAGTTGCCCTGGCTTTCAATCGGCCCCTCCCTTGGAAAACATCATCGCGCAGGCATGGTATGAGGTAAAAAGGGCATAGACCAATTGGTTGATAGATGGTTTCAGCATTTTTAGGGAATGTTCATGGAGCACCGGACTTCACTAACCATTTCAAACATGTTTGCATTTCCCGTGACCGTGACACTGGGCGATGGGCTGCAAAAGATATACTTTGTTTGGTGGGGGAACGTTTTCAGGCGAACCTCCCCCAACCAAATTAAAGCAACGCAACAAACAGGTGTCGATTTTGCTTACTTCTGCGTTGTTTGTGTCATGGTCTTGTTCTGCAAGTGGTGAACTTGCTGAATCTTGTTGCGCAATTTTTCCGGCGAGATGGAAAAAGGGTCCAGGCTGCACAATGATGTGCTTATGTGATCTTATGTGCCTATATATACCTGAAGTATGATTTCTTGGATGCCGGTGGGTCGCGGGTGCATCTTGAAACCAACCCCGCCTGGCCGCGGGACGTGCGTTCAAGGATTGGGGCACCACTGGAACCTACATTGTGGCAGGCGCTTCCATTGATGAGGTCCAGCACTTTGGCTGATTTGGAGTTTTTTTAACCAGAAGTTCAACACCAAACGATGTGCAGAAGAATGGGCACATACACCTTCCCGGAAGACGAGTTGTTTCCAAATGACAAGTAGCCCATAGACCGACCGAAACTCGGGTTCTTCTATTGTGGTCCACTGGGTTGCTAAGCTTCGGAATGTCCGTGGGTATGGACAACCTAGAACGTCCAAAATCCGACATAGATAGCATTAGCATCGGCATCAGAGGTCCGATCAGTATATAATATAATGTTATTAAGTTCCCAACCACTCCATGTATGCCATATGTGCCGATCAGTTGGGGTGGTTTGGGGGGTCAATGGGGCGGCTTATATGGCAGTCCCATTAGTCGTGTTTGGGGTTGCTTCAGAGCTGCGGCTCTGGCACCCGCCTCACGCCGTTCAATGACACATTCCACATCCAACGACGTCCAACTTTGGGGTTCCACTTGTGCCATGTCACTATAGCTGGATCATCCCCTTGCCCAGAGCATCCTAGCTGGTAACCAGTGGTTCCAAAGACTAAAACCATAGACCGAACGAATCCCTGGTTCCTTATAGGTAACTGCCATGCACTGGGTTGGATATTGTTTTTATTTATTTGACTGTATGTCTTTTCCTGTGTCTTTTCCGAGGACCTTGCTGGACGATCATGTCATCAAGACTCAGACCATGAAGGGCTCGCCCTATGCGGCAGAGTTTAAGGAGGGGTGGTGGGGAAGTTCAGGTCGATTCATCAGAGAGAAGGCTGGTCAATGCACTTCAGATTCCATTTGCGGAAGTGTAGCCGCGTAGCCTGTTTGGAGGAAGGGCGCAAGCTTGCACATGCGCAAGCACCTTGCACCTAAGCGCTGAGATTCGATGCAATTCTTAAGAACAGTCGGTCCATTGAACATATTCAACATATCGATTAACATAAGCTCTCATCACCTGCAGAGGAATATGTTGATGGTCCCTGTTCGTCGTCGTATCCGTTACCTTATGGGACTTCCGACCAGACGGACCCCTGAGCGACGCATGAGCGACGCACGTGCCTTGGGGCCGTATTCGGACGCACCACGTCGATGTGTGTGGAGAGGACGCCCAGGGTGCCCCGGGCCCGGAGGAGTCCGAAAGTAGCCCCAAGCCTAGACCTCCAAGTACCTTCTGAGAAGGTGGGACTGAGGTGGGTTTGGAGGGTCCAAATACCTTCTGAGGAGGTACAACTGGAGGTCTAGGGGTTTTGGGTGTTTGACACCAAGTCCCGGCGGCCCGGCGGTCGTGTGTTCGTCTCGAACTCTTTCACGCCGCCGGACGTTCTGGCGGATGCCAAACGTGTTTCGCGTCGAGGAACCGGAGCGTCGAAACCTAATCGATTTGTTCAGGTGAATTGATTCCACGCACCGTCCGTGGGGAACAACACCTCAAGCCGTCTAGTTCAGCCTGATAGGGACCGAGCTGGAGCTGGAGATTCCGCGTTCAGGTCCTTTTCTTTAGGTCAGCAAGACTTCCTCTTGATGGGAAAGACACATTTTTAGCAACATGTTCTCTTGAAAGCCAATGTCAAGCCATTATATATATATATATATGCTTACATTAATATCCCTAGGCCTCCAAGTACTTTCTGAGAAGGTGTTTGAGGTGGGCTTGGAGGGTCCAAATGCCTTTTGAGGAGGTACTTGGAGATGTAGGGTATATATGTCGTCAGGTTTCATCCTGCACCGAACCGCCAAGACCGAGCACGTGGCATGTATCAGGAGCGATTAGAGGACTGGGAGAAGTACCTGACAGGCGTCCAGGACATCGTGGATGTATGGTTGAAGGCAGGGAGGGTCCACACGTTCCAATTCGACCGCCCCGGCATGTCCGATGGTGCTCCCCTCGGTGAGTTTGGGTCTTGAAGTCCCAGATGCTGGGCGACCGAGAGGCTCCGAAAGAAACATTAGATTCGGGTCCTGGACCTCGAAAAAGTCTGGTCTACTCTACCCCAGTAAATCCAGGCAAACCACTATAGCAGCTTCACCAGTTCCAAAGACTTAAACCGTAGACCTACTGGAAACCTCCAATGAGTGTCCCATGGAGATCCTACAAGTAGTGCATGGTAGTCCATCGGAGAACCGTTGGATGGCCCTGGGTAGCCATTCAGAGCGGGACAGCTGGGAGACAGCGAAAAGGCTCGGCAGAGAGAGAGAGAGAGAGAGCTCTTGTTCGAAAAAGCTCTTGTCTGCGATCAACGGCTTTGTCAGGTGCAGGGCGTTTGGCTCTACCTGGAGCCAATCTTCTCCTCAGAGGAGTGGAGGGTGATGTCAGGTGATGTCGGCATGGCCCGAGTAGAAGAATTACATCCGGGAGGGGGCCCACATGGAACCTGATGGCATGGACCAGACTGGAAGACTGCTTTCCACAACCCAGTGGTTCTCAGGTTCTATGTTAATCTTCCAGGGTGTACGATGTTCGTTCCACGGCCGCTTTTTCTGCTTTCAACGCGGGAACAGGAAGGCGGTGGCAAACGACTCATGAATTCATCCTGGAACTGGCGAAGTGCGATGTTTGCACCATTGTAAGTATATAGCAGTTGCTCAGGGGGCATATCATATAACATTCCATCAGATTCCCCCCTTCAACCGGGAGTTCCTCATGCAACCCGACGAATCCGCCCAGGCTTAGGTAGCTACGGCTTAGCTCCGTAGCTGTTTGGAGCTCAGGACCCAAGAGACGCCAAAAAAGAACCAATAACACCACCGAATCCTTAGCTGGAATCCTGAAGCCTTTCTAGCTCAGGTGACCTGTTCTAAGCAAGTGGACTTCTTCACACATTAATTAGAAGACAGCCCGCAGTCTTCCTAGAAAACCTGCGCTCTTCCTTTGAGTCAGGTCAATGGGAAAAGAATTGGACAAGAAATGAGAATTTTGCAGTGTCCGCCTACCAAATGCTGCAGGCGTCCCAAAGGTGGTAAGTCTTCGGGATATTGTGATAAGTGTTGCAGGATTGTGTGGGAATAGTGCAGGATGCCCAGAACGCGAACCAAACGTGGCCGCAAAGTAAGCAGCTCAAGACTGCATGGGCGGCAAACTAGTGAGTATGGAGCAGACATTTTGAAGTGTGTGCAGGTAGATTTGCACGTTTTGATGTGGATTTGTGTAGGTGCAGTTGGGATTCCGCTTGGATGTGTTGCAGCTTCTTGCTGCACAGCCATTTGGGACACCATGGGTGAAGTGGTGCTCTTTGAAGCGGGGTTGTTGGCTCACCTTTGAGCATTGCACTGGATCCAAACCCTTTATGTATGTTTATCCTGTGAGGCTCACTGTGAGGGGTCTCGGAATTTTGGCCTGAAAGTTGGCTGGTTTGCTTCAAATTTGACAACTGTGAAAGATTTGAAACACATCGTTGAGAAGAGAAGACACCTGAGCAGGAGACATCACACCCAACTCACACAGCCCGACCCCCTCCGCCACATGTCCAATCCCTACACCGACCCGTCGTACCTCCTCAGGTTCGCTATGACTGGACCCTCCTGGCACCCACCCCAGTCCCAGAAGGTACAACTGGAGGCCTAGGGAATGAGGTCCACCAGGGTCGCGTCTGGGTCTCTTTGCCAGGACATCATGCAGCAGATGCCCACCGAGGGTCGCCTCTTCCGCGAGGTCGACGGCACCTGGCGTCAGATCATGGGCTCCTGTGTGGCGGCGCCCAAGGCTTTGGAGGCCGGCCGGGAGTAAAACGCCTGTGAAGACGAGTGTTTCGTGGTGAGGATGGTGGTGAGTCCTTTTGGAGTGAATTCCTGGTGGGTGGGTGGATGAATTGAATTCCTGTACCCCTTGTCTTACAAAATGGTCAGAGATGACGAGAGATGGTCAGTTGCTTCTCGTTGCCCTCCACCGCCGGACAAACCGTAGTGAAACGGGACACACTTGGTGATTGACGAGGCGTTGTCCGGTATGGACATCCCTGTTCAGAGTACTCTTGCCGCAACAGAGCGCCTCCAGTCCATGTGAGGATAAGTACCAGTTAGTGTACCAGTTTCTGATGTCCAGGAATGATCACTCCAAGTACCTTCTCAGAAGGTATTTGGACTCCCTAGGCCCACCCTAAACACCTCAGAAGGTGCTTGGAGGCCTGGGGGATAGGACACAGATTTGATATGGGGGTTGCTGGAGCCAAACCTGTATGACATATGCATTGGATGGAAAATGCATAGCTAGCAGCTAGTGTCCATAAACCACCCTTTCCGTGGTCCTGGTGGTTGCCTCACTGGCTTTTGTCTCACCCAATTTGCTGACGTTGGGAGAGGATACTATTTACTGTAGTATGAACAGTATGTCACAGACACATTGTGAATGAGGATAGGCAAGTGTCTACTGACTGATTGCAAAAAATATTTTTGTTGGATCCAAGTGTCTCAGATGTTGTGTTGTGGAAAGAGAATGACGGAGAAAGGTTGTGCGCAATCAACATGCAATTGTCAAGAGAATTTGAGGGTTTGGTGAAGCCATGTCCGTTTTTGCAATGAACCTATACATGATTAAATTCAGATCTGGTGGATTCCTGTAAGTGGGCTCAAGAGAATAACTTATAAATTACTTCAACCATGACTCGGCTTGTTCTTTTTTTGGGGCCGCGGACTGCAGAGGTCTTCAGACAAGATAGCTTCCTGGAGAACCTCCAGGCTGCCAACGACAAGCTGGAAACCGTGCAGAAGGGACTCTTGGCGAAAACCCGCAACGAGTAAGCATGCTTGGCGAACCAATTGTAATCATGCAGCATGCACAGTGACCGGCACACGGTCACTATCGGTCACTGGTTTGTAGAGGAAAATTGTTTTCTCCGGCCCGGACTTTTCTTTCAGATGCGATGCGTGCCCTCCGCTATTCAGAGGATGGCTGCTGATCCCTGCTGATCCTTGAAACTCATGAACTACTCATACGTAGACACATCAACTCCAATGAATGCTTGGAAGCAGCCCCTCAGCTTATCTCAGATCTCAGCTAGACCGGACATTAACCCCATTCTGAGGACGATGGTCGAAACCACGGGTCAATTCTCAGGTTCCATGTAGTATGCCCCGCAGAACATGGACCAAACATGAGTTTGAATATAGAAAGCAGCTGAGCAACAAGTGCATGAACTTGAGAGAGCATCCCTCAAGGGACAACGATTATATTATATAATGGCTGAATGGTACAGTCTTCTTGAGTAGTTTTGTGTTCTAGTCGTTTGATGTCTTTTCTCCGGATGTCAAGCACGCTGCGTCGGCTCAGCTCTCCTCGGCGAGCCGAACCACCGACCGAACCGGCGGCGTGAGACCGAGCCCTGCGGGATCAGCTGGGTCGTGGTCGTGGGGCTCAGGACTGAATGATTACCTCGAGACCAAGAGGCTTTTCTTCCCTCGTTTCTTCTTCCTGTCCAACGACAACTTGCTGGAGATTTTGAGTCACCTGGCTTCTATCCGAAACGTGGATCCGCGAGCTATGGAGGTTCTCCAAAGCTGCGGAGATCTTCTCAGGTATGACGTAGTTTGGTTTTCTTGTTTATTTTTTGAAGGTAGCCGGACAACCCTCATTGCTGGAATATGTCTAAAACCTTCGAACCCACCACCCCTGTGGTCGTCAAACGGCATGAACAGCTCGACTACAAGGACGGAAGCCGTGCTGATAGAACATTCCTGAGCACGGCTCGCACCACTTGACGAGAACTGGTGATAGTGATGGTGTGTTTTCATGCTTAGCTCTTACTAAAGAGCTGGGACATTTGCTGATTTTCCTTGTAGAGAAGACGAGAAGACTCTCCTTCTTCTTGTTATTCAAGTAAATCCTGGGATGAGCTACAGCAACATCGCCAGGTTGATGGCGTTCAGGTGTGCCCAAGACTTCAATCCACACTCTCATACTGCATGAACTTAGCAGGGGTAAGAATGGTATGTATGTTAAATAGAGCAAAGGATCACAAGCTTACCCAAACAAAAGGTGCAATGTTTGAAAGGTTCAGTTCCCTGAGCTGTTGCATTTGCAGAGTTTTTGCTTCAGTGCATCATTCTCGCGGCAGCTACGAGCATTATGAGTGCCGTGACTAGGATCAATTAGTTGAGCTCCTCTCTTGAACCACCCTTTCAAGGCACATCACATGACACAAAATTCCAGGAAGGTCCTGGATTTCATCTTTCCATCGACCTAGGCGAGACGAAGGATCCCAAGCGTGTGAATGCGCATGTGAAGAAGTGCTTCGAAGGAACCTTGGACGTCCACAGACACTGAGCGAGCGAAGCAACGCTGACCGCTGACGTAGTGCTGACACAACATGAGCCTCCCAGTGAAGAGGAACATGAGTGCACATTGAGACATTCATCCTTTGGTCCAAATAATCTCAAGTTCCCATGATATACATTGAAGATCATTGAAGATAGTATTGAGGATCCATGTTCTTTTTTGGATGCACTCTTTGCCAGGCATGCAGAGCCTCCAATTCGAGGAGAACCTCAACATCTCCGGCATGGTGTCACCCGAGAAGGAGCCCCCGGGCTCGTTTTCTTTTGACACCACCCGAGCCACCGCGGCACTCCAGGTACTCGTCCCTTCGGGCACCGGGTCGGGTGCCCGCGGCATCGGGTCCGAACGCGAACGGTTCCGGTGCCGGCATCGCAGCGAACGGAGCATTCGTACCTCGCGAACGGAGGGGAAGGAGGTGTAGGGAGCTCCACAGGTGACGTGAGGTGACCGATCTCTCGGAAGAAGCGGAGCGACTGCGAGCAGGAAGTGGTTCCCATGACCACCTATGTCGACCCGGTGGCTGCGAATGGAGCGGTGGAGAAGTGGCTGGTACAAGTGGAAGATGCCATGTGACTCGGAATATTTTGTTGAGTTGTTGTATGTTTTTGTTTGGTGCTGTTTGGGCGGGATGAAGGGAACCAGGTGGGTGATTTAAGTTTTTGTTAAGCAGCTTGGCTGAAGTGTGGTCATCAGTTTTAGGGGTATTCGAAGATATTCGAAGAGGTCGGACTCCTACTTCAGTGTGTTTTCCCCTGTCGTTCCAAGTATGTTTTTTTGGGCACGGTTCGGCCCCAAAGAAGTCCGACAAACCAATCCTGGGAGATGCAGCGATGGAGGTTGTGGCCTTGGCAGACGATGTGAACATCGGGTGACACAGTTTTGGGTTCCAAGGTTTCGTGGTGTCAAACTGTCAACTCTTTCAGTCAACAACATACACTCCCGAAACAAACATGGAAGTGGACAATCCCCTGTTGGTAGTGGAAAATCGCGTTCCAGGAGGCCAGGACGTCCACTTTCATGATTGTTGGAGGGAGGGTAGATAATTCCCTACACCTCCAAGTACCTCCTCAGAAGGTATTTGGACCCTCCAAACCCACCCCAAACACCTTCTCAGAAGGTACTTGGAGGTCTAGGGATTATTAGGCTTTAATTTCAAAGACAAAAACATCGACCCCATAGGTCAGTTCCAGAACAAGAGGCCGGACCATGCCAACTTGGGGGCCCTTGGGGTTCTGCAGCAAATCCGTGCATGCCCCATGGGCTACTGGCGTTTGTCCAATCCAAGTCCGGCTTTCGCGCGGGTTTTTTTCATCGCGAAATCCCCAAGGTTGGAGTCCATCCGCGATCAGTCTTTTCAGCCTCTTGGGCATCCGCCCGTCCGCCAGTTCATTGGCGTTTGCCCGCTAGGCATGGACGTGTTGCGTGTTTGCTTATTTTTTGGGTTAACCGGTGTGACGGTGAAACAACAAAAAGACATCAAAAGGGATTTGCCGAAGGCCGGCCTGGCATGAATGGTGTGTTTGAACATGTTTGGAAAATATTTGTGGTGCCGAGAAACAACCTCTCTCCTCCTTCCCTGTTCCGCGGGAAGATTGGCCCTACTACTTCATGATGACCTGTGGGAAAGTATAATTGAAGAACCATACAGTGACTGAATGGTTCGTTCAGGGTTCCTGAATGTGAGGAGTTTTGTTGCAAGAGGGATTGATTGATTACTGTATGGGTGTGTTTGTCACTGGATTTGCATACGTCGAGAAAACTCGACAGGAACACGACCGTGCTCGTTGGAGATAGGCATGTGCAGGACCTAGCAATCATGCAAAGCTGACTTGAGGAGTAAACACAGCAAGTATATACACATACGATATACCTGGGCCATCCCGTTTGGGTGTCCAATGGAGATCCCCCTGGCACCACCCCAACTGATCGGCATATATGGCAGTCCCATGGAGTGTTTTGGGTATGTCGTTCCTGGCCTTCTTTGCGCGCACCACATGAGCTCACTGAGGTCCCGCGATGACTACGTCAACACGAGTTCCTCGGCAGAAACTGTTTGAGCGAGTACGGGAGTCACATGGACTTTGCCAGATGAATTGAACCAGTACGTATACATATAGCTCAGGTGGCTTGCGTGGCCTCGATTTTGTTGGCAGCCCAAGTAGTTCCATAAGCATGAATGCTTGGAAAACGGTGAACATCCTGTCCTCCCACCCAGATTCCGACCCCAGAGGCTTCCGTTTTTGACGGACTCACGGACGCGAGTCTGAGGCTTTGTGGACTGGGTTCAGAAGTGGCCAGGGCAAGTGGTCATTGGCATTTTCAACTTGTTCTGGACCGCCGAGGTGAATCAGGCAGGTTTCAGCCAGCCCGTTCAGCTGCATGAGACCCTCAGAGAGCGAAGTGCAGAAGTTGCTGCAAGCTGATCCCCACAAAACAAGATTATACAAGGACAGGTGACAGGTGGAAAAGAATTACATATTATAACAATATATAACACTATAAATATGTATATATATGATTATATATTATATGCATTCTGCATCCTTTTTCCCGGGAAAAAACCGAGGGGTTCAGCTTTGGGTGCAGTGAGTTGCAGTGCACCATCAACCCAGCGGTTCGGAGGAGGTCTTGAGACTAGGGTCATGTCCAGCAGGGGCCCCACAAACATCCACAAACCATGAATCAAAGACTCCTGTTTTTCCTTCGGCAAGCATGATTTTAGTACGTGAGTACTTTCTATGTTTCATAGAGCTTGAGGGCCTCTGGTAAGGGTTCATGGAAGAGGATGATACATCACATCTTCCATAAGAAACCTTGGACTGGTGACATTTCAGCCCACATAGTAGGACCAACCAACATGATTGCACCGGGGAATGTGGTCCCCAAGCCCCGAGGAGTTGTCCAGCTCCGGATGTATGGCCACACAACTATGTGGGAAGAACATTCTCACCACCATGAGCTGCAACGCAATTGTTCACCCTGCAGAGGTCTAGTGGAACCCCCAAAACCAATTCCACTGTATTCCAAGGGTTGGGATCATCCGCGGGGAGGGACCTCAGTACCTTGACGGATCGTGCTGCGTTCAGGCGTTGACGGAGCACGGCAACGCCGGGCTGGTGGAGTATGCCACCAAGTTGGACAATACGTTGACGGAGATCGTCAGCACGGCTGCAAGAAGATGGCTCAGAAGATCCAACACATCAAAATGATGCTGGTGGTCATGATGTACACATTCACTATGCTCATGGTTCATGAGAATTAGCGTCCACGTGATCAATACATCATGAAGGGAACAGATTCGAGCTGACGGACTAATGTACACGCAACATGACATGATGCTGAACCGCATGGTGCAGAACCACATTCACCAAATGTAAAGCATCTTGCCTTTGGGTGATCGACCAGGTTTCCACCAGACCGTTGGCACTTGCCTCGACGTTGAGGTGAATTTGGTGCGGCGCGAGATCCCCAAGCTGGTGCGATGTACGTTGGAAGCGCTCATCGTGCCGTGGAAGAAGAAGTACCCTCCCCTCCGAACACGACACATTCGGGTACGTGGAGCTACCCACCAAAGGAAAAGGATCTTCCAGGGCATTCGAGGGGCCCATGTTCCATCATTTTCAACTTCGCATGTTGGTGAGTCAGGGGGTGCTCGGCCCGGAAGGCACGAGAGAGAACCCGGATGGAACGAGAGGGGCGTTTGGCTTGGGTCTTTTTGGATGGGTGCTGATTTAAACAATGAGATCTCCTGTTCTCCCAAACATGCGCATCCAGAGAGCTATGAGGTTCTCGCATGTCTCATCCCAGACCATCGATGTATGAAATATAGTTGGCTTAATATGATTATATGGGGTAATGTTAAAATCACCCTAAGAATCCTTGGGTGGTCCATGGCAGCCTCCTAGTTAACCCTATTTTACCGTTCGGGCCCGGCATGGCACAATCATCCACCAGCCGTGATCCGATCGCACCAGGTGAGAAGGAACCACCCGGCTTTTCTTGGCTAGCCAGTTCACTGAGTTAAACAAGAAAGACATTTATTGAACCCTGCTGAGCTAGGGATACTTATATAGTCACATATACTTAGCTTATATATATATATGTACATATCATATTAGAGTCATATGATGCATACAATGGGAAAAAAGGGGCTCATATATGGAGGGCATTTTGGACTTCATATGTTTTGCTAAGTACGTCAATCCCAAGAGACCAGAGGCCCTTGAAGCTTCGGATATCCCTTCGGTGCTGCGGTGCTCGTCGGGTGGTGAGCTAGAAGCCGGTCAGACCGGCGTCATGATGCGAGGCTCCTGATGGGAGGGTTAGGTTGAAATACTGACTATATCAGAGACTGTATAGTTGGGAGTTGGGATATGTTAACTTACATTATTTACTGTAAATAATTTTATTAGGAAGGCTTTTGTTGATAGGAGCTCCATGGCAGTTTGTCCACTGGTCGAGATTCGTCGCATTCGTCAGGTGATCTTTGTCCACAACAAGGCATGGACTGACTATAAGGGGGCTTTGTCGTTTACAAGTGAACCATGATCATGTATACTGAAAGAACGTCACTTGGGTTATACCCTCATCATGTCAGAAGTTCACCCTCACGATAAAATTGCAAGGGTGGCAGTGGGGGTAGCTGACCCAACTCGAGATCTCGGAATGAGGTCACGATTCGGTGGTCCCCCACTCACAGAGACGCCAAAGAGGTCACAGCGCACCAGGTCCTGGGCCCTGGGTCCTGGAAGGTCCTGGCAGCGACACATGTGACTGGTACATCGGTACATCAAAGCTCCTTTGATTGCGCCTTTGTCTTGGATCTCGGGCGCCTTCGTGTGGACACGAGACGTGTCACCAGAAACTGGATCGATGCCAGGACACCATCGTGGAATTACGAGATCGTGGCACCTGCGAGGTCTCCGATTTCGATTGGTTGGTGCAGTGCCTGGTCTCGACCGCTTTTGGCTGCGTTTGTGGTTCTTTTCTCCGAACCAGGGGAAAAAAACCATTAAACATATACCCGTTTGGCCTCCAGTTGTACCTCCTCAGAAGGTATGACTGGACCCGAACATTGCACCCACCCCAGTCCCACCTTCTCAGAAGGTACTTGGAGGCCTAGGGTATAGGTTTCAAAGCCCAAGCTGCCGTCGGATGTGGCTAAAGTACCACGGCCTGGAGGGTGGACGGGTGTGTGTGTGTGTGTGATTGCTTCGTTTTTGCATGTGTTTGCCCCATGAGATTGGACGATTTGGATGGGTAGCCCAGTTCTTGGAGTGCCAAACATCTACCAAACATGCACATCTTCGGGGAAACGCTCGGGCGAAGTACCGCACGAGGTCCAAACGCCCGTGCTTTGTTTTGGTCCGGCAACAAGCCGCCTGCTTGGCGCCGCGTGCTTTGCGCCGGAGCCATGACCTGGTTTTGCAGATCAGGTGGTTCCTTATCCCTACACCTACAGTCGTACCTCCTCAGGTTCGGTATGACTGGACCCGACGTTTTGGCACCCACCCAGCCCAGTCCCACCTTCGAAACGAAGGCACGACTGGAGGCCGCAAGTCCAAGTCAATGGCTGAGGCTGCGATACTTCATTGAGGAGAATCCCGAGAAGCCAGGTGAGAAAACTAATTAAGAACGATCCAGCTGCCCAGATCTGTCCAGCTGCTTTGAATCAGGAGGATGGATGTGGCATAACAGCTAGATTTCACGCGCTTTTTCACCATCATAGAGATCTAAAACTAAAACTATACTGTAGTTTTTTCGGGCCTAGTGAGAAGAACCTGTCCGGTCCCACTGCTTGTCAGGCCAAGAGGACATTTTTGTGCGCATCACCAATAGCCACTTGGGAGACCTGGCTGTGATTATTCAGCCTTTGGATCATTGGACTCGGGCCGGAGCACCACAGGACTTCACTTTGGGGTTCATGATTCGGCCCAGAGAAACTCAATCTCAGTCAGTATCTAAAGCTGAAGCTGGAGGAGGTTGCGCAACAATCTCGAGAATATTGTTCCATGAGTTACAATTACTAGAATCTTCAGAGTTTTGACCCCTGGCTGCGCATTTTCTTCGTGCTCTTCCGGAGACATGATTTGCTGCTTTTGGGACTCCAATGGATGGACAGGGCGTTTAAACCTGAAGCAATCCTGGAGCCAAAATAAGCAGCTTAATATATAGTGGACTATAGTGGCATGCATATTCCAAGCCAATGGAATTCTTCTGTCTCCACTCATCTACCGAAACTGCAGAAGTTCGCCCCGATGTTTGCCGAGTTCTTTTGGCCCAGGCTATGCCTACGAATACCTGGGCAACTGTGGGAGACTGGTCGTCACCCCTCTCACGGACCGCTGCTACCGTGCCTCGGACCAAACGGGCTACCGAACGAACCGGCAGCCGTACCCAATGGGTTCCTCCAGTCGTAGCTCCTCAGGTTCGGGATGTCTCCCGTTTGGGCCGGTGGGTGCGAGGGGGAGGACCAGGAGCCCTATAGGGTCTTCGGAGCGCACCCGGGCCCCGAAGCGAAACGAAGGTACGAGTACCTGGAGCCCAAACGGGTTAGAATACAGTATCCCTATAGGCCTCCAGTCGTACCTTCTGGGAAGGTGGGACTGGGGTGGGTGCCAGGAGGGTCCAAATACCTTCTGAGGAGGTACGACTGGAGGTGTAGGGTATGTTTCCATCATGGTCCAGGTGTGTTCTACAAAGGCAGCACATGGACTTGGAACTTCTGCTGGTCTTCTACAAACCCGAATGGGTGAGAAATCCCGCCGATGATTCTTCCTTAGCCACCCTACCCCCTATGTTTTTGGTATTGCTGATGACGAAAGAATACAATCAATGATTTTCGCTGGATACCCTAGACATATCTAGACATCCAACCTCATCCTCAGAAGGTGGTTAGACCGGCACCCTGTTTGAAACGGAAGTTCTTCGACTGGATCAGTGGCCTCCCAACGCAGCAAGACCTGCCACGTGTTGCTGTGTCCGAACATTTGGGGCGTCTCCCCTCGCTGGAACAAATCCGTCAGCAAATTGTCAACGGCTTGGACCTTCCTAATCTTGATGGTTGATTCTACATCGCCCCCCAAGTTGAACATAATATGAAACAATATTATGAAGCAACTCACTAAAAACCTCCTCAATCAGATCTTCCGATCTCCCCACATCCTTCCTACCTTCAACATTCTCTCCCCACATCCTTGAAAACTCCTCACCTCTCGCCACATCCCACCTCACACCCCTGCGGTCAACACATCCACACCCTCACCGCCCCTGGCGCTCGCGCCACCGAGGCACCTGCTGCGGTGCCCTGCATTTGCTCTACGGCGCGGCGCCCGAAGGCCCCGCTGGCACCGGCAAGACGGAGACGGTGAAGGACTTGGCCAAGGCGCGGTCGGTGCCGGTCGGTGCCGGTCGGACCGGGCACGTGTCGGTGCCCACGGTGGCTCTGAAGGTGTCGGGTTCAAGTGTGAGGGTGTTTTGGCTGAGAATGCTGGGTATTCATCATGTACGGCGCTTGTATCATCATGTATCATTGGTGTATCATGAGTTCGTTCTCTTCATGACGTCAACCCCAAGAATCAGCAGCTTTCTCGGCTTTTTGTCGACGACAGATGATGACCGTTTTTTCCCAAAAAAGGACATGAAACAGCTGACCCCCGAACTACACGGCGACTCCAGTGAGCCCGAATTAGGCCAAGATCTGATGTTGATTTTCTTGGGCTGATTGGCTGCGGAGGGTGCTGAAAAAAAAATCACATGTCCAGAATAGTGGTGTCCCTCTTTGAACCATTTTCGAAAATGTTCTTGAAGCATTGTTCGACTCATCCGGATATAGACATGTTCCCATCATTTGGAGATCTGAACGCGCCCCTGTCTTTGAACCTACCCCTGTTTTTTCGAGATGTTTGAACCTACACATTCCAGATGTTTGAACCTACCCCTGTCTTTGTTCGACCGCGTGAAAGGCATCTTCTCTTTCGACCGAGGCTTTGGCACGCTTTTGTGTGGTCTTCAACTGCAGTGATGAACTGGATGTGAATGCCATGGCCCGGGCCTCATGGAGCGGTGCCTTTCTCCTTTTCTCCAGCGACGGCAAGAGACGCAGAGGTGCTGAGAGACGCTGTTGAGGTATTTGGCGTCATGTTGGGAGCTTCAGGGATTGCCTGGTTCTTTTTTAGGAGACCCAGTCGACCTAGTTCTCAAGTCTTTCCCCGCGGTTTGGATGCCAATGTTCTAACAACTGCCGGGCTGACTGGGGTCCTGTAAGGCCTGTAAGGTATCTTCATACACGGTGAATGAATGGATCTCCGCGGAATGGGGACCAGTTTACAGTACATCTACGACATTTACGCAGCAAGATCAACGGCAACCCCTTCCTCCAATCCAAAAGTCCAACCCCCCAAACCCGGGGTTTGGAGTCTCCCAACTTGCGAATTCACAAGCTACAAGGCCAGCAAGGCATGGTATGTGCACGTATTCTTCCTCACAGCTGTTTGCGCTCTTGCACCACCCGAGGCCAAGTTCTTCAAAGGCCTGGCATCCTCAGGCGCCCGAGACCTCGTCGCGGTCGCTCCGAGAAGAAACAGAAGATTCCCCGGACGCCCCCTTGTGAATGGAATCGGATGGATATGTAATTGATACCTAGGGAATCCTGGCGGTTGAAAAAAAAGCTCGAACATGAAACAACAATTTATTTCGTCGTTTCATCCAAGTTTCGCCGTTTGCCCAAAAGAACGCTTTTTGGTTCTATTGTGATTCCAGTGGATCTGATAATGCATACATTGGACCAGACTTTCATGCACTCACACCTGTTCCATCCCAATCACCCCCCAGCAACCACAATGTTTTCTTCAAAAGCCTGGGTGGTGCCGCTTCAATAAGACATGAGCCTTCAACAGAAAAAAACTGGAGGCATCGTCTTGTTACCACTTTTGAATCCACCCTTCTGGACAGACGACTAATGAGGCCAATCATGTCCTCGTTCTGGGAACATTCCCACGAAATAGGCGACAGCACACGAACATTTCCCCTGTCCAACTGAAGTTTTAGGTCCAGAACCACATGTTTGTAGAAGTGCAACTTCGGTTTCAAAGAAAATAAGTTGAAGTGGTTCATCATGGTCCAATTTGCAAGCCAGCTGTACCCGGTAATAACAGCCTGGCCCTTTTCATAGGCAGTGGCAGCACATGCCCTTGTCAGCCAAAGTCCATGAGTGGTGAGGATCCTATAGAACTCAAGGCCCATACAAAGCACACCATGAATCACATCCAGAATGGGGATCTGCCAATAATGACTGCCTTCGGTCTTGACGCCAATTGTGAGCACGCGAAGCCACCTCATGACCAATGTGCAGTCGCTTGCCTTTATGTTCATCCAAGGAAAGCTCCGTCTACTACTGTAGTTGAACAGCCGAGGCGTAAAGGATCGTAGGGCCGGTGAGTGCCCCTCAGCTTTGCAAAACAAAGTAAAGCTTCCAAATGCACTGTTGAGTTTGTCTTCGACTTTGCCAGCTGCCCCAAAAACGTCCCACCTCAAAAACAAGAATACAATCGACCCTGTGAGGTCGCGAAACAAGCCTAATTTCAGCACGTGGAATAGATCGTGCCTGTACAGGGCCTCCGGAATGTTGGAGTCAAAGGGAAGATCACGCAATGCAGGTGGTTTTACAATGCTCCAAGGGCGTTGTGTGTAAATAGTGTTGCACCAAGCCGGGGTTTCTTGTACTACATCTTCTGGTGGTAGCCCTGGCCCCCCCGCTAAACAATGATGACACATCGGAATGTTGTTGACAATGCCCTGACGCTCGTAGCCACGAGTCAGACAACAAATCTTGGAAAACCACTTCAGGTCACCCTTTGATCCAATGATGGCCAGATGCCACTTCTCTCCTCTCGCATTGACCCCGTGGTAGAAACATCTGTTCAAAATGGTCGCAATCTCTTCCAGCAGTTTGAATGTCAAGGGTTTGTAAAACCTGTGAAGTGTACCTGGCAGAACAAATAAAGGCCAGTGTTGGATCATTGAAGCTCCTTTCAGGTTCGATCGCATGGTCTTCAGAGATGGATGCTCTGCCCCAACATCCATTTGCCATCGACAAAGCCCTGACGGCACACACGTGGAACAAGGCCCAACATGACCCTTCAACCCCAAAATGGCCTCCAAACACACAACGGTGGTCGAAGACCGTCTGCGACCTCTTCCCTCATCTCCATGGATCGCTAAAGGTATCACGCGATGGATCTCATTGCGACCGAACTGGGAGAACACGCAATGGGTGTCATGAAACTTCCGGTAGCCCTCCCAGAAGCCTTGAAGGATGGACTTCACTTTGGACATGTCTGGCTCACCAAAAAGAACAGCAGGGTGATTCTCAATGAGAAAAGTCAGCAGCTTCTCTGGAGAAAGGTAGTGAACATCAAGAGAAGTGGCACCTTGGACGTATCTGTAGGTCTCTATGGGAACTTGCCAACCAACTCCGTAATGTCTGAAACTTCGCATCAAATCACGGTTCACATTCTGGGTCAATTTTCTTTTCTTTTTTTGGGGTCCATCTGCTTCATGGTCTCCGTCTCCGTCACGACTGATACGATGAACTGTTGTCGCAGGAACCTCAGCACGAATGACTAGGTCGTACAATGCCATCCAACCTGTACTTGTACCCCAAACTAGGGCAACAAAATTCTAGATCCCTGAGCATAGGACCCCATCAGCAAGAGCCTCAGCAGCAGCCTCAATGTGAGACCTTTTTCTTGTTGTATCAGGGTTGTCACCTGGCAAAAAAATCACACAATCTTGCAAAACAGTTTTCTTCAAGCAGTACTGTATCCAGTACTTTTTCTTTTGCCTTCCTTTCTACCCCTTGCCCAGGCAAATCATTTGGTGAGAAAGAACATCTGTGCAATCAAAGCCCTGACAAGGTCGGACTTGTTGAATTTTGCATTTGCTTGAACTGCAAACAAACGCTTCCAGCATCTTCCGGCTAAACAAAAATAGAGCAAGCTCGTGCCAGCAACTGAGCAAACAAACAAGTACTGAAACAATGGCCCATCCAAACAAAAGACAACATGTAGCAAGACATTGCCCCAACCATCACTTCTTATCCTTTTTTGAAGGGCGACTTCCAGGCTCAGCATCAGCGTTTGCTGCTGCTTTGCTCTTGGCTTTGGCCTTTGCTTTGGCCTTTGCGGCCCTGGCACTGATCCGTCTTTGCCCTTTCGCTGCTGATTTCCCACTCACAGATGCCTTTGGCAAGGTGGGCCTCACCGCCAGAATCAAGAAAAGTTTAACAATTTTGTGCTAAATACACCGATCCCGAATCTGCGGGACTATAGCCGTGCTGTGCAGCAAACACATGAAAAAACCCGCCTCATTCGGTGTTCCACATTCAAAGCCTCCACAGCCCTGAGCATGTGACAAAAGCAACTCAAGTGGTGATTCTGCCTTGTGAAGAAGCCTCGTTTTGGCAGTGGTGTAAGCTTTCTCCAACTCTTGCTCCGACCTGGAAGCATTCAAAAACAACCCAACAGCTTTCCAGATAGCAACATGGAACCAGACTTCACTGCTTTATAAGTCAGCTCAGTCTCAAACGACCTGCTGAATCCCTCCACAACGCCAGCCGTGAAAAGTTTGGAAATCATATCATAGGAGTCAACCAACGATTCTTTCACGCTCCTGATCTTCTGAAGCATCCTGAGATTTCCAGTGAAGGAATGACCTGCCCTAGCTATTTTCACGAACATGGCTTAGTCGCAACATACAAAACATCGAAGCAAGTCGCGCGGTTTGCAACACAGACAAACTCGAGGCATCAACGGCTTCAAACTTGTCAATGGCTTCCGAAAGCTTCGTCATCCGTTTGTCGATGCAAGTCCTCAGAACAATCAACAAACAAAGAATTGAAATTGATGTCCAGTGCCACAGTGTTGGAAAGACAATTGGTTCCTCAAAAGCAAATCACAACTTATCAAAGCAAGGTTCATCATTTTGGAAGCGACAGTACTAGGCAGAGCATCTAGCTCAAGCTCTGGAATCCCTGCCTTTTTGCGGGCCTCCACTGCGGCACTGGCTTGTTCCGGGTCACGACAATCATCATCGCTATCATGTCCATCATCTGAGTCACTACCTCCAAAAAATCTATTAAATTAATGATCAATCAGGGGCAGCACAGTTCCAGGATTGGCAAGCTAAAGGTGGAGGGTGTATTGACTGCCCGCCTGAGTTTGCTTCCACAGGATCAGGTGCATCACGCTTCTGATGCTTGTTCCCCCTAGAGTCTCCAGAGGCACGAGAACCTTTGTTTGCAGTGCTTGTTGAGGCATTGGCTCCTGTACCTGGGTCTGCCTCTTCGATTGCACGCTTCAAGCCAGGTCTGAAGTGCATATCATGGAGGCCAGTTGGGGCATTGAAATCTGAGGGATCCCCGTCCTCTTGCCATTTGACTTTGCGCTGCATCTCAGTCTTGGAAACCTTCCTAAGGTCACCACAAAAATAATGTGTACTGTCCCAGCCAAGCATGCCTACGACAAAACAAATACAACCAGCAATGTGTGACAAGGTTCTTCTTGATGCCACGCACACACTTCTCACACCAGTATAGATTTTTGTTTTCATACTTGTCGCGTCTGGCAGCAACAGAAGCAGCACAACAGATAAAACACAGGAGCAGCAGCACCTGACTCACCAAACGGATCGGCCTCATGAGGTTTTCCGGATCTTTCCGAGCCACTTTGATCACTGCATCCACGCGTGGCCTCGGCGCCAATAGTATATTATCCTATCCCCTTAGCAGGATTTATTGGCTATACAAGAATGCTGCTACCACCCATCATAGTACCCATCATCTATCATCCAATTTTGCTTCAACCAAAGCACACTGACCATCCCCAGGAAACCATTTCCTCCTTGCTGGCGTACTGGCCTTCTACAATCAACTCGTTTTCTTGGGAGTCTATTCGAAGCAATTCAACCTCCTGTAGGAAAGAGTCCTGGCGAAAGAAGGGGTTGCATCTATTATCTTTATTTTGCCAAACACACACACACACTAGCTGGACTTCTCTGCGATATGCAAACTCTACAAACAGTCCTTGCAATAGCCAACAGACTGGAAGATCTGCTCAAGTCGATGGCGTGACTTTCCCTTGGACTGATACTGTTTCAGGATCTCCAAGGACACTTTGTATTGGCCTTTGGTGTTGGGCTCAAACAATCTGCGCATGCGCGCCTTCATAGCATCTGGTGACAATCTCATTTCCCCAGGAACGGGACGTGGCAAGCGGGAATCATGTATGTCAGGGATGACACTTCCTGAATCGTGGGTGGCATCCATCCCCTCAAGCAGTGCTTCAGCTTCTGTTTCAAAAGACAGAGCTTTCTGTGATGCACTCTTTAGTTCTTCACTGTGCAACACTTGAGAGGGTGTTGCCACAGATTCATTTGGGTGTATCCCTGCACACAGGTCAGACTCAGACCAGCCATCAGCTTCAGGCCCCAAGAATTGGTGGTTTCGACAAGGTGTCGCCACGGGTTTGATTGGTGACACCCCCTCAAACAGTTCGAACGGGTCATCAACTGCCTTGTCCACATCCGTCGGAAGAGAAGCCTGGGCGAGGGGCTGGGAAAGTGACTTCAAGCTGGA